TATAAAATTTATGAGAGAATTGTGTTTGAGAATGTTTTAGTTTATTATTAAGAAACCTAAGATTTACTGCTTAATTAATGAAAATTAATTCGGATTTATGGAAATATTGAATATAATATGTAGAATAATAAATAAAATCAACCATGCCCTAAATCACTGAGAAGTAAATTTAAATGTATTCTTAGCGAAGGAAAGCACAATAACTAAGCATTCAGAAGCATTTAGTATAGGAGAATCGAGATTACTAGATCCAAAGGAAAATTTAGAATTGTAAGTTCTACGATATCCCCATCCTCATTTATATCAGAATCCCAGTGTTCAACTAATGCCCAGCTTTTCAAACTTCTTATTTAGCAATTAATATAATACAACCATAGCTGATCAATTATTACAAGCTTAAATATTGCCTCAAAGTAATGCTTTCTAGGTTATGCCCTTGAAGAGTTTGGCAGCTGAGGGAATGCGAATAGTTTGTGAAATTGATATTCTAATGTTGAGACACTATTATCATTTAAGAGAATAAGTAAAGGTTCTAAAAATATTTAGATTTTTAACAAACACAATTAAACAGCATCAAAAAGAATGGATAACAACTCCAATCAAATTGATTGGATCAAAGGAAGATTCTAATATCGATTTAAAGAAAAGATTAGTAAAATGATGTGTAAATTGGTGGACGAAGTTAAATCACTTTTAAATAATAAGACTGAGGATGATCAATAAATCAATATCGAGAAATTAAGATTCTTACCAGAGGAACTAATCTAGCTTGATAAGGAACTGAAGGAAAAGAGAGAAGATTCATCTGAATATTTGGATCCATATGAGGTTTGTAGAAGGATTGCAAAGCTTATAGAGATGTATTTTAGGAGTTCTGATTAGTGATGTATGTATGTTCCCACAATTTATATATATATATATTTTAATATTAATTATTTTATTAGACCATCAAATGGAACAACTGCTCGAACAATATAAGGAATTAGAGAAACGCAATACCGAGGAATTAGAACATGATTAATCAATCACTCATTTGCTCTACATCGAGGGATTCAAGTGGGATGATTTGGATAAAATAAAGAAGATCAATAAAATATCGCAATCTAAAATAGAGAAAAGAATTACTTTGGTTCAAGATGTAAGAGTCTCCATTATGTAGTTCGGTACATTAAGGAAAGATGCAGAACCATATGCAAGGACCAATGAACATTTTTAAAGTTTAGTCAAAGATATTGATATGCATATCAATTGCATTATGTTCGAAATAGACAAATTAGAATAATTAAAATAGAAATCATAAAGATTCTTAAGACTTCAAAGTTAACCTAATATCAAACCAGAAACTGCTCCTACTGATGCCATGGCTTAGACAGGAGGGTTGTTATCAAGCACCAGTGATGGTCAAACAAGAATGTATCAGAGTAGCTTTTAGTTTTACCGAGCTTAAAGGGATCAATAGATTTAATCGCATAATTAAAAGTGGATAGAAAAATAATATACAATTCAGAAAAAGCTGATTGAGAGTGAAAAGGACTTTTAGAAATTTAGATACGAAATTGATTCCAAATAAAAAAAGGCAGAGATGAACCTCTAAGAATTCTAACTATGGCAATAAAGAGTGTTGAAGGAACAAGAGGAGGGCAATTCAAAAAGACTTTAATTGCATAAAGAGAGAGTGCTAAAGGATTAAGTCTAAAGATAGGCTGTTTTAGAATAGAAAATGTCCAGAAAGGAATTACAATTATAAAAACAGATGTCATTATTGAAGGATTTCCATGAAGTATAGAAGTAATAGAAAGAAGTACACTTTCTGAAGATCATACAAAAATCAATGACAGCGTTAAATGACAAGGACAAGTTTAATTAACATCAAAAAGAGTTAAATGAAAAGAAAGAATAGCAAAATTAGCATAAGTTGAAGTACATCGAAGAATCAAAGGAATGGACTAAGTAATAGTTGCAGAGATCGAACGAATTAAAATAAAAAAAGATCGATAGAGCTAACGTAAAGTTCCTTAATATTTTAAGTAAATTCTAGTTTCTTAAGATCTTTAAAGAAGAGAAAAATTTGAAAGTAAAGAAAAGAAAAAGCTGGCTTATATGGATAAATATAAGTAGATGTTTGAGGAATACTAGAATCACATCAACAAAGAGAAGGAGGGCAAAATTCATCAATTTTAAATTGTATTTCCAAAGTTTATATACGATAGAATAAAGCAATAGAAGATGCCAGCAGAGAACAATTAATTAAATATCAATTTGAAAGAAAATCTCAGAGCTAAGCTGAGGCCTAGAGATTGAGGGACAGAAGAATAAGAATTTATTAGGAAGAGAAAGCTGGGGAATAATTGATGAAGCAGATAGAAATCAATTAAAGATTAAATCAAATATAATCTGAATTAGAAATGAAAAGGAGAATGCAGGAACTTATGGAAGAGGAGTAAAAGCAAAGAAAATTAATGATAGAGTAATTCATTGATTCTATTATAGGAATGATGAGAGACAAACCATTAAGGAAAGAGAAAAAATGGCCAGAAAGTTGGAGATGGAAAAAGAACAGAAAGACAAGGAGATGAAGAAACTCAAATATTCCAAGTTTTGATTAAATATATTGTTAAGAAAAATTAATAAAATTTGATTTTTATTTTTGAATTTAATGAATAACCAACTAAAGAATCTCAACTGTTAATTTTGCAAAATAAATCAAAACAAGTTTATCTAGAAAGAAATACATTAGAAGTATTTTGATAGATATGAATTTATAGATATTTTGAGTAGTTCAATTTTTATTTTGCCAAGCCCATAACAGAAATTTTAGCGAATGTTCCTGTAGATCATGTCATTCTATTTAAAGACTAATTGTATTTGCATGATGAAAATGAATATATTAAGCGATTTTATTAGAAAGAGGAACAAGACCCAAGAATTAAATTACTTAGCGATTTCTACTACGAGTAAAATAAAGTAACTAATTTATGCTCATTAATCAATTTCAAGATCCCCTAGCCCAATTTATGCAAAGTCAATGCTCATAAGTTCATGGAGAAGAGAATAAATAAATTGCTAAAATTACAATAAAAAGCATAAAATAATTAGAATCAACAACCCATTACTAAAAAGATGATTCCAGATCATATTTTTAGTGAAAACTATGTTGAATCTGTATCTGAGTAGTATCGACATACATATTTAGTTCCTATCCCAAGGAACAAATTTCATGGGACAGCAAATCGCATAACATCTATGAGATTTCACAAAGTTTACCATAGCAGGCACAACCATAAAATAAAACCCCTAACTAATATCCGATACTTAACCACTCTGGCGATCATAACAAACTATTCAATTGTGAAAATGATTAGGATATAGATACTCTTATTTGTGAAGTCAATACCTAAACATCTCGTTAGTTGTCATCCATTACCAAAATACCTCTCAAGAAGAAGCCTCCCTCTAGTGCAAACAAAAAGAAAAATCAATCAATTTAATAGCCATCGTAACCTAAAGTACCTATTCCACCTCTGAGACTTCAAGAAAGTGCTAAATCTTCAACCACAACGCTTCCAAACAATAAATCAACAAGCATTTAATCTTTAATGAAAAAATATGATTAAATATTGTAAAAACGTTTTTAAGTGAAGGAAATATTAACAGAACGTAATGAAACCCGTTGTGCTGCTGCTTTTGGTTCCAGTTGTGGTAATGGTACAAATAGAGGAGATGTTGGCTCATCAAAAAAATAAATTACAGATGAAATGCTACTCAAATTAATATCCAATATGAAGAAATCGAAAAATAAATCTGACAATTATCAATTTCATGCCTCCTATAAAAGTGTGATGCCTCATCCTCAAACAGGTCCAGCCTAATCATGCACATTTGAAAAAGAAAACGAAAAAAAGAAAAAATATCAAGTTTATTTAGTAAGCTATTAAATTTAATAGGAAGCCTAAGCAAATCAAAAAAAATCCTTCTTAGATGTCATCACCAACCACAGTCTAAAAGTAATTCAATTCCTTTATTGTAGCACATGTTCTCCCTCTATGCTTCTTAGATCCCTTTCAAATCCTTCAATGGCTCCTTCTCCAATGAGGAGATTAGAAATCAAAGTTAACTTAAATAAACTTATACAACAATAAGAATAAGAAATTGGATATTGGACACAAAGATGCAAAGTACGTTGAAACTTACTCTATCAATTAATTTTAAGATTAATTATTGTTATATAAATTTATCTTCATTACTAAATATATGTTCAAACAACTCTGGTTTATTTATTTTATACCAAAAGAATATAAAAAGATTGTCGATTTAAATCATATCATAAAAGGACTATTAAATCAGAGTCAACATATTTATATTATAACAATTATAAGAAGTAATACAAAAATATAAATTTGTTTCTTTAAACAACCAAATTTTATTTATTGATATCAATTTTATCACTCTTTGGCATACTCTTATTTTAAATCCCAGCACTCCAAAAATGTATACACTTTAGGATTGAATAATTGATACAAATGAAAATAAGCCTGATTCATTGCCAAATGCCATAATCCATGCCAAAGCCTCAAATAATCTTTATATTCATCCAAACCAAAATAAAATGCAATAAATCCAATAAATAAGTAGAATAATCCTTTATGAAGGTAATCCTTATTTACAATTTAACCCTTCTTTGGGTAAAATGTTTATTTGATTATAAAAATGATTAGACTAATTAAGATTGGAATCACAGTTGCCCAAACATTCCATGCATGTGATTCTTATATTATTACAACAAAAATAAAATTGATCCATTAAATCGATTTTCTTGTGCTTCTATTATTTTGCATTAAGTAATTGAACAATTCCATCTAAATTTTAGATCATTAGTATACCAATCCACAAATTGATGCAATATTGTCTAGTTGATGCCAATCAACCTCTTTTAATATAATTGGCTCGACTCCTATACTTTCAGACAGATGATACATGAATGAGGACACAAACAATAATCCAGAGAGGAATAATGTATGTACATTCTTAATTTTGTATGTGTAAATGATTTAGGGGATCATTACACCATTCGAAACTGCAGTTATTATTACCATCAAAAACATTTCAAATGGAGTGTGTAAATACTTATTTGTTTTTCCTGTATCAATCATAAATAAATACAAAAATTAATAATAATTAGTTTCATTTTGATTAGAGTAAATTAAAGTTAGAATACTCTATTGAGCGAAGTGCTTATTTTAAAAAATGAAGACTTGTTCACTCTAAACTATACTTTTGTGTAATTATATAATTTTATACAAATATAAAATATATATAAATATATAAATTATCTTTATATCAATAATTTATTTATAAATACTAATTGTAGAATATTAAAAGAAGTTGATTACACTTCAGATTAATGTATTATAAAATGAAAAAGTAATCAACACACTTATTAAAAATATAAAGTAATATAATAATAATAGTTAAATCAAAATACTAATTAATTTTCAAGTTAATCAAAATGATGATCCAATTTATCATTTTATTTTGATAAATAATACAGAACAGTTGATTATACGCTTCTTAACTATTCCATTTATTAAGTTTTCAATTTTAAAGACACCTTACTATTAGAGCATAAGCTTTTTTGCTAATTATCCAATCCTTTTTATTTCATATAAATCTTATTTGGGCGAGGAGTGTTAGGATCTTTGAAGGTAAACTTATCCAAACTTAATTTGGAATCATTTTCTTCTCTAGGTATAATTTTCAATTTTATTTTTGGTATTTTAATAGGGATTTCCTTTTCTAAAGTTGGTGTTCTATTGTAAGTATGGATATTAAAATTAAAGTTATTTTTATTATTCAATTATTACAAAACATCTTACAATTACGATTTCTTCGGTTTCATATGTTATTATAAAATTTTGCGATCCGGTAAATGAAAGTTATTCATAGCTTTTAAAGAGACAGGTTTCAGTAGATCTAATGATTTAATTTTAGGTAAGCTATAGTTGTTGCTGAAATTGTCAAAGTTAATCTGCACTTATTATTACATATTTTAATTATCAAAATTCATACTTTATAAACTGCTATTTTTATTATTATTCATTAAATTAAAGAACTTTTATAAATAAATAATAATCAATTGTGTAAAATAAATTCTTAATACTAACACTATATAATACAATCGTGGAAGAACAATATAACAAAGACTGAATTCCTCATTTTATACACTTTTTCATATATATAAAGAGCAAAGGGTGGGTGTGCAATTTTTGAGATGTCCAAAGGAGAATATAAATTGACTTTGTGGAATAAGACATTACTAAATTGATTAGGTTTAATTAATGAGCAATGAGAGGGAAATTCTCAATTCCATATAAATTATAATTAATATTTTAATATATATTTTCACTTTGCAATTCTGTTTTTTAATATAAACAGAATTTTCTATTGGAATGTGCCATATAGTTAATTCTGCAAATTAGGATGGCTGAGATGTGGGAGGTTGTGTATTATACAGAATATTTTAATATTAATAAATATTATGGGGGTACGTGAGAAGATTTAATTGATTTAATTTGCTCTAGAAAAAGGTGAAAGGAATGTCATCGTAATCAATAATATCTTTTATTTATCTGTAAACACATGTCTGAAGAACACCCAGCAGTTGTTATTGATAACGGATCCGGATAATGCAAGGCCGGTATTGCAGGAGATGATGCTCCAAGATGCTGTTTCCCTGCAGTTGTAGGAAGACCCAAACATCAAGGAATTATGGTTGGTATGGACAGCAAGGAAGCCTACGTCGGTGATGAGGCTTAAGCCAAGAGAGGTGTTTTAGCACTCAAGTACCCAATTGATAATGGTATTGTCAATAATTGGGATGGTATAGAATGTGTTTATAAATTATGTAGATATGGAAAGAATCTGGCATCATGCATTTCTTCAACGAATTGAGAGTCACACCAGAAGACCACCCAGCTCTTTTCGACCGAGGCCCCAATGAATCCAAAGGCCAACAGAGAAAAGATGACATAAATCTTATTCGAAACATTCAACGTGCCATCATTCTACGTTGCTATTCAAGCCGTGCTCTCACTCTATGCTTCAGGAAGAACAACTGGTATCGTCGTAGATTCTGGAGATGGTGTCTCACACACAGTCCCAATCTATGAAGGTTATGCCCTTCCACATGCTGTTCTCAGAATTGACTTGGCAGGAAGAGCCTGCACCCAATATTTGGTTAACATCTTGAATGAATTGGGTGTTTCATTCACATCATCAGCTGAAATGGAAATTGTTAGAGACATGAAAGAGAAATTGTGCTATGTTGCTCTTGACTATGAAGAGGAAATGAAGAAATACAAAGAGAGTGCTGCCAACAACAGACCCTATGAATTACCAGACGGAAACGTTGTTGTCATCTAAAATCAAAGATTCAGATGTCCTGAATTGCTCTTCAAACCAAACTTCATTGGTCTTGAAGTCGCAGGTATCCACGAATTAACATTCAAATCAATTATGAAGTGCGATATCGATGTCAGAAAGGATCTGTAAGAAATTTAAATTTATGTCTTAGTTACGGAAATGTTGTCATGTCCGGAGGTACAACCATGTTCCCAGGAATCCCAGAAAGATTGAGCAAAGAATTAACATCCCTTGCCCCATCATCAATGAAAATCAAAGTCGTTGCCCCACCTGAAAGAAAATTCTCAGTCTGGATCGGAGGATCAATCTTATCATCATTGTCAACATTCCAAGCCATGTGGATCACAAGAAGCGAATACGACGAAAGCGGTCCAACCATTGTTCACAGAAAGTGTTTCTGAGAGATAAATCATATTAATATCAATATCAATATAGATAATAGATTTATTTGTCTAAGCATAATAAATAACAATGTTATATTATGCAATCATCTGAGATTAAATAGGTTCAATTAAGATCTATATGCTCTTCAATTTACTATTTGTTTAAATCTAAGAATAGTTGATAATAATTGAGCTTCTTTGCATTATACAGTCCTCACTTTATTACTAAGCAAAAACAAATATTCGTATAACTTCAAAAATAGATTTTAAGTTGTTTATATTTCCTAATGATAGAATACCCTCTATTTAGTCAAAATTCAGTAGAGTTTTTAAAACAATTATATAATTTTAGAGAAATCACAATAATCGTATTATATTTTACAGGAAATAATAGATTATATATGATTAAATACTTATAAAATTAATTTAATTGATAATGAGATTTAAGTTTTATTACATTTGAATGTATTTTTATAGAGTTCCTTTGACCAAAATTTGTATCAGATTCTAACCTGTTTGTATCAGAAACTTACAGCAAAGAAGAATTTAAGGGAATCTAAATGATTTTTATAATCATTTCAATATTTCCAATAATATTTTGTGAGTTAATTGATGAAATAGCAAGGATAGGAAGAACAAAATTAAGGTAATTACTATTCGTTTGTAGCAATTATTTTATAAATAAAATATTATGGTTATTATATGGGCAATTATTATAATGACCATAATTTTTTTGCGTATGTTATGTCATGGAATAGCATATAATGAAATTGCAATTACAATAAAAATTAGCTATGAAAAGCAATTGAAATAGAATATATTTTAATAACTTGATATCTGTTTATATATATTATTCAATATCTTAATGATAAGAATGCTGCAGCACCTGCTCTTATCCATTGTTCTTCAGAATCTTTGGATGGAAGCTCAAGAAAAGTGACAAAGTTGGTTGAATGTCCAGTGGTACTCAAGGTTCCAGCTCTAAAGAATTAAGTGTTTTAAATACCTTGAAACAACTTTATAAAGTGGACATTGATAAATAACTAGATCTTTTGGATACTCCTTCTCTATGCAAGGCAATAACCAAACTAATGGCAATTCCGAATATAATTCCTTTGGTCTAGGATGAGTAATAAAGTGTTTCTTGTAATCCCATCTTATTCCCTCCAATGAAATTCCGAAAACATAACATCCATCTTCTGGTTTCTCTTCTATATCTTATGGTGAAAGAGTATCAAGTATCTTAAATTCATAATTCAGTTTATCTATGGCAATTACATGTCTTCTAGCATAGTTCTGTAATGATCCAGTGAGAAACGCTTATGGGAAGAAGAAACCTAAGATGCTAAACAAATCATTTACCACTAATCCAGAAGACCTTTGGAGTTCCATTATCAACCCAAGATTACAGGAAATTAATTCTTGCTGAGAGATCATTGGTCCAACTAGAAAGAGGCTTTAAAGAGAGAAATCCTTTGTCAGCCCACATTAAAGGAACCTAATTATCAAATAGTGAGTTGGCGAGACTTTCAAGTTCATCTGACATGACAATCTGACCTTTCAGAGCCTTTTTAACATTAATCAAGGATTCTTTCATTGTTGCCAATAACCTATTATATCTAATAACCTCTTGCACCAACACAGTGTTCATGGATTCTTCATAGGAAGTAGGATATTTCTTGAAGATATCATCAAATGGTAAAACTTCTGGTGTACGACTCTAAACAAAGGTGGCAATTTCTTCAATAGTTTCCTCTCTTGATTTTCCAGTGCCTGATGATTATCTTGGTTAAATGGAGAGTACAGTTTCTAATAAGACTCTTGTTGTATTTTAAGAATTAGTAATTTCAGCATTTTCATGCATTCCGAATGCTTCAGGATCCGGATTTAAAGGAAGTTACTCTATATAATTGAGATATCCTTCCTAATTGGTTGAGGCTAAAGAAACGTAGATTCCTGATTCTGAAAACTTATATCCATCTCTTAAAGCTTCATGACAGATGTATTTCTTGATAATTGTCTTTATCAATCTCACATCTTTATCATCAGTAACTCTACCACCATAATTGATTTCAGCTCCCAAATATTGAATTACTTTATATGGTACCTTGTCATACTCATCTAATAGCATTTTTAATTGTCTTTTGCAGACTGTGAGATCTTCATTGGTAAATTCATAAGGGATATTCCATCCAATTGCACCAAACTTTCTTCTATCTTAAATGATTGCATGGAACAGACAAAATCCAAAGAGTAACTTTTTAAAAATGTCCTATTTTGTGCATTCACTCAACTCCTTATCATCCAAGTTCTTATAGGTTCTCATTAAATTAGCTCTAATTCCTTGTGGTGGTTCAATTGTCATTTTGACTGAATTCTATAACACAGGAATTGGAAATGAATTAGAAGGCATTGAGGTTAGCCATAATCTAAAGTCTTTATGAATATTTTCATTCAATTCCTCACAAATACGTTCCAAATCATTCATCCAAGATATAGCTAAATGGCAATTCTATAAGAGCACCCAACCTCCTCTTTAAATTGCATCTTTAACCATTCTCTCTGCCTTAGGTCCTTGACCTTATCCCAAAGATATGGAATCAAATCTTTTGGCCATATTTTACTCTTCTGCAAATTTAAGAAAGTCTGCAACTGGATCACTACCTGCTGATAACACAAAAATTAAAGGTGACATTGGCGATGAATCCTTGTAACATTTTTCCAAATCAAAAGTAGGTGGAATAGTAAATTTAGGATTTAATTACTAATCTATGTAATCTTAAATTGCAGGAACTAATTTATCAGGTCTCAGAGCTTTTAAGAAGATTAATTTCTCAAATTAAGTCAATTGTCCTTACCAAGGTTCAGGCAATTATTCCTTTTATGGTTAAGAAGAATCCCAAATTCCTTTAAACTAATCTGAATTATCCACGAAAAACTGATCAAATCCTTTGAATGCATCAAGAGTAGACATTCCTTTCATCTATCTGTATATGTCAGGCCAAGAATTATCAGAAATCCAAGCTGTTGGATTATGAGCAATCTTAATATCTCCTTAAGGACCTGCTAGAAGGTATCTCCATTGTTTTTCATCCATCATTTATGCTCCTTACAAAATTTTAACACAGAGCATAAATGAAAACAATAACTTGTGTCTTTCAAACAATGATCTGCAAATATTCTCATAAAGTGAATAAGTGAAGTAATCATTTAAATTCTTCAGTCTTTCTTCAATTACTGAAGACGGTTAAGCATTTTCAACTCCCAAGACAAATAGTTTAGTAAACCATTAAAGAGAATATTAATACATAGGATCAATATTAGCAAGATCAGTGATACAGAAGAATAATAATGAGGATCTGAATGCTACAGGTCTATAGGATTCTCTAACTTCATCAATTTAAGCCTCTGTTATTTTAGAATCCTTAACTCTTTAGTTGATTTCAGCTGCAAATCTTTTACTGGTTTACAATTTATTAATAAGGGTTTCATCTAATAGGATTTCTGAGATATCTCCTTTCTAATCTGAAAGAGATTTAAGAATGGAATCTTCAATAGCTAGCAATTGTTTCTTGTCAGCTGCATTTTTCTTAACAATTTCGATCTTCTTTTACTCTAAAGCTGGGTTTTCAAGGGCAACAATTTAGGCAAGCATTTGTTCTTCCAATCCACTAGCAGTGATAGCAAAATTGATGATAGTAACTTTAACAAAAGTTTCAGGAGAGTAGTGAGGATTGGGAATGGTAGTTGTAAGATACAACTTGAACTTTTCATTATAAGTTAATTACTTATCACCAATAGTGATAGTATATGAAGTGCCTGACTTGACTAGTTGTTGATTGAGAATAGGTTCCAATGAAGGATCTAATTCTCTGCCAACATTTTCTAATAAAACCCATTTACCAAATTAAATAGCTAACTCTAGAGTTCTCATCAAATTAACATCTGATATTTTAACCACATCAATACCCTCAGCATTATCTCTTCCCATATTTTTGATGAATTTATTAGCTTAATTTTAAGGATCAATCATCAAACACCATCTTCTACTTTTATCAATGATAATTCCGTTTTCAGTTGAAGTGTCATCTTTTGGTAATCCAGCGATATTCCATGCTTAAATCTTCCACTCCATCTCCCAAGGAATTGTCTCATAGTGACCCCTTCAGAATGTGCTACTCCTACAACTCCTAATTTCAACACCCAATCTCCTTCCATCTATGTTCTATAATGGGAAGTGAAAGGTCCAGAGTATGCAACCATACCTGCAGCTACAATTGAATCACCTGGTAGTAATTCTACTTTTGCTTACAAAGACTTGATATCTCTTGCCCCATCTTTCCTTCTCTTCTGATAATCCTTCAGTTAACTTTTAAGCTCTTTCTAATTTGATTTCGCACTCTTTCATTTTATTTTACAGATCCTCTTTTTCTAATATCTTCTGATTGTACATCTCTTCTAATTCTCGTATTTTCGCATTAACTCTTTCCAATTCCTCCTTCTTTATCTTGAGTTCTGCTGTCTTTTCTTCCACAATCTTCCTCATAGCAATCAATTGATCTCTGAGTGGTTTGGTTTCAGTATATACTCTAAAGTAGTCATACATAGCCTTCACCCACATATACAAGAACTTAGTAGCAAAAGAACAGTTCTTGACTGCATCAATATTAAATTCTGGTTGAGGTATGACTTTCTCTTCCAACTTCTTGATATGAGCAGGATTAGTAGAATCCTTATCATATTTTAATAATTATTCTAATAACTTTTGTGGATCACTTAACAAATACTTTCTTGCAGTTTCGAAAAAGTTTTCTTCTTTTTTACCTCCAATTTATCCTTCCTTCATTGTCAATATAATTTCACCTCCATTTTATTTAATATAGTCTTGCATCAATATAACAACACCTGCTAATGTAACTTTAACAGCATTAGGTGGAGATCCCAAACTCTTAATTTCCACTAGATGTTCCTTTTTCAATTTCTAGACTTCAGCAATTGTCAATTCTAATGTTTTGTTTGCATCAGCCACAGATGCTTCTGCTTATTCAGCCAATCTGGTAGCTTCTTCTTATTGTTTAGTAGCTTCTGATTCCTCTCTTGCAACAATCTTCTATGTATCATCAGCCTCCTATTTATCTACCTTCAATTTCTCCATCATTTTGATTGTATCAATACTAGCTTGTTCTAATTTTGGCTGCATATCCTTCAATGTTATTTTGATCTCCTCCACTGCATCATTGGCAGCTATCAACTTATCCAAACCTCCTTTAAGACGCTGTATCTATTGATTGAGATCTCTTCTCTTGTCTGATAATATTGTTCTGTATAATTGAAGTAATTCTAAATAACTAGTTTGGAGTAACATAATTGTATCTTCTCAATTCAGCTAAGAACTTTTGGGATAGTTTCTCTACACTTTTATGGAGATTCTTGAACATTTCAACCAAAACGGGTATCTTGCCATCGATTGCTAGTTCCTATTCATAATCAGCCAATTATCCCTTTCCAACACCTATCAAGGCTTCTTCAGGCCATTCAGTAAACCAGTCTATTGTACAGCAATTTACCAAAGATGGGAACATTCTCAATCTAGTGGTAAATTGATTTCCCAGTGGGGACATAGCAACAATTAAATGGATATTCTTCTTAACTCTAATCAAATACTATGTAAATATGTTCATCCTAGTAGGGGGTATTTGTCTCTTAATGCACTCTTACTTACATGCTTAAGTAATATCTTCAAAGTCTTTCTCTTAATATATTCCAGTAACATCACCAGAGTTTAGAACATTGTTCAAATCTTCCAACATCTATTCATTGATTATTTGAGTATCACAAAACAAGAAAGTTGCTGGCTTATTTTCAATACCAGCTATCATCAATACTTTTTTAACATCGTCTCTCCAACTTCTCATTGAGTAATTCTTAATAACTTCAATTTAGAATAACTTATAGTTTGTGACAAAAGTAGCCATTCTAGACAATGATTATCTACCACTACCTCCAACTCCTAATAACAATGCATTTCCTTAGGGCTATCTTATTATTCTAGCTATTCTTGAAATGTGTTCAGTTGCATCCACAAACATAACCAATCTCATTTGCTTCTTGGATCCACCAATTATAAATGTGTTGTCAGAATTATAATCTTCTTAGTAATTGTCCATCCTATTCACTAGTTAATGTAGATCTGGAATCTATTAATACACTTTGATATCTGCATCTCTGGATTACATGAAATCTCCAAATATTACTCTTTCTGAATCTAATACTTATTCAGAGGTGACTCCAAATTATGTAAATCCAATCTTTAACATGTTCTTTAGTTCTTGTCTATCCTCTTCGGTTGTCAATCTATCGTGAAATACTCTTAAATTCTCATGATACCATATCTTAACTAATGCCACTACATCTGGAGTTGACTTTGGAGCAGCTGAACTTATTCCTTGAAACACTCTCCAAATATCTCTTAGATTGAACGTATAATGAGATTTAGCTGGAGTTGGCAACATCGTTGATCTCACTTATTAATAGAATGTTAACACACTTTAAACTAAAGTTTGAATTGAGTTTTTAATAGGCTCATTGAATCTTTTTAAGAAGAAAGTAATCAGAGAACTGAAAATCTCTGAAATGTAATTATTACTAAGCTCATTATATGCTATCACATTAAAATGTCTGACTACTCTATTACTAATAAATGTACGACCACCTCCAGGAGGACCCATAGCAGCAAGAATAATAACATCTTCAATTTTCATAAAGGATAGTTCTTTTCTATTATACCAACCTTTGTAATCCAAATATTATCTCAGTAATTCTAATGGTGGTTATGCACCGTATTATTCTTTCTTTGGCATATTTAAATCATCTACAAAGATAATCATTCTCTGTCTGATTGGAGGACCAAAGACACCTTTTCTTCGTTTCTCTAATTTGGAATCTATTGTATCCTATGTTTAGTTGGCTGATGTTTATGCACTAAAAGTTAGAGCTATATATAAGAAATCATCGCCCATTCCTGTAGTTAGAAGACTAAAGATATTCTGAGTCTTTCCAGTTCCTGTAGGTCCAGGATTAAGAACATTTTTGTTATTTGACAATAGTAATTTCAATAAGTACATATTTCTAGTTGAGTCTGCAGTTGGAATCATGATTTCATGGTAGGCTAATTTAGAATCAATACTAAAGTTTTGATACATTTGATTCCAAGGAATGAATGTATTAGTTGAAATGTCAAGATAAACTTCATAGAAGTCTTCTGGCTTCTCAAATTTGGCCAAGGATTTTAAAGTGTCATTAAATCCTTATCTATTATTGCCAGTTGCACCAATTGACCAGGTGAGTGAAAAGAAGAACAATTTCTCTAAGGCAGCCTCCAATTATTCCATTTCCTCCACCATTATCTTTTTTAATTCACTATCTACATATTACGCCAAATAGCAGTCAAGAATTCTCATTAAAGATTACACTAAATTATTATTGGAAGATGTGACTATCTCTATAATTGATTTTCTTAAGAATTCAATCGTTGGATCAAGATATTATTTAAAGCAGTTTACTAGTTTGTTCTTTATTATTTTACTTTTAACTAAGATAGTCTCAGGTAATCTATTGATCCAGGAATCAATCAATACTTGATATCCTAAAGCCTCTGGTTCCATATAAACCATACCACATCTGCTGACTGTAGCTGGGGATGCTACTGCCAAATCTTCTACTTCAAACATCATAGTCATGTATGGGGTTAATGTTAAGATCTACCCAGAGTTTAAACATAATTTCTTATTATCATCTAGTACAGTATTCATTGATTCAATCCACAAGGCATCCACAGGTCCATCAAAAACAACCCAATGTTTTTCACCTGATTCATCTTTTACAGTTTCTCTAACTATATAAGCTAAGACACCATCTGTCCATTCATGAGTTTATTCATTAAATTGACCATATAATTAACCCATGGTTATAGATTTTGGATTTAATATATGAGTATGTACCTTCAGCTTACATGACATAGCCTTTTGTAAAGTTGTAATTGTAGATGTTTTACCACCTCCAGTTGGACCTACCAACATCAATCCATGTCTAACTTAGATTGTGTCATATAATTATAAGCATTTATCAATAAACACCTTCACATTTTATAAGTTCTGTTATTAACAACAAATGTTTAAGTCTTCTAATAAATCACCATAAGAATACACTGGCTTTTCAACTCCAGGGAATAAGTCATTAATAATATTCTCAAACAAAGGAAGATCATCCTTTAAGAATTTAGGAACATTAACATCTCTCAATGCTCTTAATAGCAGTTACTCTTCATCCATAGTTGGATTTTATTATTTCAAAATACCAGCAGCATTAATAACTGATCTAACAGCTCTCATTCCATAATCGTAATGATCTTAAGAACTCAATTATTCTGAACTCAATTTAAATGTTGCAACCATCTTTTTTGCTAATTCTCTTCCCAATTCAAATCCAAATGAGTAAAACATAATTTCTCCAATCAAAGCATAATCTGGAACCATCATAGCTACACCTCTAAACAAAGCTTTCAAATTATCAGGCAATTCAGTTCTTCCAGCATAACCAGGATTCATAGTAATAAAAACTGAAAAGGTGGCTTAGATTTTAATAATTGATCCTTCGAATTCTATTTGTGGAGTTCCTTTTGCTTTCTCTCCAAATAATACCAATAATTATTATGCAATCACAGATAGCACTTCAATATTAATTCTATTAAACTCATCAAAACAACACCATGCACCTGCACTTGCTAATCCTTTAAAGAACTTACCAACCATTAAATAATCCATAGAATCAGAACAATTGAACACTACACATTATTTAGCTAATGCTTTTGCTAAATCTTTAGTTGACTCTGTTTTTCCAGTACCTGCTGGTCCTGCAGGAGCACCTCCCAAATTTAATTTTAAGGCACCCATCAAAGTCATATAACATTTATCTGTTAAAGGGGTGATCACTAATCGTAGAGTGTTTCCTAAATACTCATAACCATACGGGAAATTTGTTTAAACACATTTAACAAAACAATCCTCATTTTCCCAGTAATATCTCAATTAACTAATCCATTCAAAAGCACTGACATCAGTAACATTCTCTTTAAATAATTTCTCCACAACATCCTTTGCATGAACATCAATAACAATTAATGCATTTATAGTAGTTTGTTATTACTTAGTTAATTTGGTCCTTACTAATTCAACCAGTTTATTGATTTAAGCTTTCAATGTTTTCTCCCAATATTCCATAACATTATTGCTTTTTATAGCTTGTTCCACTTCTTTTGTCCAAAGAATCTGAGACCCATTTAAAACACACTATCCAGGATGTAATTACACCCACTCATGTCTTAGTTTCACTTGATAATCAGAAACACTATTTATTAATGCCTATCTCACACTCAATTTCATCATATCCTCAACTTCTCCCATCCAATCTTCAACATTTTTTTTATTTGGATCTAAAACTTTAACGAACCCTACTTTTTCACCTTCAGCTGAATACATAGCATGAATCTTCTTTGCATCATCAAATTCTATTGAATTGATATTTTCAAACACCTTTCTTAAATGTGGCTAGACTGCTGTTGGTTCTTTAGTTTGTGATAAGATTTCAAGTAAATCATCATTAGACAGGAAATAGAATCTTGCAAATTTTTCTCTTTTCTTTTCCAAATAATTGTTAAGTTCCTTTTAAATGATTTCTAAATTTTTATTTGCTTCCTACAATCTTTCCAATAAACCTTCCTAAGTACAAACTCGTAAGACTTGAGCGTATGTCTTAGCTTATGTCATTGTATGCTTCCAAGTTTAATCAACTGTTTTAAATTTCTTAGTTTCAGCAGGTAATTATTTTGCAATATCTGGAGAATCAAAAATAGGTTAGAGATACATCCACTAAGCTTAACATTTGCACCATTCTTCTAATACGTCAGAGGTCATTTTGAGAGTTGTATTCCAATTATTGATTCTGTCTTCAAATGGACCTTTGAAAGGCGAGAAAGACATAGCTTAGGTATTTACAATATGTTCATCGAGTACTTATTGAATTTCATCATAACCTCTAATGATAAATGTGATTGCTTTGTAAGGCAACAACTAGAAGTTAATTCCTTCCCACATTGTTTCCATTTGATCTAACATTGTTTCAATCATGTATTCCTTTTGGGCCTTTTCTCCTACTTCAACACACACTTCAACATTTTACATTAACCCCATTTCTAATACCTTTGTAAATGTGAACTCACTTTCTGGTTAAGGTTTAACAAATCCAATTCTATTTTTCAATTCTAACCAATGTCTCTCCTTCATTCCTTGTTTACGAAGTGCAACCAATAATGGAACCTTTGGTTTAAACTCTTCAATTTGTTACTTAATTGAAGTAGCAATTCTTAATACACCTTAGAGATCTTTTTCCTTAAAGAACCTGCAAACTCCTGTTAAAATTCTGATGGCTTCTTCCACCCATTTTTCAGCTGAAACAGCATCTATTGTTGGTAATTCGTCTTTCATCCAAGATTCAGAATTAGTAAACCATTAATTTGTAGTTATCCAAAGATTGCTGTAGGGTAGAAATTCTCTTTGAAGTAGGGTTATTTTATTGTAATCAGTTTATTCTTAATCAAATAAGGCTTCTCGAGAATTAAACTTACGTGCTTAATCTTGGAAATCTGCTAGGTATTTATTAACATCTTATGCAGTTTATGCAATTTCAGCATGACTTTTTAAGGCCTAATGTTGACTGAAATTTTGGATGGTTCTTTCCAAATTATCAATGCTCTCTTTAAATTCCTCTTATTAAACTTTCATTTCATCTTAAAATTTAACTTTCTCCTTTTCCATATCCTTTTGTCTTTTAGCAACCAAGTCAAAAGTATCTTTGGGACATCCAAATACATACCATTTTCTATCCAAATCTTCTTTCTAAAATCCTCTATAACTAAATTCATCTAATATTTTATAGATATCAAAACACTTCTAAGTTTCTATTTTCAATTTGTCAACTTCATTGGGTAAATTTTACATAAACTCTTTGATATCTGTCAATTTTTCAATGTTATTAGGGTTCTCTTTAATTTTGTTCTATATTCTCTAATATTCTTAAAAGATCTCCATTGTCTTCTTTCTTGCTCTCCTTGCTATCATATCAACCAATAATTTGCTAATCATGGAGTACTTTTCACATAGATACATTTTAATTTCTCTACATTAAACTTAAAATATTGAAACCTCTACAATATCAGGAATTTAAGTTTTGAGTTCTTCTTCCATTTTATTGTATTTGAATATTTCTTCTTTAAGTTAATCTATTTCCCAAGGATTATCATCCATTTCAATTCTTCTAATCTCATCATCAGGATTCATCTACAAAATGGGTTTGAATTTCTCAAATATTTTTAGATAATCTTCCAAGGGTTTAATTCCTCTAATCAATTCATCTCTGATGTGTTCAACCAACAACCAGATCCACTTATTTTCATCTGGATACTTCTTTGGTCTTTCATTTGGATTTGGAGTCTAGGGTCTTTCTTTTGGTTTCACTGGAGTTTTAATGAAAGAATCTGTTTTCTATTTATAAAGATCAGTAAGTAATTTAGGTTCCAAATCAGGTACTTTTGTAATTTCATCAAGAGTCTTGTCAAATAATTGGATGATCATATTAACGAAATTCATGGGAGAGGTTGAATAAAGAAATTCTTTATCATCGTTAGTTTTAATCATGTCAATGGTAAATATTGGTTTCACTCCAACTAATTTATATTTATTGATGATGTTGGATGGATCATCTACATTGACCTCATCAGGAATGAATGATTTCAAATAATTAACAAATCTATTATAATTGTTTTCTACTAAACTCTATACGGTGTCCTACATCATCAATCTTACAACAGTTAAGAATCTTTTCAATTTACCAAAATCATAAGTGATCTTATTTGATTCCTTCATGTTAAACCATCCTTTGCCAACTCCTGAAAAGTAAGTCTTCATGATTTTTAATAAATCCTAAATCCAAGATCCTCTTAAAGAATAAAGCATTTATGAGATTGAACTCTCTTGCACATGTTTAAATTCTTCCAAAACCATCACTTTGTCAATTTGGAAATTGAAAATCTCAAATTCTTCCATCTTATTGCACTCATATCTGATTTCTTATAATGCTCTAATCACTTCAGTTTTAATAAAGAGAGTGCTGAAACAAAAGTCTTTGAAAGTTTCTCTGAAATTCTTAGGATCTATTTAAGTGATTTCCCTTGGATTATACATCTCCAATTATTTCTCCTTACTCACTGGGAACATCCCATAATAAGGTACTTATTTAGATATATCTTCATCTATTTATAAATTTAATTCTTCATCTTCATACTCTAAATATCTATCAAAAATGATTTTATTCATTGTCCTCATATAATCATAATTGACTTCTGCAATCAAAGCTGTGGTATCTAAATTTTCTAATTTCTTTGTCTTTGCCAATTATTCCAATCTTCTTTTTTATTCTGTATCTAATTCACTTAAATCTTGGATAGGCATTCCATCAATAAAATAATTATATCTAACTCTGCTATCAGCAAGTTCTCTATTTTTCAATGCTGTTCCCAATCTTTTAACAAATTTGCGAGGATCTTCAGCATCAAAACAAATGTACAATCTATGGGCCTTGATATCCCTTCCATCCTTCTCTTTCAATTTCCCATAAAATAATCCATCTCTGTATTCCATTATTTCACATCTTCTTGCTTCGTAAATACCATCCTCTTTCAACAAACAAATTGCATATAGTTTTCTGTTTCTGCCTTCCTCATCCACTCTTCGTTTAATCCAATCCTCATTTGGATAATCATCATTAGAATTATCGTCAAATAATTCAAGTGATAGCCATTAGACTTACGGGTTCGTCATATTTAAATCGATACCCTAACAAATTTCAAATTGATGTCCATACTTCTTAATCTAATAACTGCAGTATATTGAATGATGCATAAAGCTTCTGTTTTCTGTTGATTGCTACTTTTCTTGGAATGTTATCTCCAATCGGCTCATATGGTTCAAGCACTTTAGGCTCCACCACCAATTCCTCAGAGACTTAATTAATTATTGATTCCGTTACTCTTCTAAATTGAATGTGCCCCAGATAATCTAGACGTATTCGTAGTTTTCTTTAATGAATAGGCCTTGGGCACTCTTTATTTCATAGTCGTATTCAAAGTTATATCTGGCAAATATGACAAGTCCTGATATATAACAATTCAAATTTACTTAGTACAACACTGAGTTTTCAGGGTTAATCACTTCTGAGTAAATAGCCCGTTAACGAGTTTGAAAGAACGACATACTAGGTTGTGACATTCCCTCTTAAATAATTTTAAATAAATTTATGTCAGGGTGTCACATCAAAATAATATCAAATAAAAAATCAAACAGGTATTCCGATATCATAATGGCCTGGAATATATATTAAATGAATTTAGTATTTCTTTGATTGACCATAATTCAATTATGTTACTTCACTCTTTCTTTAATCAATCAAATACACATTAATTATTCTAAATTAATATCAATTGTATACATGTTTAAATACTTTGCCAATGACGAATTGATCATCTCTGAATCATTGCATTAGAATTCCCATGTCAGCAATTCATTACTCAAATCTGGCTTGTACTCATTTATTATCTGACTATTATATTAAATATAGAGGAATTAAGCCAAATTCCTAAAAAATATAATAGCAAGCCCATAAAACTCTTGATTTGGATCTGCCATCATATATTCTAAATCCTAAGGCCTATTTCTAAGGCCTTGTAATAACTAAACCAATCTCTCTGCACACATACTCTAATAAAAATCCTCTATAAAATAATCCCCATATTAGATCTAAAATGGCATATTTCGAATTTGTGCCATGAATTCTTCAAATTCCTATTGACTAAACTTCTAAAGCAATATTTCAAAATATTAAAATGCAATTGATGTAAAATAGCAATTACCATCCCCTCTAACTTATCTGTAGCCTTTTAAAAATAAATTAAGTTAAGATTTTGTATCCTTATCTATAAACAGGTCATTATAGTTCTTAGATAAGATTGCAGAACCCAAAAATTTGGCATCAGAATTTCTTATTCTGCATGAAATATTGTATAAATTGAATATTTTCTATTAAACAATGACACCATTATTAGTTATTTATGATTGATTCTAATTTCGAATGGGAGCTGCTGCTTAATCAGGTCTTTGTCTTTCTTAGGAATAGGAAGGCCTAAAGTTGCTCATTAAAAATTCATCTGATGAATATTATGAAGGCTAATTTTCAATATTTATCCACTCTGCTCTGTGAACACGGTGCTATATTCGTGACTCTTAGTAATCATCTTTAAATTTGACTTTAAATCCTGATGAGTCCTTCTAACCTATTGTCGATTAATTTTATTTTAAGTCTAATGATAACACTCGAGATTTCACTTTATTATTTTGTTCAACCGAAAGTTGACTTACTTTTTAGGGTGATTGTCGATCCAATGTTTGTTTTTAATCCTATACTTTATTATTCTCAATTTTCTGAGGTATAGGTTATGAAGTAGACAACTATTATGAGGTTTTTTAATCTTTTGTATTATAGGGGTGTCTTACATAAGATCTTTCATTCTTAGGCTTTGTTATATACTATTATTTAAGGTAAATTAGTAGCACAGCAATTGCCAGACCAATCACAATTATAAGCCAATCATTCATTTTGCAAAGTAATTTTAATAAAATTTATTATAAATTTCTAGTTTGAAATAAGTTTAATTAAGAAATGGTTGTTAAATTCATAATATTGTATTTCTAAATATGTTAAAGTATTGCTTGAAATATCGATATTTAGGGACTTTTTATTTTAAAACCTATTTAGTAATTATTATTTAAAGTAATAATAAATTTCATAAAAGTAATTAAATGATATATAATATTATTAAGGGAAAAAATACGCACTAATACTAAAAAACCAATTTAAAAAAAGAGAAATGAAAGATTTTCTAAGATAAATATATATATATAGATATTTCTATGAATATACTCGAATAAGCAAGATAGCAAGTCTCTTTTGATGTGGACTCTGTCACTCCCTTACTATACGGATCGAAAGAACAAGCCGAGTAATTTTTAGCCATATTTAGACATATTAAATAATTCTTAGAGAAATGCAAGAATATTCCAGAGGTACAGACTAGCCCTGATTATTACAATTGGAATAGAGGAATTCAATTTCTGAGTAAGGGTGATTAGGCTCTTGCTTTCCAAAAATTACTCGATTTTAAATTAGATGAAATTCCTCTATATTTAGGCACTATAATTTATTCAGCTACCACCAATTATTATGGTGTATACTTCGGAATGGTGTTACCTGCAATCAAAGTATTAGGAACAGACGAATAAATAAATGCGTAAAGAATGTTTTTTGAAAATTTAGTTGGTACAAAGATTGCCTCAATTTAAAAATTGCAGGTTGTTACGCTTAAACTGAATTGGCACATGGTTCGGATGTCTAAAGTCTCCAAACAACAGCTACATATGATCAAAAAACAGATGAATTCATAATTCACACACCTTCTGTGGAGGCAGTGAAATGTATTAAATTAATAATTATACTAGTCTGGCCAGGAGAATTGGGGTTCTTGGCTAATTGGGCATTAGTTTATGCAAAGTTAATAGTAAATAATAAATCACATGGAGTGCAAGCCTTCATGGTTCCTATCAGAGACTTCAATACTCATAAGCCATTGCCAGGAATCGAAGTAGGAGACATTGGCCCTAAAATTGGATATACGTCTAAAGACAACGGTTATCTGAAGTTCACTCATTGCAGAATACCTAGTTTCAATATGTTGGCCAAGTACATCAAGGTTACAAGAGATGGATAAGTGATTAGACAAGGTGATCCCAAAGTGTCTTATTCAGCTATGATGATAATGAGAAAATTAATTATTACTGTATATCCAAGGACAGCAGCAACATCATTAACAATAGCTATCAGATATTCAATTGCTAGACAATAATTTACAAATGATTAAGGCTAAGAGAATTCAGTATTGGAATACTAAACCTAGCAACATAAGCTATTACCTTTATTGGCTAATCTTTATTCTATAATTTTCACAGGATTAAAAGTTGGTCAATTGGTTGATCTTAATTTCAGTCAAGTTTAAAAACAAGACTTTTCTTTAATGGCTATCTGTCATGCTATCATTTGTGGAACTAAAGCAAATTTTACATATTTTGTTTCAAATTGTGCAGAATGGTGCAGATTATCCTGTGGTGGACATGGTTATGCCCATTATTCTGGATTACCTGCCATTTATTAGGATAATTGCCCTAATATTACATTGGAAGGAGAAAACTAAATAATGTATTTATAATTAGCTAGATTTTTACTAAAATTATATAATCAGGCTAAATAAGCATCAAAGAAAATCAACGAAACATATTTTGGATTATTTAACAGAGTAATTAAGTCATTTTATTATATTTTAGCTTTAAGCCATCACAGATTATAGATGCACTCAATTTACTAGGGAATAAATTCTTTAATTATTGGAATCCAATGTGATCCATTCAATTCAAATAACAAATGATAAAATGATGGCTCACATTAATAGTGGATTAGATCCTAAATCAGTGTGGGATTACAAAATTGGAACTGATCTTTGGAGCTCTGCCAATAATTTCATAGAATATTATAAATATCTTAGTTTCTTATAAACTATTGATTAGGCTGATAATAACAACACAAAAAGAGTGTTGAGAGATTTAGCTGATCTTTTTGCTGCTAGCATTTTATTGGAAGGATCAAGTGTATTAATAGAAGCAGGTGTTATTAATGTGGAATCTATCAAATTGATTAGAGAGTTTTATACCTAACAATTGACAATCATTAAGCCTGAAGTATTATGTCAATTTTATCTAGGCTATTGGCTTAGTTGAAGCCTTTAGGTATAATGATGCCTCTTTGAGGAGCACCATTGGTTGCTCTGATGGGTAGCCTTATGAAAAAACATATCATTCAGCTATTAATGAGAATACATTAAACAAAACTGACTTCAAACCAATTGTCAATCAGCTCAAAAATATCAAAGCCAGATTATGAAAATATCAATAAATAACAAATGTTAACATTAAAATATTTAATATAAATCTAAAATCTTTTATTAATTCTAAATTTCTGTTCCTTAACAGAATTAATCTGTTTTATTTAAATTAAAAAAATATTTACAAAATTTAAGTCATAATTGATTATGAAGATTTTAAAGAATTTAATAAAACGTCTTGCCCAAATGAGTTATCCATTCCATCTATTGTTGAAATAATGATTCAAATTATTATCTATCATGCAATCCTAAAATCAAATTCTCACCTTCATCTATTTTATCATCTTCTAAAAGGTAGGCTTTTAGCTTCTCATCAAGAACTATTTTTCTCTAATAAAGCTGAACATTTATTTATTTAACAAACTTCATATCTTCGAAAAAGTCTATATACAAAATTTGAATGAAACTAGCAATAATAGTTACAAAAAATTTGCATAATTTTTCATGAGTATCATTCTTATACTTAAGTGAATTAAATGTCTTCAACATGTATTAAATGATTAATCGAAAAAATATATATTCTGATATAATTAACATTTCTTATTGATTTGATAATTTTAGAGTGTTTTTCACATAAAAATTTGTTCTCTTTGCTACAAATAAAGATACTTTTGGATTTTGTGAATAAAATAATGATAAGTACATTAGATCTATGATTAATGATGGGAGAAGTTTATCTCTTGTCATGTATTCTAAACGATCAAAGAAATTGTATGTTATTTTTATTATTAATTCTTATCTGTATATAATGTTTTCATCTTTATTGGCATTATAATTTGGAGTATCACAATGAGCATAAAATTATTCGTTATTTAGCATTTAAATGACATCTTCCAAAAGATCATTGACCCATGTAGAAAGTAGATTCCTTATGTTGTCTTCTGGGATTGCCAACAATTTCTGTTTCGCTATTTCAAATTTCTCCTTCAATTTTTTTAACTTTAATCTATTCTCTTTGAGTTTCATTCTCTATTTCCACAATAACCTAATGCATGCCAACACAACTATCAGATACTTCTTTAATCTTTTTCTTTTCTTCAAGCTTTTTTAGGTTTTATGAGATTATCGATTGTTGTTATAAAGTTATTTTGGATTTTGATTTTCAAAATTATCAGATATTTGAAATTCAATAGCTTCATGTTTATTTGAAATTTAATCATTGAACCTTTAGGTCTCTTCTTCTTTAGTATCGCTAGAGGCAATTGATAAACTTTATTGTTTTTGGTATTTTTAACTAAAATTTGAACTTTAAGATAATTTGGCCAAGTTTTATTGAATTGATGGATTTTTTTTTTTTTTTGAGATTAATTTCAGGGTATTTTCTAAATCAATTTAAATTTTTTAAACCTATTACGAAAGAAGTTCATTTTGTAGCTTTAACTACCTATTCTCAATTTCTATCAATTGCTATTTTAATTGCTAATTCTATGCAGCCATAAATTATTGTAACCTTTCCTGATGTTCTAAATGAGATTAAGCCAAATGATTTTGTTTTAATTCGTTTTCAATAGAATATCGATTATTTGGGATTTAAACACTATAGCTTCTAGGCTGAATTTCTTAAGGTTAAAGCAAATGGGAACGATGATTTTATCCTAGAAACATAGGTTTGTTAGGGTTCATATTAAAATCCAGAATCCTTTTTTATAATTAGAGCATTGAATATTTATAAAATATAATATTGAGTAGAATTACATTGTAATAATTTCAATAAAGGTACTCACAATAAAATAATATTTAACGCTTGAAACCTAACTACATTCGTAAATCAATTAATCATAAATATTAATATTCCATCCAGATATAATATTGAATTATTAATTGATTTTGATCAGTTATAGTTTATACGAGATGAAAAAAATTAGATCAGTCAAAAAATCACTACTTAAGAACCCAAATTATGGATAAATTTTTTGAATAGTAATTCTAGTTTTTAGTTCTATTTCTCTCTTTATTAAAGTACTAGTTAAATTTATTATTCATGTTTCAATCCTAAAATCATACTTTCCTATTTGCTTTTTTCCTTTGTATCCAACAATTATAAAAGTTAATCTTCATCAGGAGTAATGTGTATCATTCTAGTGTATAATTGATCTTCTTGAATATTCTAATTTATTAATGGCATATCTTAGAAGGCTCTTATGTAGTATAGGTTCAGGATGCTTACCAATTTTAATACTTATATTTTGCAATTAACATTGTGATTAAATGATTGATATTTCAAATTATTCGCTAATTCAAATAGTTGTATCACTATTCCGTTAAATAAAATATATTCAGAAGATAATAATTAGAGTTCCATAATACTGAATGGTTTTTTATTAAAATGAGTTCTTTATGCCACGAACAACTATACAAATTAATTATTTTCTTTGTATATAGATTATGACATTGCATTTATTATTTCTTTTGGTATATTGCCTTTTCTAGTAATGAGTTCTAAATTTTAAAATAAAAATTTTGCAAAGTTTAAAGTCCAGATTGATTCTGAATCCTGAACTTCTCTCTAATCAAATATATTTTCTTGAAAAATTTTAGGAAATGAATTTTGCAGATAGTAAAATATTTTCTATAAAGAGGGTTCTATCCATTACTTAAAAGATTTTGATAGAGATTATTTTATATTTCTATCAAATTTAAAAGTTTTCCTGAGATTTAGAGCCAATTTTACTTTACTATTTATTAGTATTCTTTTTGGACTCGTACTGGGTAAAATGTGATAGAACAATAGAATAAATTTCCCAATTACCTTACAAATAACTTAAAATTTTCTTATTCCTACTACTTTTTAAGTTTTTATCTACTTAATTTTTGGAAGAATTAATTTGCAGTTTAAAGAATAACTCAATGAATTTGGTTAACTGTTTTTAATAGGCTAAGAAAAGATTGTTGAATAGTTAGCAATGCATTCAGACCTCAGCTCTACCTCTTCATTTAAATTTTTCCTATTTTGAGAAGAATACTTATTTGAAGATTTATTGTTTGAGCTCTAACTTAATTTTTAATAATTCTCTTTATAGATAAAAATTGTACATCTTTTCGTTCATCTTTACGACCATCGAGATTGTTGATATATGAATTTAAAGGAACATTGTAATTTTTTTAATGTAATTGAGATTTTGTTGTACTTATTTAATCGTGATCATATTCATAATTCTAGTCTAATGTAGATTTATATTAAAAATGATTTTATCTTCTATTTGGTGATTTTAATTTTATTTATTAGGGTTCCTTTGTTCTTGAAGTATCAATTGATTTACTCCATGAGTCAAAAATGTAATCAAGACAGCTAGATTATTTTATTGCTTGATGGTTGGAACTCTGCATTCACTAAATACAAAAAAAATTATTAAAAATATTAAATTTATTAATACTAGAATTATCTAATTAGGTAACTGTTATAGAATATAATATTAATATCAAACATAATCCATAATAAGCATATATCATCTCTTATCATACCACTTCAAAAAACAAACCTAATCAGTTGATATCTTAAATATTACAATAGTAGATCTACATGGAATATTTCTGATTTTTAAAGTTATCTATTTTACTATTAAGGGGTTATATTAAGTATACATATACCTATTTATTAGTTAAATTAATAGTTATAAAAATCAAAATATTTTACTTATATATTTTTCATTATCAATTAATACTAGTTTAATAAAAGAATAACATAGCATATTCTATTGTTTAAATTAGTATTCAGATTTCTGAGTTTAAATAGTCTTAGTTAGTAAAAGATTTATATGACAATTAAGCATTTTGTTTTCCAATTTTATCATAAATTATTGTGTAAAATTCTTATTTAACTTTAAATTCAGAAATAAATATTATAAATTAATATAATTTTCAATTATGCTCTTATTCTGTTTCATTTGATATTGAATAAAATTCTTTATTTTTTTGTTGGTTTATAAATTATAAAATAAATAAAATAGTGTATAAATCTTAATAAGATTTAGAGCTAATTTTAATATCATGTTAGTCAAATATGATGAGCTGAATGAAAATATTTTTATTTACATTTAAAAGAGAATCATCAACATCATAAAATCCAAAAGTGAATTAGAAATCTAAATAATCCTAAAATTATATAATCACACAAGTGTATATAAATTAACGTTAAATCACCTAAGTTCAAATTAGTTTCCATGAGTTCTAAAAGAAATCTATTACAATAGTATATACATAATTACGTTTAAGTTCGCTTTCTTTTTAAGTAATATTTCTGGCTGACACAGGGTTCTTTACTAAAGGAGAACTCAGAAAATTATTTGCAATTTGATCAAGACTAACTTTTTTCTGAGTAAAATAATTGTTTGACTATTAGGGTAATTGGTAGGGTTTATTTTTCTATTAAAATTGATTGGCTTGTTGATTATTTTCTTTTTTATTGAAATTTAACGATTTCAGATTGGATTCAATGTCTTACTATATTTATGCTTTTTTAGATTTAATTTATAAATCATCCTTTTTCTTAAGAATTGGTGAGAATTGCGAATTCATTAATTGATCCTTAGAATTCAAAACAGATTTAGGTTGATAAAAATTGAAGTTTCCTTTCTATGGAGACAAAGATTATTATATGTTAATGACTTTTTCTTTGAGTTCTGCCATTCCATCTCTTAGTTTTTGTTATTTGCAAGAGCCTAAAAATAATGAAAATTTGAATTATAACTTGCAATAAGTTTAATAGTTTCGATGGAAATGTCTGAAGTTTTTGTTTTCATAGCTTAAATTCCAATGATTACGAGGTATTTAAATAGTTTTTAGGTAGGTTTGAGTTCGTAATCAAGCATAAACTGATTTAGTTCTTTTATATTCATTGCTTAATATTTTTGTTATAAATTATAGCATAAGAAATTCAGAATTAAAAATCAACTCTAGAAAAGATGAATTGAACTCATGGAGAACTTAAAATGATGAAGTAATTGGGGGATTTAGAATTAGGAAAGTAGAGAATAATTGATCAGAATTAAAATATTTGAAGTTCAAGAATAAAAGGGATTCTTGGAAGAGTATATTGATTTAGGAATTAAGAAGAATTGAAAAACGATCTAAGTTGCAGTTAAACTTATTTTATAATATTGGGAGATATCAGAATATTAGTTGAATTAAAAAGATATATGATTGAATATTTATAGATGAATTCATAAGACAAGATTGATGATAATATTAATAATATAATTTAAGCTATGAAATTATTTGGTTTTTTATAGAGACAAACAAGTAATGAACATCATATTATTTACTCAAACAATGACGAATATCATGGTACTTTCTTTGTTAAATTTGAAAAGGTGAGATGAAAGACAACATGAAGCATGGCAAAGGAGTTTATAAGTTTGCTAATGGCAACCGTTATGAAGGGGAATGGCTATTCAATCAAAAACATGGAACTGGAAAATATTTTTATAATAGTGGAGAATTATACATAGGACAGTGGTAACAAAACAAGAAGAATGGACATGGACAACATTTTGGAGTTTATGGTGATAGATATGTTGGACAATGGGTGAATAATTGTAAACACGGGAGAGGAACAATCTATTATGCTGAGAACTCAATTTATTCAGGTATTCATATTGATGTATAGGTGTAGGTGAATTTTCAGACAATAAGAAGCATGGTCCAGGCTATTTTTACAATTCAAGTACCAGAGAGCTGACTTATTAATTATATGATAATGATAAATTAAAAGAGTAAAAAGTAGTTGATTAAGTTCCTTGCGAATTTGAAAATGTGTTTTCTGCTGTTTTAGTGAAAGATAATTAAATAATACATCCTCAACCATTACCCAATACTTAAGTCGAGGAGACACACTAAATCTAGCAGGAGGCACATGGATTCGACACCTTATAAGCAATGAATGAGACAGTGACAGTCAAAGGGAAAAAGAAAAGTATTTAAATCTTATATTATATTTTAATTTAATAGTGTAGGATTGGAATATAGAGGAGGTTTGTATTTGGTTGGATTGTTTAGGATTATCATAATATAAGGAAAATTTTATTAAAAATCACATGATCGGAGACACTTTACATGATCTAACAGATGTAGAGTTGAAGGAAGAGTTGGGCATTGAGATATTAGGACATAGAAAACTCATACTCCAGTAAATAAATATGCATAAGAAATATTATATCAAAAAAATGGCAGGATAACTCCATAGAGCTGACAGCGAGAACTCAGCTGACTAGTCTTCTAAATATGATCAACTGTATTCCATTATACAGAAGATTGAACCAGCAGTTGAAAGTCCTGGGATAGAAGTGCTCAAATAGAAGAAATCAAGACGTAAACGGTCATCGGGTTCCGAGGATAAATTGATTTCACCTGAATAAAAAGAATAGCAATAGGAGACTGCTAAGTTCTCACCAAAACAAGGAAATTAGGGATAGAGTTTAAAAGTAGAGTCTAAATAGGTTGTAAGCAATTTTAATATTAATAATGCAACTGGCTCAGAATCTTCTGATGAGAGTTCTTCCAGTTCTAATGAAAAACCTTAGGAGTTGCAATTGGAATCGAATCAATCTAGTTCACCTAGTAAACATTGCATACTCTCAGAGAAGAATTTGTAATAAAAGCATTAGGAGAAACTAATGAGTTTGCTGTAGGATTTGGGAATCAATGAGAAGCTGTTGATTAATTATTAGGAGATTAAGCAAGGACCTTAGATTGGAAAAGGAAGTTATGGAATAGTCTTCAAAGGGAATTGGCTCGGCTAAGATGTAGCCATTAAATCTTATTGCAAAAAGAAGGAACAGCAAAAACATAAATAATTAATGGCTGATTTTCTTAAAGAAGTTTAAGTTATCTCTAATTTGAGGCATCCCAATATAGTTCTGTATATGGGTGTTTGTATTAAGAGGCATAATTTTTACTTAATTACTGAGTAATTAACGATTTAATTTTAGATATATGGAAAATGGGAGTTTATATGATCATATTCATAAAAAGAAAACTAAAAATCTTAATTTTATTTAAATAATCGAAGATATCACTTTGGGAATGAATAATCTTCATGGCAGAAGAATAATGCATTGTGATTTGAAATCCTCCAATGTGCTCATCGATTAGAATTGGAATGTCAAACTCTGTGATTTTGGACTGTCTAGAATTAAGAGCAAGAAAACTAAAAGTATGATTGGAACACCCCATTGGATGGCACCTGAAATCATGAGAGGAGAACCTTATACTGAGAAATCTGATGTGTATTCATTTGGAATGATTCTATGGGAAATCATTACTGGGAAAATACCTTATGAGAATCTGTCTATTACCTAAATCATTGGAACAGTTGGATGGGGACATACTTAAGTTGAGATCCCTCAATTCAGTAATCCACCTATTTTGGCCATTCTAGCAAAGGATTGTCTTAAAAGAGAACCTTCCTAAAGACCAACATTTGCTAAAATACTAGAGAAAATACAAGAGAGTCAAAAGCAGGAATGCAAAAACAAAGAGAAAGCTAAGAAATTTTTAATTGATTTTTTATCTAATTGACATTAATATAAATGTATTTATATGACTGATGGATTCGAAAAAATAAGCAAAGGGATCAGAATAAGTTTAAAAGAGTCGAGGCAATATTGACATGTTGATTCGTACAAAAAAAGAGGAACTATATACAATCAAATAGAAAAATGATTAAAAATAAAAGGAAACAAGAGCACAAGAAGAATTCAAAAGGGCTGAAAGGGCAAATAAAATAGAAGACGAAAGCAAAAAGGCCAATTCAAAAAATGCTGAATTGGAACAGGAATGGTGTAATCTATAAGAAAAAGATGAATGTGAAGAACTTAATAAATTGATAAACTAATAGAAAGATAAATTTGCATAAATAATGCATGCCAAAGATGAATTGATTAAATAATTTCTTGATGAATTGAATAAGAAAGATGATGATTTTGGTAAAATGATTAAAGAGCAAGCCATTGATATTCAAACATTAATTTAGAAAATGAGATCTCAATTTTTTTAATTAAGAGAATGCATACATGAAGATCTTGAATCCATTGAAAATGAATACATTGAAGAAGTATAATCATATATAATAATCAAATTAGAGAGCCAATTTATTGAATAATTATTAAACTGAAATAAGAAATTTATTTGACAAAAGAACAGAGAAGGAAAAATCATTTGTAGATGAGAGAGAAAGAAAAGAGGAAGAATATACTAAAGACATTGAAAAGTTAAGAATCTAAGGATTGAAATCATATGCTGAACTCAAAATCTCAATGGAAACAGAAATCTAAAATTTGGAAAAGTGTTATGAAGATATGAAAGCACTCTACCAATTGAATACTGAAAAATTAGATTACAATCTAAAAGTGCTAAAAGAAAAACAAATCTCACATACACACACTCATGATGATCTAAAAAGAAAAGACTAAAATTTAAATAATAGATTAAGAAGTCTAATCAAAGATTATAATGAATTTGATACCAAATTTAAATAAACAAACAAAGAATTAACTTAAGAATACAAACGTATTACCAGGCAATTTAAAGAATTACAGAGAAAATTTAAGCATTTCGATAAGGCCGATTAAAAAGCTTATGCTGATATACATTCTATGAATGAATTAGAAGTCAGAAAACTCAAGGCGAAAATTCTAAAATGTGACAAAACCATTCACATTTAATAATTAGGTGTAGATTGGGAAGAACCATAAGACTAAAAAGAAACATAAGGTATTTCTATTCTATTAATATAAAAAAGAAAAATCACAAATCATGGCTGAAGAGGAAGTTCAACTACCTTTAAGCGAAGACAAATTAGAAGAAATAGTCGAAATCTTAATTGAAGAAGTTGATTTCTTGATTGATGATAAAATGAGAGAAACCTTAGAGAAGGCTGAATAATAAGAGATTACTAGTGTTAAATTAGGAGTCATAAAGAAATGTCTCAATATTGATTCAATAGATGAAATGCTTATTTTCATTGACGAATTAATAAAAAATTGTGAATTAAAAGTCCAAGAAGAACAACCTCAATAAGAAGCTGTCACTGAAGCTATTAAAAAGGTTTAAATTGAATAACCTTAAACTGTACCAGACGAAGCTCCTAAAATTAATTATGAAACATTTATCATAAACTAAAATAGCATTATCAACTTTTTAATGCATTGGATGAAAACTAACGAATAAAGGAAGAAACAAATTGAAAAAATGTCGTCAAGAAGAGCGGCTAAATAAGAAACTGAAAGATAAAAAAAAGAGCGAATAGCAAAGGAAGGCAAAAAATATTGGGAAAAACTTACTTAAGTTCTCCCAGAGAAAACCTTTAGAGTTTGGAGGATCCTAGACAAATAGTTGAGCAAATATTACGAATTACTTCTTAAAAGATCTAAATTAGTAGAAGAAACAGGATAAATTCATAATCATAATGAAGAATTAAAAAATCTACTCAATCAATATTTATAAGTATCTCATTATATTTAAATTAGATTAATCATGAATTAAAAATACCTCCTACAAGATTTTTAAAGCTAGAATAGTAATAAGATAATGTAAAATTGCAAAACAGCAAATGATATAGTCAATTAATATAGTAAATATAGATAATTTCTAATTGTTTTAATTTATCAACTTATATATAAGCCTTTTACTGTTTATTAATCTCTAAAAAATAGGTACTCCCTTACGAATTCGTCTTTAAAAATAAACTCAATTGATTAACTCTTCCAAAATTTATAGTTTTCAATAAATTATGCTTGCAATTAATTGTTCAACTTGAATGCATTAATATAGAGAATCTTTGAATCTTCATCTTTGCATTTGTAGATCGTACTGATCCAAATATAAAATTCTCCCTTAAATTTAGATAAATTTATAGATTATTTCTTTTCAGTTTCAATGCTAACTTATCCATTAAGCAATTCTTTAGATTTCAATGTAAAAAAATAATCTGAATCAAAGCGAAAATCACAAAATTTATAAAACTTATCTACCCTATCCTTCAAAATTAAAATTTGTTATTCTTAAATTTCTATTACAAATTTAACCTTAAATTATGTAGGCATTTATTTATTCATTTTCATAATCTCATTAGATCCGTCAAAAATGTGAAAATCCTCGTCCACAACTATCAGTATTTAATTAGTATTATGTATTTTTTATATTTATATATTTTACCCTACTTTACATTACATTTCAATCCTTTAAGCTTTAGGATGGCTAAGAATTACCAAGATTAATAATTGTTCTGAATGGTGAATTTCTATTAATATAATTTGTTCATTAAATGAAAAAAGCTTAAATGTAGATTCGCAATCTAATTAATATCTAATTACTAATATGATACTGTTAATAAGGATGATGAGGAATTAGAAAGGAATTTGTCTGTTATTTTGGGTCGAATTAAATTAGACTTCTATTTCCCTATCTTGAAATTAATGCAACTAAAAATTTGTCATTTGAAACAATATTGGATAAAATAGCTAGTCCTTATCCAATCTAGTAGGGCTCTTCAAATTTGCAGCATCCGTTTTATACTTCAAAATATAAAAACAATTAATTATTTAATGCAATTGTCGTCGATTCTATTAAGTGAAGTTTAATACTTAATTTTTATTCAAAAAATTATTCCCCTAAAATAGCATAGCCATTAGTCAGCTAAACTATTTGTTTGATTGAATTGAATTATGATAAATCCAATTTAAAAGTAATGAATTTTGTAATCATGTATTAAATGAAAATTGTAATAAAATTAATTTTGATTAAATTACATACTAACACTAATCAACAAGACTTTCTTAACCATCTCATTTAAATTAAGTTGTTTCTTTAACCAATCTTTGTTTGTCCGTGTGCTAATGTTCTTGTCTTTTAATAATAAAAATGTCTCAAATGGCCAACTATAAGATCATTACTTAGCAAAGCTAATTGATTTTCATCAGCAACATCCACTAAATTATTATATTAATAATTTACATTGCTCCACTTTTTCAGGTTCTGCAACTTTGAATGGAATGTGATTCTACTTATAATATTTTCTATAATCTCTATGTCCCAATCTAATTATAAATTATATATTATTACAATTTTCCATCTGGTAACAACAATTCTCCAGTCTTTGTCAATGTAGCCTTATGTTTACTAATCTATTTTAATAATTATTTTAATCTCTTCTATCTGAGTTATTCATCAGTTTATAAATCATCAGTTTATTTCTATTTTAATTTCAAGTCCTCTTCCTCTTCATCAGAATCTAAATCTAAATCTTCATCATCTTCCCAATCTCCTTCTTCTTCAACTTAGTTTTCAACTTTCTTATCCTGTTAATCTTCTTTTTATTCTTATTTCAATTGCAATTATTGTTTTTTGGCTTCAATTTATAGTTGTTATTCCTTTTGCTCTGCCAATATTCCTAATAGCTTTTCTTCGAAATTGTAATATTTTGATAAAACTTTATATTCTTATTGAGGCATAAAACAATGTCCCTTGTCTAGCATATGATCTTTTGTGGCGTGGCTGTTTTTGAATGTTTAGAAACAATGTAAACAAGTATTATTCTTATTAATTTGTTCTGATAAGGCCTTTAGCAATCCTTCAATATTTATGCAGCATTTTTATTCACGAATGAAAAATCCATGATTGCTCATATGTTTTAAGCAATCTTCAAGAGTATCGCATAATTCATCACAAAATAAGCATACATTACTATTCAATAAGGAATCTCCTGTTTAACTTCTATTTGTTGTGATAGGAGATTTTAATTAATTTTATTAATGGCTTTTTGAAACAAGATGAGCTTAATAAGTTTTACTTGACTTAAACTCTTTATTGCAACATTTAAATGTTTAAGATTGAATTGGGGTTATGATCTTTTACTCTGATATTTTGTCAAATTCTAATAATTGATTTTGATTAATTACTTTCCTTATAAGCTTCAAATGAGACTGGAGCGAGGTTAATCATTTTTCTAGCAATGTTATATCTATGGAAATCTGTTTTGTAATGCTCCTTATAGGCTGGTTCTTCTGGGAAATTAAGTAAACAAGAAGAGCAAACTAATTGACTCATATTATAATTTTATTATTTTAATTAAAAAGGAGATAATAATCATTTCTTCCATGATTATCTTAAAATACCAATACTTTTTTGCTACTTCTTGTAATGTTGCATAGTCTTTGAAACAAGATCAAAACTATTTCCCATGACCTATGATTGTCTAGTGGAATTTCTCATCAGTTTTGAATTTCTGTTATACTTTTCCAAACTAGTGGATTCGATTCTCTAAGATTGAAACATTCCACTTTAGTTGTCTTCCACACATCTTCGAAGTTTCAATAAACTCTATTCCTTATCAGACTATTGTGTATCGACTCTGATTTGCATTTATTCAATGTTTTTGTGATCTTGCATTTTTTTAAATAATTGTTGTGGATTTGAATAAATTTTTAATAACTATTTTGAATTTATAATTGATGCTGATTGAGTAGATTATTTTGTTTTGGCACTCACTAATTAATTCAATCTATCATAAGCAGTCGGTGATTTCTTATTAGGATCTATAATAAAATTAGTTTAATTGAGATTTTAGACTTTATTTATTGATATTTACGAACATACATTTTCTAATTACTTAATTTTTTCATTTTAATTTTTGACTTCTGTTTCATATTTCTAATATTCCTCCTCTAGTTTTTGCGTGAGTGCTTCTATATGTAATCTTTATTATTATTCTACTCTTATATGTTATCGAATTGTATTTTCAAGTCTTTAGATCTCTTGTTCATATTTGTTATCATTGAATTCTTCTAATTGTACCTTCAGATTCTACACAAGAGTTGTGAGTTCTCGAACTAATTCAAGAATACATTTTCTTAATCTTTCATTAGAGACTTCTTTAAACTGTTATATGTCAGCTGATTAAGGCTTGACAATTTATAAGAGGTCAGCAAAGAGAGAAGCTAAACATTAATTATCTTCCATAATAATTTAAATTTTTATATCTCATCCGCTCTTGAACAAAAGAATTGCTACCTATCCCATATAGAAATAGATGAAATGCTTGGTTTCATGTGTAACATAAGATCCGAAGTTTCTGCCCACAATACAATGCCAAGTTGGATTATATTTCTTGTCAAACTCTTTCTTGATGAATGCCTAATCAATCTAAAATTTTATTTACAGCAATATCTTTCTCGATATTGAATTTCTCTAATGCTTGATTAGCACAATCAATGGCATCTTGTTACATTTCCTCAGACATATCAGCATTTTTCACAACAGCTTTTCTATCAGCTTGGGCCATTATTTAATTAAATATTTTTAATAAATATCATCAAATCAAATTCTGATTACTGAAAACAAGTGACGAATAGTAGTAAAAACTGGTGAAACAGATCTCTTATATATGGTTATTTTTGGGGCTGATTACATTGTTGTTAAAGTATTTTATTATCTAATATTTTTAGGAGATTTTGATTGAGAAGGCTATGTTGAAAATTTATTTTATCTCTATTTCTCAATTCTTAATAAGGCTTTTTCTGTTTAACATTTTGATAATTTAGCTTCTAATTCATCTTACTAATCATTTTGGTTGTAAATTTGAAGATCTTAATCATTAGATACAATCTAGGAATCTTGCAAAATTTCCAACTCATCAGCATTATTAATATCATCTTCATCAATCAAAATTTATGAGAGATTCTCTCGATGAGCAGGATGAGCACTTTGAACAGTTGATGCCAAAGATAAATGATTTTACTCACTATTGAGTAGCAATTGATTTATTATCAATTATTGGATATTGGAAAGAGAGACCATGGTGATTTAGGAGGGCTTAAAATTCACTTTATTAAAGAGTTTGCCTAAATAATCATTAAATCTTTACTAATCAATTCTCTTGGTACAAGATTTTTGCCATAAAGCTAATGTGACACTAATTTTCCATGAGTATATTTATTCCAATACCATTCTTATAAGTAATTATTATAATGAATGCCTTCTCCATTCTATTTTCCTTTATATACGTTTCCATAGTAAATGTCACCATTTTTATAATGCATAACTGTGAATCCATCATACTTTTGGTTCTTAGTCACTCCATAACTTAATGGATTGATCCTGATGAGTAATTTATTGCCGTAACAATTATTCTTAAATGGAATAATTTTTTATATGAAGCCAATATTTTCAATGTTTTCAACACTCTTGATGGTATCATCATCTCCCCAGAATAACTTTAGACAAGAGTTCTTCAGTTTATAAACACCTACATCTTTAGGTTTGGATCTCTTAAAGAATCCATAATAATACGCTAATTATTTATGTCAATATTACATCCATCAGGATTGATTACTAAACTATATCCCTCGAGGTGTTGTTGATTAAAAGATCCGATATATAGAGTACCATCACTTTGAAGAATCATGTCTTTATCAAGCAGACAATTTTATAGTTGTTGCATTAATTTATTAATTAAGTGAATATGAACCCAATTTCGTTTTTAATATAATAATGTTAAAAAAAATTGTTTTGCTCTTGATCCTCATAATAGCTATCTAAGCTAGACACCATAAGCTGAGACACACTAAATCAGTTGTTGGACATAACTTAGCAATGAAACCTGGAGATGCTTGTTTACCAACAACCAATTTGGGTGGACAGAAAAAAGAAGAAACAGCTGCCAACTAAGCCAGAAAACATTTGACTGTACATTAATAATTAAAAACTAGAAATTTGCTGATGATTTGACTGAAGAAAATAGAAAAGCAACAGAGAAAGAGCCTTTCCCCAATTTATACACATACTAAGATGATAATTGTGTTGGAAAAGCCTAAGATCCTCCAAAGAGAGATAGAAGAATGAGAAGAAGCTGATTTGATAGAATAACATCTTATAATTTACATATTCTATAGGTTTTTAAGCTCAGCAAAAATTAAATTAAACATAAAAGTCATCATATTTTTCTACTTAATTAATATAATTAATGAGCAATTTTGATAATGAGATTCAAGACAACCAAATAGAAATTGACTTGTCCATCAATAGACAGATTTTCTCCTTTCTATAATAAGGAATCGATCAATTCAATATTTTTATGGGTGATATTCCTCCCATGAGGAATGATGGTTTCTTTGAAGATGGAGATAACTAAATTTACTTTTCTTTGCCAAGACCTTTATTGAGAGATAGACTATCACCAAGGTATATTTGTGCACAAGATTTAGAGAAAAACCGCAAAACATTTAGAATTATCTTCAAAAGCGCACCGACCCAATTTAAAACAATTAATTTGATCCAACACTACCTCATATCAAAGTTAGTTAACTTAAAAACATGAACACACACCATCATTATTTTATTAATGAATTTGGGTAAATAAGAATGAACTATTTCATAGTCTTGTAGATTCATAAAAAAATACTAATTCTGTTGACATACTAATCGGCCGATAATATCGCCAAAATTAAGATATAATTCCTAATGACATAAGTAACAGATCTTTATTCTAACACTATAGTTTTACCTGAAGATAGAGTGATATCCCGAATCCATTGTAAGATAATCTACAATGATTACTTCAGAAAACAATAAATACTAGATCCTATTTATGCAAAAACCTTAGAACTTATCAAACTCCCAGCCTAAATAAAATATAAAATTAGCTAATTTTTAGAGTATGTTTCTATTAATATAGAAATCCTAAAATTGTGTAAATATAAGACCTGGGGAGCATATATGGAACGTACTTGCGAATCTTTAGATAAGAACCTTGTGTGCTAAAATAAGGTCATAAATTCAGTATTGGAAGCGACACTTTTTTTAATATATTGTTAAATCACAATTTGAATCCTAATCTCAAAGATATCGATGATGAATGGTATAGTATAATTAAACACTTATCTACGTTGAAATCTTCACAAAAACATGAAATTCATTTGAGTGACTTATTAAATCAAATCGGCATTTTAGAGCCTCTTGAATCCATAAAGAGTCTTTCAATTGAAGATCTTTATGCAAAATTAAGGGAATACTCAATACCTATTTTAATTGTGAAATTCCAAGGTCAAGGAGTATATATTAATAGATCCATAAATTTATTTGTAGGGCAGACTTAGACAGATTCTATTGACTTTTTCGTAGGGAGGGGATCTGAAAATAATATAAAGATCAATTCTAATACGATATCGAGGAAGTAATGTCGAATTAAGTACTCTCAAAAGTAATAGGATTATTTAAATTAGGTTGTCAGCATGGATAATAAACGATGGATTTTAAGATAGAGATTCTGCTAATGGGACTTGGATAAGTGTACAAACTGCAGAATAATCGGAATAGAAAGCTGAATCAAATTTGATAGAACTTCATCATAATGATGAAATAAAGATCAGTGATTCCATTTTAAAACTTGAGTTATTTTAAGGCAAAAAATAAGGATTTGGAAATATAATAAGCAAATTTCTTCGGGAATGATAATTAATAATTAAATAAAAAGTGACGCTATTTATTTTTATTCATAAAAATTATATCTTTTTTTAATCTCAAAATAAATTTATTTATCAAAAACAAAAATGAGCAATATTCCTCCCTCTCAACATCCAGCTTCATAACCTGGCCCATACTAATAACCAACATTTTAACCAGGATTCGCTCCATAATATGCTCCTGCTCCAGTGACTTATGGACCCCCTCTTACCTCATCCCCATTGAGATATTCACAACCCCTTTATTAAGCACCAGTTGTTTAACAACCAGTGTATGCTCAACCAGTTGTTTAATAACCAGTCTATACTCAACCAGTTGTTCAATAACCAGTCTATACTCAACCAGTTGTTCAATAGCCAGTCTATGCTCAACCAGTTGTCTAACAACCAATAGTCACACAATCAGTCGTCGCCCAACCAGTCGTTGCTCAACCAGTTGTTGCAGCATAACCAATCCAAGGAGAAAGCAGAATTGAATATGTCCCATATGAAAAGACAGTCATAGAATACGAGGAAGTCAGATAAAAAGTTTAAGTGCCAAGAGAAAAATATGTTACAGATTATTATGCAGTGGAATACCAAACTGAATATGTACCATAAGTATACTAAGAGAAATACACAGGTAAATTTGATTCCTAATTTAGAATACGTCCCTGTTGATAGATATCAAGAAAGAGTTGAATATTATCCAGTTGAAAGATAAGTTGTTCACTAATAAGTCTAACCAGTCCAATAAGTTGTTGCTTAACCAGTTGTCTAATAACCTGTCTAATACGTTTAACAACCAGTCCAAGTTGTTTAACCCTAACCAGTCTAAGTTTACTAATAGCCAATTGTCTAATAACCCTTGGTCCAATCCATCCCCGTATAAACTGTTCGTCCACCAGTTGGCCCTGTTTATGCCCCAACTACCACTCTTCCATTGGGCTAAACCGTTTCACCAAGACACCCTGGAGCACCTGTCACAGCCAAACCATTGGATAAAACATAAGTAGTTCATCCTACTAATATCATTATAGGGACCCAATTAACCAGCCCAATAATAGAATAAGCCAAAAAGCTTTTTGGACAGATTGTTTGACAGAGATTGAATTGAGCAATTATGAATATTTTTATAAATGCACAAATAACATTTAAAATTTTGAATTTTTATCATCTTTCTATTAATATTTCTTGTTTCAATTCTGATTTATAAGTATCAGTTCTTAGATAGTCTATTGATTTTAATAAGTTTGCAAAATGAATTCATAATTTTCTCCCTAACCAAAATAAGAGCAGGAAGCTTAACAATAATCCAATTCTCCACCTCCTCCTCCAAGCTAAGATCGAGTCTAATATTATCCTATTTTCTACATTAAACATGATAAGTAACATATACTCTTTAACCAATTAGTCAACCTTTTCATTCCAGTATATAATAGACACTAACTGATCATCAGAATTCTTGGTTTGTATATCATCCTGTGATGCAAAACGATCCTTTTTTCCCTTATATATCTAACTTTTAAAATTTTTTACCTAAACCATCTACTATCAACCCTGTAATACCCATAAAAATAGAAGATGACGAAGAATTCAAGTAGTCCAAAGTTCAGTAACAAACATCCAAACCTGATCTAATTCAAATTCAGGAGAAATAACGGAGTAAAAAGCAAAAAGTTTAAAATAAATTTTAAAGAGACATAGACAATATTGCAGACTTAGAAATCTAGCCATGTAATTGTTCTTAAAGTAATTGTCTTAAGAGATACTGTGCATGCTTCCATAGTGGTAGAATGTGCTTAGATGAATGCCAATGTAAAGATTGTAAAAATTGTACAGATTTTTATGAAGAAAGGGATGAGGCTATAAATCATGTTTATAAAAAATGTCATCGTGATAAAAAGGTTCCAGTCAATGAACTATTATCCTTGCAAATGAGTTATGGATGCAAATGCAAAACGACTGGATGTTAAAAAAAGTATTGTGAATGCTTTAAGAGGGGATAAATTTGTGGAGAATAATGTTCTTGTGAAGGTTGTCTTAATATCCCATCTGCATAAAACCAAAAAGAGCTTAAGAGATAGAAAACAGTTCTAAAATGATTTCTTCATTTAAAAATTATAACAACATTTATTTTCATTTATATTAGCACTTAAAAAAAAAAACTTCCTTATTTCCAATTTCAACAAAAGCTCCTTTTGCTATTAAATTTTCATAATTTCCCACGGAACCGACTATGGAGATATTTCAATCAAATAAATAATCGCAATATTTTTAAATATCAACACTAAATTTAGTAAGGTCTATGGGATAGTCCTCTGCCAGAAATCTACTGAATCTAATCTAAATTATATATTAGCTTTTATTTAGAATAATACTAAATTGAAGGTTACCCCTATCCTATCAATCAAAAGAGGAAATTTTTGATGTTTTGAATTAATTAAATTTTTTGATTGTCCATTTCAATACAAAGGACAATTAGACAAAGTAAATGCACATTTAAAACTGTGCATAATCAACATTTTTCTTTAAGATATAATTTCTTTTTTTGGTTGTGAAGGTGAAGGTGAAAATTATTAGCCCTATAAATATTAAAGTTTATATGTTTAATTAAAATATTAATTTAATGAAAAAGTTCTTTTCTTCAATTAAAAATGCTACAACTCAATTTGCGAAAGGCCTTTTTACTTCAAATGAAGGAGCTTAATAATAAGAAATGACTCCTGAAGAATAAACATAGCAATGTAATTTCATATTTAGAAAATAGTTGATGATTATATTAAAAGTTATTTAGATTCTGATAAGGACTTAAAAGCAAAAATTTTGACCAATCGGTTATACTTTAATACAGCAGTGCTTGACTTGTCCTGGAAAAAAATATTAGACATCAAAAATTTATACGCCAATGAAAGAAGAATCAATTTCTAGCCAAAATTAGTCATTTTAGAATAATAACATTGGGAAAGAACTGTGATTCAAGTTGCGGAATTAATTTAGTCTTACTATGATATCCAAATTTATTATGACAAATATGAATTAGTGAAAATGGTAACAAAATAAATTTATTTTATAGATCAAACAAAAGGTATTGGAGGAATAATGTATCAAGATTTTATTTAGCAAAGAAGAAATGAAAGATTATTTTCAATTTTATGAATAATCAGAAATCTTACTAACTTAGTTGAAGCAATAATTTCCTCAACTTACCTTCGAATATTCTCAGTGTTAGATAAAGGAAATTTAAAAGCAATATTTAATTGATAAAGCCTTTGAATTGTTTAAATTTGACGATTGTGATGAATTCAAGGGAATTAAATTATTTCATGATGATCAAGAAGTCTTGCAATGGTTTAAGAGAAAACAAGCAGTTTCCCCTTGACTTTATATTAATGTATATATATAATGCTTTGTTAACAAAAAATTTATAAGTAGTGCTTTCACAGTTAAAATGATAATGATGATTAGGCCCTGCTAGTTTAAGTGCTGTTTGGAAATATTTTCTTTGATTTTTTTCTATGAGTTGCTCCATTCAAATTCTGGATAATTTTAAAATATTTATCTCTCGAAAATAACTGGTTTTAATCCCTTTCTAAATAACCTGTCAATGGATATTGAATAATCTTATTTGTAATTTTATTTTATTATTAAATTTTTGGTGATTGCTGTCTAATCTTGAACTAACAGCTCTTTTATTATTTTTTATAAGATTATCGATATTAATTAGAATTTGGTTGAATGTATTTTTGTTCTTACCACGCCCCAAAATCATTGTCTTCCACTATTATTATAAAAATCTATGAATTACTAACACTTTTAGCCCTTTCGTTTACAATTGGATTTTATAATTCCACTGTTTAAAAAGCACTGATTGCTTCTAGATATTATTATGCATCATTTTCTACTTTCAATCTCAAGGGGGAAATGTTAAGTTATACAGGATTCTCAAATAATTCTAAAGCAATCTATTCTAAAATTATTCTAATACATTGATTCTTTTTATCTTTTATCTTTAAGACAACGGATTAACATTTTCGTTATTCGTAATTTTTACAGGTTTCATTAGCAAGCAAACTTTATATTCGTTAATAAATTATAAATAAATATAAATTAGTCATTCATTTTCTAATTTCTAGCTATTTTCTTTTTGATTTCCTTACTATATTGCTTGTTCTGATCTTTCTACCTACTCTTAAAGCTATTGGTTCCTTTCCAAAATATCACCCATCTCCAAGTATTGCTATAACTTCTCCTCTTATTTTTTTATAATCTCCTTCAAACTTTCATTCTCTTTGTTCAATCTTTTAATCTCTTCTTATTATTCATATCCACTTTTAAACAATACATTACTGTAAAAAGTTTCCTTTTTTAATTTCCCATAACCCTGATAATAATTACCAGAAGTTCCAATCAACTTTTGTTTCTCCAATAATCTTTGTTGAAATTGTTGTATAAGTCCTTGTTTTAAGTATTATGTTTCGCTTGGAGTACATTCAAAAAGATGCTTACCTGTGGATGGTTAAGAAATATGTCTATCTCTAATAGGTGTGAAAAAATTAACAGAACATTTGTATCAATAGTATGTCTACACTTCTACTGTATGGTTCTTATGTTATCTATGGACTTTGTGATCTCATTTAAGTTTAGTTATATTTTAAAATAAATTTTATTGCGATTGGGTATTTTTTCAGTATATTTAAGTTTTTTATAGAACCATGACAATAAATTATGTAAATTGTTTATTTAAGTTTAATATAATGTTATAATTTTTATTCATTATAAAAAATTATAACTTTTGATATTTTTCAGAACAAAGAAGATAATATATTTCAAAAAAAGGAGTCATGGTCCAAAAATCTATAAGAGTCTTATTATTTTAAAAAATTTTATTATATTTTTGAATTTTATTTTGGCCAACCTTAGACCTTTTGATAAAACATAGAAGGTAAACCATTAAGTTATTATTACATGAATCACATTTTTTATTTTTAATTATTCTATAACTAAAATTTTGACATTTATCTTATATGTTAAAAAATAATTTAAGAAATTAAGCCAATATGAAAATTATTCAATTATGTAACGATTATTATTTTTTAGCCTTTCCAACTACTCATATAATTATATTTTACTTAAAAGACTCAACTATTTTTTTTCAAATTCACTTATTTTGTAGGGTTTTTTGATTGGATTATTTCTAGAATAAACTTTTTGCATTAATTCTTTAAGAAATTTACTTTATTAAGGCTATCCACAATGAAACGTTTGATTTCTTTCTCTAGATTTTTAGGAATCGCTTCTTCTATTGTCGGTGTCTTTAGTTTCTTTACTCCTTGGAATATTTGAACCTATGTTTATGAAGGTACTTCGATCATAGAAGGACTGTTTTTCGAATAACGATAATTATTTAGGGTTTTTTTTCTTATTAGTGTGCATATTGTTTGATTTATTATTCTTATCTTAAGAATTGAAGCTTCCATATTTTTTATTAATCTCTTTGTAATCTGTATCATCCTTTTCTTTCAAATCTTCGAGCTTTTCAACCTAAATTCTTGGAATTATAAATTGTTGTTATGATTTATTTTCTGTGTTTTGGAATGAACCTAAAATTAATGAAGATCTATGTGATTTTATAGATTTATCTTTAATTTCTTAGAGTGGTTTGATAGGACTAAGGGAAGAGAATTAAAACTTTGGCGAAGCACAATCTTTAAATCCTTCATTTGTGAGAAGTAAGATCTTGTCTCCTAATTTGTTTAATTTTGTGTTTATTTGATCTGGAAATTGAATGCTGGATAAGATGCTTAGATTTCCTTTTTTATTATTAGGTTAATAACTAATATTTAGTACATCCTAGGATAATATTAATAATTTACATCTAGAATCACATGTTATTTAGGAGATAAAGTTTTTGTTTATGATTTAATAATGTTGTAAACTAATTGTTCTTTTTAACTTAATGAAATTGAGCTTTTATTGATATTTTAAATGATTTCCTGTAATTTTTTATTCTCTTAAGCAAATTAAATAGTTTTTTGCATGTTTAACGAATTTGAACATAAAAATGCTATATTTTATCATAAAAGATGTACCATCATCTGAAATTTATTCTGAATCCCAATTCTGGATATTACGTTTTTAAATGTTCAATTTGCATGCTTTTATGAAATCAATACAATCATGCAACATTTTGTATTCATTTTTTTCATAAAGGAGGAGTTCTATCTTCTCAAAATCAAAGATCACCTATTCTTATGTAAATTTAGCTAAATACTTGTTTAATGTAACAAACATTTTTATTTTTATGATAATTGAATTAGAAGTCTATCAATTTCTGTTTAGAGCTTTCTTTCAATATCTTCCTTCTCATACTAAATTTTTAGGAACAATATCGCATACTTGCATTCTAAAAGCAAAATCAATAATTTCAGATATGTCTACTCGAATGCTTGATGAATGTAATCCCATCTTGTCGAGTTCGACATAAATTTTCTCGGCAAAATCTGCAATTGACATTTATTTTGAATTTAAAAAATAAATGATAAATTTTATAAAATAGTACATAAGAATTAATAAAAATATGCAATAGACTTAGTATGTAGTTATATAATAAATGAAATAATAAAAATCAGAACAACCTGTTGATAATATTATCTAGATTGTATTTAGGATAAAAGTGTTCGTAATTCTTAACTAAATCTATATCAAATGAAGTTTCATAAGGATCAAATTTAGGTTCTAATATGGATATAAAATATACTTTATGGAATGAACACATTATGTGGTTTGAAAGGTTACTATTATTTGATACCAATATTATTCATGATTAAGCTGATCATACTTTTAATTTCACCAATATCATCATAATATTATTCTTAGTTTTCTTCTTCTTCTATTTCCTCTATCATTTCAAATTAGATTAATTATTTCATAAAAATTCGCTTTAACTATCTTATCCTAACATTATATTCAAAAATAGAGAGTTAAACTTTTTTAGAGATGAAAACTGAATTTTATTATTAGCGTTTTTTCCTTTAAAAATTATCTCTTTTCTATTAATCATCCTTGACTTTGATGTGAGCCAATATATATTTTGGATAATAATGAGTGAGTTCACATTAATCTGCTAAATGGTTGTCAGATTGACAGGTGAAGCATTTTAAATCTAATTGATTAAAAAGTTTTTATTGATCCTTGTATTATTAGGAAATAAGAGAATGATAAATTTCAAAATCTTTGGGGAAATTGATAATTTCATTCAAGAAATCAGTTTTTGATAATTTATACATATTACAACAGGATAAGGTTTCTGCTTTGTAAGGAAATCTTTATTCTGTAAAAAAAGATAATTGGCCGAGACATTATCCAGATTTCACTAAGTCAATTTTAGTCTTAATATTAATAAAAGTATGAGCAGTATCCACATACTAATAATGAGAAGTAAAGTACAATCAAAATTTCTCCATTCTATAGAAACATCAGATGAGGATGTAGGAGATTAAAGTGAATATTTTCTCCGGGTCCATAACTCTCCTCTTGCATATATTAAACAAGGGAACGAATGAACATTTCAGAGAAATCAAGATTCAAGAATATTTAGCATTTAACAAAATTGATATGAGTCTCATATTACAATTGTTATCTTAACTCAGGAGCCAGTCGAGAGATGAGGAATTGTTCAATGGGTCTGTTCCTGTTCTTCTCATCTTACCATATATATTGATAATAATCTATAATTCTAGCTTGAGTTTACACTGAAATGTTTTTGATCTTCATATAACGATTGATAACTGCTTCATAACTATTGTATCTGATTTCCTGGGAATTCAGATCAACGATAACTTCTCGAATTGAGGCTACATTGAATGCAAAAACCATTCCAGCAATAACTAATTTAAAATTAAACATTTACTCATAGTAATGAGAGTGATCCCAATTTCGTAGCTGTTCTTAGGTGTAATATCTCCATATCCAACCGTGGAAACAGTTGTGGTTGCCCAATAAAAGGAAATTACATACCTTGACCAATATGATAAGGACTGAATGGTTTAGTCATTCTCAAGGTATCCGTTGTATTCAATCCAGGTTGGGATATTCAAAATTCCTTCTTCATCTCTCTGATATTCATCGTAAGACACTCCAAAGAAGAAACAAGCCATCAGATGATTGACAAACAAAACAACGATTATCAATTTCAATACTGTGTAAGCTGCCTTCCAATCTACAAATAACCTTTGCATTAATACTGCTTCTCAATTGTAAGGAATGATCAATCTTCTCACTGAATCTTATGACGTAATAAGATCTCAAATAGAATAGAATCCTAATATAATCGTTTTAGAGTATCAATGACAACATGAGTGATATTACTCCAACCAAATCTAATTCGAATTCCTAAGATTTATAGAAACTTACTGTAATACCCAAACCACATATTTTTAAGCAATCTCTCTACGATCCAATATCACATCTCCTTGTTTTTTTATACCTGTATTAAAGCTTACCAAAAGGTCAACCCCTAGCATTATGATAGAAAAAATCAAATAGGATTTCACACCAAAAATGTCATTCGGATTGAGACCATCCTTCTGATCGGTAAAAGCTATCTAAGATATCAATAATTGAATACTTTAAAAGGAATGTAAAATAGGTACGTGAATATTATGATTACTACAATTAATTGCCAAATCAATAAGCTGCTTGATTCTGGATAAAAAACAGGAATTGCATTTAATATTCTAGAGTAAAACATCCTTTTTGGTTCTGCCTTGAACATTTTAATTTGCTTAGAGAATATTTACTAACAGCGGCATTTATCAAATAGTGAATCAAAATCCTAACTAACATCAAAAAGTTAAATTTAAGCGATTGCCGGAATATCATACAAAATTGAAGATTTATTATTTGTACTTGCTCTAATGCTAAATTCCATTGAATTCTAATCATCCAAAAGAGGTTATTTCATAAATCAAAAAATTTTATTTATTATAGTAATCAAGTTGTACATTGGATAGAAATATTCATAGTTCTTCACTTCATCTATGCAAAATGATCTCTCAAAAGGATCAAACTGAGGACCTAGATCATTATTCATATAAATTACGTTCCGGAATAAATAATTTAACTTATTACTTCTAATTCAAATTCACATCCTCTCCTAACTCCTTAAGAATGCTGCCCAACATCTATCTTATCTCCCCTATCTCATTCTAATATTATTGTTATTAATAGAAATCCTCCTCCTCCGAATCTTCAAAGCTACTATCCGAATTTATCTATTTTCTAAATTTAGTAGATTTCATTCTCATCATACAATCTTAAGCAATGCGTTTAATTTGGTGCTGAATCAGAACAGATTTGTATTGTTTCTTACGCTTTCTTTCGAATTACTCTCTTTTCAGTTTATCATCCTTTACATTGATTTTGAAAACCAAATTGCTCTTGTAATAATGAGTTACATCGCAAGTGTCTGCTTAGTGTGATTCTGACATGCAAGTAAAGCATTTAAGGTCTAATTTTGTATAGAACTCATAGGGATCGCTATATCTTTTTGATATAACCAAATGGAACAATTCAAAATCCTTCTGATGCTCTCTAAGAACTTCCACAAACTTTATTCTCGATACTCTATAAATATTGCACCATTCTTAAGTCTATGCTCTAAATGGGAATCGCTCATTCATAAAGAAAGATTGCTGTCCTATGCATTTTCCTTATTCAATATAATCAATTCTAGTCTTCACATCAACAGAGTTTTAATAGCTTTCCACAAACTCAAATTTTAATATATATTCTTACGATTAGAACTTCTCCTTTTTAAAGGTACATCAAATATTAATCTCCTTGTTTATCCTCAAAATACAATTCTTCTTTAGGACCATATGTATGTTCTTCCATATATTATGATAGTTAGTATAAAAATTCATCACTAAAATACATCATATAAAATATTCTGCAATTAACAAACTTAACATAAGTCTCATACTATAATTGTAATTTTAACTCCGGTGCTAATTTTGATATAAGCATATCTTCTACTTCTCTATTACGATTTTTCTCCTCCTTCCATATATATTAAAAATAATCAATCACCTTTTCTTAAGTACTTATTGAGATTCTCTTCATTTTCATATAACGACTAATTATTGTCTCAAAATTATGCTCCATTATTTCAGCCTGATTCAAATCCATCAAAGTTTCCCTAATCGATGATATATTAAATGCAAACACCATTCCAGCAATAACTAATTATATTTATCACTATTTTACTCATCGTCAACAGAGTCCATCCTATTTCAGAATTATTCTTTGGTGTTATATCTCCATACCCATTAGTAGATACCGTAGTGATGGCCCAATAGAATGATACCAAGTATCTATCAGCCAAAGAAGATTAAAAGATCTGCTCATTGTCTATCACATAACCATTAAAAACAATCCAAGTATCAATGTAAGGTACTTGGTTGTTTTCATCCTTCAATAATTCAGAATAAGAAATTCCATAAAATATACAAGCCATTATGTGGGCAACGAAGAGCATCACAATAATCAATTTTATAAGTAGGTAGATCCCTTTAAAGGCTAATTTAAAATGATTAGACTATGATACTTTTTTTGAGCAATAATTTATGATCAATTTTATTATCAAACCTTATGACGTAATAAATTCTCAAATAAAATAACAATCTAATGAAGTCAAGATCAAAAATATATGAGAGGATTAGACTCAGCACTCCAATAAAATCCAATTCGAATTCCTAAAAGATAGAGAATAATTTATACAATTATTATATAATTATTCACAATCTATTTTCTATCCATATTTACTTACCCATTCTATGTGAATCCAGTGTTAAATGAAACCAACAAATCAAAACCAAGCACAATAATCGAAAATATAAGAAAAATATTAACCATCTCATTATAATTAGGATTAAGACCATTCAATTCATCAGTAAAGGCTATCTAAATAAACCTTATTAATTACTTTTAATGGTATATAGAAAAAGTATAACAAAATTATGATGACCATGATAAATTGCCAAGCTATCAAGCCCTTTGAAGTTGGGTGAAACACTGGAATCTTATTTAGGCATTTCTAAAATATGCTCTCTTCCTTTCTAGCCTAAAATGATTTGATCTCAGGGGATAGTCTAGATTCTGATAATTGATCAATCTAATTAAAATCTGAACTAATATCAAATAATTATGCTGTAGCTGAGTCTGGAATTTATTAGTATATAAATGTTTTTTTAGTATTATTATTATTATTGATACTGAATTCGATATACGTGCCATCTTCGAAAAGATGGCCATTCTTTTAATATTTCATGAAGCAATTATATTTTATAATATAATTAATAATAAAATTTGAGTAAATTCAGTTTATACGCTTTCCCTTATTCCAATGACCATTTAAAATTTATTCATTCAAGCTTATGCATCCTTTCCCATGTTACTTTCCGAATTCCCATTCACCTTCATATTTTCTTCCATCTCCCCAATCATATACTCCATAACCCTAAAATCTACCTTATAGCATACATGTTTTTTGTCCCTAAAATACTATCCTTCATATTTTCTTCCGTCTGGCCACGTATATAGTCCACGCCCATGCATAGTACCATTATGAAACTCTCCTTAATACTTTCTACCATCAGGCCAAATCATGCATCCAAATCCAGATATTTAGTTTTAAACCCAATCCCCTGTATAAATTTGTCCAGTACTCCAAACGTATTTTCCTTTTCCTTGCTTAAAAGAATTATAATAAATTCCTTCGTAAAAAGAGCCATCAGGCCAACATTCAATACCAAACCCTTGTTATTTATCATTGACCCAATTCCCTTCATATTTTGGTCCTTCTATATGCTAATAAATTCCATAACCATTAGCCTTATCATCTTCCCATTCCCCTTCATAAACATCACCATTTGCATGAATAAATTTACCTTTACCATTTGCTTTATTTTTTTTCCATTCTCCTTAATACTGAGCTCCATCAGGCCATACTTAAACGCCATACCCATCTCGGGAATTGCCTCTCCATTGTCCTGTATAGACAACTCCACCTACAAATCTAATAGTGAGATAGCATACTTGTAAGGTGGCTTTTGCACACATTCTAAACTATCAATATCAATAGTAAGACTGCTAGGTATTGTTTTAGAAGCAGATAGCTTTGTGGCTGCTTCTTATTTAATAGTTCGCCTAATAAGGTAGCCTCTCCAGTATTTTTAAATGATTATTGCCTTTTTATATTTAACCATTTAGGTTTTTTCTAGATTGGATTAACATGTTGGAATTGTTATGCATTCTTCAATTTGAAATGATTGTACATCTCTGTCGTTATTTTTTTTTTCACAATTACAATGAGAACAAGAGGCTCCCATCTTAAATTAAAAATATTTTTGATTACTTAAAATTATGATAAATCTTAATATGTATTAATAGATTATATTATAAATTTAACAGTGAGAAAAAGACAATTAAGAACGATTATAATCAGAAACTGAAATTTATTTAAAAGAAAAGTTTAACTTTATTAATTAGATGCATAATCAAAAGATTGCAACTAATAATGATGAATCTAATTGCGAAGAAAGACAACTTGTAGATCAGTCTAAGAATAATGAATAGCAATAAGAAATTTAACGAATTAGTGATTCTATCTTAAATGCCACAAATTTGAATGAATATGATTATTACAATTATCCACCAAAGTTGGAATAAGCTGAAATACATAGACAAGCTTATTATCTTTGTCCGGATCAATATGTACTCAATCATTATACAAAAGAGTCTTGTGAGTGCTGCAAGTAAATATAGTTTATTAATGATTAGTAAAAAGTTCCATCGCTCTCCTTTTAATTGGATATTTGGAGATTTGTATGAAGCAACTGTTGATGAATACGGATTAGCAGCTCCTCTTTATTTTACTATAATTAAATTCTAACTATTGGTTTTCATAATAGTGTTTTGCATCTATGGAATATTTTTCATTAGTGAAGTTCATAGAATCTGTAATTCCAACCCGCAATTAAATTGTGATGTTGAGAATAATGATTTGTGTAGAACTTGTGAATTTTAGTACTCGTATGGCTTTATTGACATTGTGACAATTTAGGAATATTTGCATTAAGAAAAAGGCTCACACTACCAATGGTTTTAAGTATCAGCATTTTTAATATTTCTAATAAATCTGCATTTGCCATTCTTCTATGATCTCCTCATCACTTACATGTAAGAATTCAAATAATACCTTAGATAATTTAAGTATTGGAATCGAGATCCATACAACAAACAAAATGAAACAATCAGTTCCATCTATATTAGAGGGATGAGTTCAAAACTCTCATAACAAGAGATACTAAATCTAATCAAGGAGAGTATGTAAAGAAACAACAATCAGATCATCTCTTCTCAACATAAGTAACTCTTCTATTGATTATAAAATAGATTGTTGGATACTGCTTAAATAGAAGAGGTTGTTTATATTTATAACACTCATGAGATAAAGTAGTTATAGTAGAAAAGATAAAATTGTCTATTAGATTTGGTTATCACAGCATAGTAAATCAAAGAATTAGAACTTGGAAAAGTGATAAGTACATATAAAGATGCTGAAGTTAAGGTTTACAAGACTTACACAAAAGATTTTCTATCTCAGAGATTAAGCGATTTAATGAAGTAACTGTCTGAAGTGAATGATAACATTCATAAGTAAGCAATAGGGTTATAAATTAATAATATGCCTATGAATAATTAAGAAATTTGCAAACTGAAACTAGAACCTTTAGAATTCAGTCACAAAGCTATTATTAGATTTAATGACCCAGAAATTAGTTAATTGATATTATAAAATTTCTAAGTTTCCTGGTTTGATAAATTCAGAATAAAGCTTAATTTGATCCCAAACCCTAAGATTGTTGATAAATTAGCAGTTAGAAAATCATTCCGTATCAATGGCATGTATTGGGACAATATAGGTTTCAGATCTTAAGAGAGAATAGCAGCAAAAGTGAAGAGTGCAATAACAATGTTGATTGCTTGTGCTGCCTTAATGACTGCTTATGAATTCATTTATTTATACAAGAATGATCCAGAATACAAGGTTGAAAAGAATAATGGTAGGTTGTCAGTTGCTCAAAGAGTATTAACAAATATCTTCACAGTGGCAGTTCCTATTATCACTACGATTGCCATTCTAGTAGTAATAATAAATTAAAAAGAATCACGAAAGAACACATTTGCTCATTTGGAAAGGAGCTTCATGCATGTCCTTATTGTGGTTAATTATTTCCTTGTGACATTTCTGCCTTATATCTTTACATTTGAACTTTGGAGTGGCAAGACTATGTCAGCTGCTGTGTATGATTTGGTGACATTGACTTAGAATAAGATTATTACTAAGCATGTATTTCACACTGTACACATTCGATACATGGGATTTGTTTTCCTAAGAAGAAGGATCCAAAAAAACTGCAAGGAGTATTTTTAAGGGCAACTTAACAATTTGATGACACCTCCAACTTTCCCTTAAAGAAGCAGGGTTTGCAATGCAATGTACAGTTTAACTGTTGGGTTATGTTTGGTTTATGTTTGTCCTGTGATAACCATCATCAGTTTTATATTCAACTGTTACATTTACCTTTTTGATCGATATAGTATAACTCATCTATATTCAATCGATAAAAAATTCACTATTTCACTTATGAGACACTAGCTAAAAATATACTCTCTGTCCTTTTTTCCAATCAAAATCTACCTGTTTATTAAGTTATTCTATAGCTATGGATGGTTAATTTATGCTGGTGTGCCTACTTGTTGTGCATTTACTTTAATTTCAATTCTATTTCGTGAGAAGATAGTCTTCTTTTTAATATCCAAGGTGTTCCGAGTTTCCAGATAAGAGGATTCAAAACATACACCAGAAACATATACATCAAATTATTACTAATATATCAAAAGTAATTTTATTCAATTATCCTTTAATTAGAATTAAACATTGATGAATAAAATGAAATTACTAGAAAAATACTAAATTCTTAAGGTTGCGAGATAGTTTGAAATATAAATACAGATTAATATTTATTTCTATTACAGTTTCATATCCTTTACAAGTCTTTTCTTACATTATGAAAATTCTGAGTTATGGTTATTATTAATCATTTTTATTATTAAATTTCCTAATATAAAATTATTAACGATTCAATGAAGCAATTACCTAAAGGCGATATGCCCATTAATCCACTTACAGACCAATCAATCGATGAAATACAATATCCATTATACACCAACCAGAACCTAATGGAAACAGTTCAATCTCAGTCATCCTTTAAACCTTAGCTATATAAAAATCAAAATCTATATGAAGAGTTTATACGCAAAACTGAAACTGGCAAGCCTGAACAAAAACATCTCAAATGGAGAACAAATATCCATTTAAGATTAAATGAGGAGTACAATGAACTGTAACAAAAGAAAGAATAATTAAAGGAGAATTATTAATAGTTAGAATTATAATAATGCTCTTTCCAACCCTCCATTAGTAATAAGAGCAAGTAAATTGGATCCTATTTTGGATCTTCCCCTCGGTACATGTCACCAAAATCTTTGTAAACTTAGACATTTCTACCTTAAAATAAAGAAATAAAACCTTCAAGCAGAAAAAGTAACAAAGAAAACAATCCCTCCAATGTTTGGGATAGACTCTCAAAATAGAAAGGGGTCAGTCAAACACCTTAATCTGTCTAATTATAACCTCAATCTACCAGAACATCTTAAAGACAAACTCCTGAAAGAGTGGAAGCTATCAGCAATAGATTATATGAAGAAGCCTTCTAACCTAAAAAGTTTAAGTTTAATTACTAAGAGACTCTTTTAGTGTCACCAAAGACTGTTACGTAAACTTAAAAATCAGAAAAACATTTAGTTAGACATTTTGTTAAGCTATTTTATTACAGTATTACAAATGCTAGGATATGGACTTTGGATCATTTAGATGAGAACTTAAATAAAATTGACTTTTAGTTTGAAATAGAAAATGATCTTTGTTTATTGACAATAGATGAATTGGCAATAACTTTAGATCATCTTGGATTTGCACCATACTAAACATATGATCACACCAATCAAGACAACATCGTCTTCAAAATATTCAGATTCTTATAATGTCCTTATGAATTAGATCTCATATTATCTAGAAATTTATTAACTTTTTTGCTAGCTATGTAAGGATTTCAAGTGGATTTCTAATTATTACCTAAATATAACAATAATTATAATATTTAATTTCCTAAATAATATAAGAATGATTTAGTTGAGTTTGAAGATGGCAATGTGATAATTTAGAATTAAGAATCAATTTCGAAGTAGTTTAATCAATTATATTTAAATTATTTAGCTTATAAAAAACAAAATAAAAAAGTCTAAGAATAAGAATCTAGTTAACTACAACTTAAATCTAATTCATAAACTAATGAATTAGCCAATAAATATCGATAAAGAGTATAATCATAAATAACAGAAACTAAACCAATCAATTTAAATGACTATGATCATTATTACCAAAAGAAAAAAGAATAATTGAAATAGGAAATTGATACTAATATCAAACAAAAATGTCCTTTTACACCCAAGATAAATTCAACTTAAACTAGTCCCAGATATCATTTGAATACAAAGAAAGTGCTCTCTCCAAAATAGGAAGAAACTCCTACTTTCTAACCAATCCTCAATAAATCTCAATTGTCATATATGAATGATTAAGTTCCATTGCCAGAACAAAGAGAAGCCATAAAAAGAATGGTAAAGGGGAGAGTAGAAAAACAATTAAATCAAATCATTATTTCTTAAGGAACTTGCTATTAGAAAAAAAGAAAGAATATTGAATAGTAACTCTATTAAGAAGAGATAAACAAATTAATTTAATAACCAATCATGTATATAAATATTGCTCTTGAAAATAATACAACAAAAAAAATAGCCATTTATTAAGGAGATCAGCCAAGAAAATTGGCAGAGAAATTTGTGAAAGACAATAGATTAGATCCCAATTTGATTGATTAAGTAACATAACTTCTTGAAGAGTAGTTGCTTATTTGAACAAATATTTTTTAATACCTAATTACTTTTGTTAATTTTTAAGTTATGTATTTATAATATTCAATTTTTTGTAATTTAACGATCAATGGATTATGATGATTTATTTCGTTTGTTGCCAAAACCCCCTAAAAAATGGAGTACCTAGGAAGTGCTAGTCTGGCTAAAATATATTGGATATAGTTAATTGGATTCTTATTTTGGTACTAATGTAAATTAAATTATAGTAAATGAATGCGTTGATGGCTCATGTTTAGAGATATTAACAGATCAAGATCTATTGGACATAGGTATCACTTCTGCATTATAAAGAAAGAAACTTTTGCAATGTAAATATAATAAATAATTGAATATAGGGATTCAAATTGGTTTGAGAGAATTTACAAATTATTGTAAATCTCATGCAAGAAATGATGTTGCTCCACAAATGGTTTAAACATTTATGGAAGTTCAATAAATTTCATCGCCAAGGGTTGAAATTCCATAACAAGATAGAATTCCTTTGAAAGTGATTCAAGATAGAATATTATAATCGAGACATGAATATGACGCTGATATAGAGGAAAGAACAACACTGGGATAGATCCCTATTGAACCTCTTCCATCACCTGGAGGAAGACAGAAACAATAATTTATCTTACCTGCTCCAAAATCTCTCTAGAAAATAACCGAAGAAGACTTAGCAAAATAAGTCTAATAAAGCAATAAAAAAGTGAGTATATTTTGTAAAATTAGAATATATTTGCTGAATTGTAGAAGTAATAAATTTAAAAGCCAATTATATTGAGTCCTTAGAAATAACAACAATTACAAGAATCTGATTATCATTTACCCTAATTTGGCACTCCTAAATTTGATAAACAAGAAAAGAAGGACCATCAGGAAATTCAATAAAATAATTCACAATAATTATTTCAAATATAGTCACCTAAGACACAAAACAATTAGTTAAATATTAAAATTAAGAAAGAAGGAATACCTACCTAAAAAAAGATAATAACTAAGAATGCTACTATTGGAAGAAATCCAGAAAATGATATTCAATTAAACCATGAATCTGTGAGTAGGACTCATGTTTGGGTATATTTATATATTTAGTAGTTTAGCTCACTTTTAAAGAAAAATAATTTTATTTATAAGATAGAGGGAGTTTAATAGGAACATTTATTCTCTTAGAAACTAAAACTCAAATCCTGCAAGGCTATATCATCTAAATGGGGGCAACTGAAGTAGTTATACAAAGTCTTCAAAAGAGTGGTCAATGTAAAATTAAACTTAAATTGTTTAAGAGTGCAATATTGTATTGGCTTCATAGATGGGATCTGTTTAATTCACCTTGTCAATTGGAAAATCAAAAATGATAGGATCCTAAACGTTTGGGGATTAAGCAATGGCATATGATCATGCATTGTTAGAATTCACTAGTGAAGGACTGAGTATTGAGGATCAGAAAACTTCTAGTGGGTATTAGATCAAATGAAATATTAGGACTTGGATGAGGTTAAGCAAATCTGGTGTTTAATCTCAAAGTGTACTATTATGTAGAAGAAGAGTCATAAAAATAGCAGAATACATTCTTATAATTGAACCAGAATGATATTTATATAAATATATTTAGAATGCTTTTCATAATTAATTATTGTTAAAAATAATGAATTAAAGTTTACTTCACCTGATCTAAGTTGCATAAAAGCATGAATATAAGTTTGGTGAATAATATTTAGATGACATGATAGCTTCTTGCAGATAAAATGGTTAAAATGATCGCTATTTAATATTGTTGCTAATTAAAATTTGGAAAAACAATGATGAGTTTTTGGGGCATAGATTCAAATAATGGGTATAACTACAAAAAATTGGTAACTCAAAATCCCATTTCGATTTCTTAAAAAATGGATAAGTTCAAGAATGTATTTAAAAGTTTGAACAAAATATACCCCGCAATACCTTTGAGGCTATAAAAAAACACAATTTTTTCCCAAAAACTGATACACAATAATAGGAGGAAAGTCTTAAACGAGTTAGAGATAACCTAAAATAATATGACGATCATACTTTAAAATAAATAAACAAAATCTTGTTAGGAGATATGGACTCTATTTTAGAAGTATCTAAGGCAGATTGGATTTCATTTGTAATGCTTTATGTTTAATTTTGCGATTACAAAGTTACACCATAGGAGATGACCTATATATTGAGAAAATTAAAATTCTCTATTGATTCAGATAATGATAATCTTTTATAATTATTTGGAGAAATTGTATTAAAACCAGAAGATGTAAATATTATAAATTCTTTACTCAAATATGATAAAAATCTTACATATTTTGTGTATTTGCACTTTGAAAATTAAGGATAGAATTAACTAAGATCAAGATATGAAATATATGTATTCTTTTGGATTATAATTTTTTTAGAAAAGTAAATTTTAGTTGATTAAATCCATCCTTGAAGAAATTCCAAACAATATCCAATTTGAAAAAGAGATCTTATACTTTTTTGAAGAAATTGTTGAAAATATTAGAATGTTAAGAGAACATAAGAATGATAAGTTCAAAGAAGATTTTTAAGATATTTACAATAACAAAATGAATGGAATCATTAATTCTTCTAACAATTTTAAGAAAAGTATAGATCTTTTATAATTTTAGTTATGAATTTTGTCCATTGTGTCGAAAAGATCTAATAAGAAGATCAAGCATAAATTATCCATACATCCTTATTATAAAAAATATTCAGCCAAGATTTATTACAATTAGAGGAGAGACAGAATGCTTTAAATATCATTATTGAAAAGTTCTACTATGATGAAAGTTTTAGACAATAAGTAAAATATGAAATTAACAAAAACATCAATAATCCTTCCTTTGATTAATTATTTAGAGATTTCTTAAATAATTTTATACTGGAATAATATAGAGAATATTTTTAATAAGAATTGATTAAACTCTAATTTAAATTTGGATTAAAATTATATGATATACAATTAACATATAAGATTGAATCTCCAGAGTTTCTTATAATGAACATATCATAAGAATTTATAAGGAATATTATTCAATCTGATGAGTAATTTAAATTGAAAATGAAGATAATTTTGAGTAACATATTGGATTCATGTTAACATATTTAGGATGAAAAATTAAATAACAGGAAAAATATCATTAGACTCTTGATAAGAAGATTGTGATTTATATATGATTATTATTGAATAATAATAATATAATTTATGCTTTTTTGAAAATAACATTAACTGCATACTTCAAATATCTTTGATAAATTTGAAATTTTAAGGTTCTTTCAAAGCTCTTAATAGATTATATCTGTATTTCAGATGCCACTAAGTATTTGAGATTCTAGAATTGTATACATAGGAGACTGCTTAAGTCTTTAAGAATAATTAACTAAAATATTCTAACAAAAATTACCTTATTATCCTAAAAACTCTGTTGTATTCTGCATTCTTCCCGCCATCCACCCATAAATCTCTTAATTATTTAATATTAGTCATTGAGTTTTTTTTGTTTTTTAGGAAATTTACTAAGTCGTCATACCGATGTTTTTGCATTAGTTATTAAACAACTTGAGGATTATTGAAAATATATGAAATGATGGCTTTTGAATAATTTTTGGTGATGTTTTTAGTATCATTAACCTTAGATATTTTCTTTTTTCTGCATATCCTAAATGATTCAGAACTATCACTTGTATGCTTTTGTCGCTTATTTTTGATTTTTTTTTATTTTTTTGGTTTAAATTCTATGCTGCTTTCTTCATTATGGTTTATTTCTTCACTCTAGACTGAGTCTTCCTTGAAGAATTTTAGCTGTTCTTTTTAGAAATGCTTTTTTTATGATCTCAATTGATTTTATTTCTACTGTGCTACTTCGTTTTTGTTTCCTTAAGATGCTCTAGGTGAAGCAAATTGAGGTTGGATATTTGTAGATTGCTTACATTATGAATTTTAAATCTCTTATGGCCTTTGAAACCAAATTTTGCTGTCTAATGAATTATTGAATGAGTATTTGTTCTGACTATTCATTAAGTAACACATCTCCTATCCATCATATGAAGACTATAATTCTACACCAATGATAAAATATATATTACAATGTGGAATTGGTGAAAAAGGTTTATCAGTAGACTAATATTACATAATTTTTTCGAAAGAAGTTTAAACTCGTATTACAGGCCGCTGCAATCGAAAAGGATCCATAGATACATCAACGGAAACAGCATCCTATTTCTAACTGTTATAAGGTTAAAAAGAAGTTGAAGCTTTAACAAATGCATCTGACATCTTATAAAATTAAATTTATCAATATCATTGATAGTGCTGTTATAATTAATTAGATTTAACACTTTATATTGTTAAATAAAAAGCACAAAGATTAAATTGTATTCTTTATTAATTTGATAATGAAAATTGAAAATACTTATATAATCATAAATCTCCAAAGTTATTTGATATGGATAAATATACTAATAATACAGTTTGGATAATAAATTGATTTCAAGTATTTTAATAAATATAATTTATAATAAACATTTTCGAATAGAAAGAATATTAATCTAAACATAAACTCAAATAAGAAATTTAAGTACTTCAGAATCAAGTTAAGTAAAATTTATTAGTTTTAGATTCCTATTGATATGTTTTGTGTAGTTGCACTTAGGTAAAAGATAAATTGAATTTTCTATAATTTCATGATCAATAGAATATTGAATAAGGAAAATATTTTGTATATTAAGATTGAATTCTATTATATAAACTCATTATTAAAATAAAGTTTTATGCTGCTTATGAAAAGTAAAGATCCTAAAACTAGCGTTATCTGTCTATACAACCTTAGTTTTGATGAAAATTAAACTCAAATATGTCATAATATTTATAACACAACAACAATGTTCGACCTAATCCTTTTCCTTAAAAATAGATTTGGATAAAATAACAAAATAAATTTGTACACTAATAGAATCAATTTGTTTAAGGGCAATTAGAATACATATGTTTGCAATATTCTAAAGAAGGAAAGTACAAAAACAATTTATTTCTAAATTGAAGATAATGATAAAGTTATTTCATCCAAATTAAATCAGCAATCATTCTAAAGTTGCGTATTTTAAGAAAATGACTCAGTTCAATAAGCCAGCTAATATGATTAATAAGAATTAAATACAAATTAAATTATATAGCAATCATCTGCAAATACTTATTTAGTATTAGAAAGTACCAATAATACAGGTTAGATTGGTTAACTTAATTCTTAAACTATAAGTAAGTTAAACACATAATCTATTACTTCTAATTAAAGTAATCATTCTTTCAACGAATTTAATCAATATTATACAGATAGTTAGATTTGTTAATTATAAGATGGGGCTATGAATGGAAATTAAAAGGAAAGTGATATAGAGAATGCCTTCATTCTGTTACAAAAAAAGTATGTAAGCTTATAATAAAAATTTAAAACTCTTGAAAATGATAATTAAAGACTAAAATCGCAAAATGAAGATTTATAAAAAGCTTGTGAGGAATAAAAAAACGAGATCCTTAATCTAAGAAAGAGGGTAGACATAAAATTAAAAAAAGAAGATCAGAATATATAGAACACTTAGCTATAAGCTTCGATTGAGAATTTAAGAAATGAAAACTTTGAACTAAAAACGAAGATATAAAAAAACGAGAAAATATACTTTGATTAGAAATCGAATTAAGATAAGGAAATTTTGGAATTAAATAAAATAATTAACGATAAAGATAATGAATTAAATAAGTTGAAGGAATAATTAAAAGGACTTCTTAATCGAATTGAAATTGAATAACCTAAAATAGAAAAATAGATACGAGAATAAAAAGTAGAATATCAATCTAATCTTAATTCAACTTAATTAAATTAAAACGATATCGAATTAAACAAAGAATAAGATTAATATAGTTGCAATAAATCTTTAAGAGAGCCTTAAATTAAAAGGTAATAGTAATAGTAATAACAATAATTATAATAATTCTAAGATATATAGTAAAAAGAATAAACAGTATAATAATAAAAATAGAAACTAATAATTCAAGAGATTGAATAAAAAGATGAATATTTAACTTAATGTGGACATAAAATATAATGGCGAAAATTATAAGCAGAAATACGTTCTACCAGTAATTTGGGTAAACCCCTTAAATGTCCATAATGTTTGAAAATAATTGATTTGGAATATTTATATAATAACAAGACAAATGTATAATTAGAAACTACCACTTAAAAAAGCGAAGATCAAAAAAAAATGTAAATAGCTTGAGCACTCAATTTCATATCTTTTTTATAAACTATTTATAATATATTTTATCTTCATTCTCTTCAGTATTTCTTCTATAAATGGATGAAAACCTATTTAAACATGTCTAACTACATAAGAGTATAAATCTATTATATATTATATTAATTAATGATAAATACAGAGATTAGGATTTGTTAATTGAATTAAGATGAATAAAATTTAGAAATTTGAAAAGATTTCAAAATTAAGAAATAATTCAATAACTAATAGTTATTAATTTATTAATTATGGAAATAAGAATAAAAGATTATAATCTAAAATTAGATTTTATTTAATTGAAGGAAAAATTCCTCTTATTAATAATTCAAAAGTTAAGAATAAATCGAATAGAATAGAATAACATATTTGTAATAATAAGATTTATAAGTAAACAAATATGAAAACAGGGGTACTTATCTAGAAAATAAATTTAGATTTAATATTATTTTCTCCTAATTTTAGGGTAAAACTATATTTTTACATTTATTGAAATTTAGTGATCGATTGACTTTCATCAACACCCGATTTAATCAACTAAATTTCTAAAGGTATTAATATTTTAACTATTTTTTTGGTGGAAATTATCTTAATGGGTAAATCTTCAACATTGAAAATAATTTTGCAATTTTAATAGAAGTAAGCTTAATGTTAATTTAAAGCCATTTAAATAGTCTATATGAAATATTGATAATATTAAAATTTCTAGTTATTAATTTAATATTAGTTCATGAAAATATGATAAAAAGTTTGCTCATACATCAGAACTTTTCTCAATTAGTTTATGTTTAAATAACTTGTATCGTTAATTTTGTCTATCTGGCAACTATTTGATTGATTATAGTTCTTTTTCATAAACACTTGCTCCAGACACCTTAATTAGATTATAGTTTATACATTCAATTCATCAAATTCAGACTTACATCTATCTCGTGCTATAGGTTCATTGCTTAATATGCTTGTTTTTAACTTTTGAGAATTTGGCATATAAAACAACTTATCTCTAGCAATTAAATTATGGATCATGTTTTTAATAGATTGAGGTTCTGTTTTAAGTTTTAAGATTTTTCTCTATTTCATAAATAGATTTCCAAGAGGATTGAGTTTCTTCTTTTATTCTTCTTCATCATCTGTTAATTGATTTTATATAGATTATAGCATATTCAAAGTTTCAACTTTAGTAGAGTAATCTCTCAATAGAATATAGAATTACATTGTTATTAATCAAGAAGTGTTGGTTATTTTGCTCTTTATGCAATTTTAATTTTTAACTTTTCGTTAAATTCTTACCATTATGTGTTGTATTTTTGATATTGATTCATAGCTTTCTAATTTTTCATTTCTTACAACTTTTTTTAAATACTCAAATTTTTGATGATTTATTCTTATTATTTAGTGTTAACTTTGATTTAATCTCCAATTTTCTTCATTTATTGGATAAGATTAAATTATTCCACAACATCAAAATTAATAGGATTAATGTTGCATGTATTAGTGCTATCTGATGCTTTTTCTTTGTGATCAGAAAATTTACGCGTTCTTAAGGATGATGATACATTACTTATTGAATCATATTAATTAATAGCTTTTAATTATTAATTTTCCATACTTCTTTATTTGTGAAATGCTTTTCGTTAATGAAGTAAAGAATCATCATCATTTATGAACCTCAATTATGTGTCTCTTTATTTAGCAACTTTAAGAAACCATTCAGGTTTTCCTATGATTGAATGTTTCATTAATCCTTTATCATTAAATTGAGGACCAAATTTTTAATGTAGATCTGGAGGAACACTTGCTAAATATCTAGAAAATGATTACTATCGAAAATATTTTTTGTATTGTTTGAATGATAACTGTAATTCATGGAGGGTTTTGAAAGCAAAGATGGCTTATTCCTAGATATATTCATAAATATATTAATAAAAATAATCAATATTGTCATAAACTAAGACATTTGTTATAATAACCTAATTTAATATTGGATTCTAATAGTTACTCTTTTATTTTGGAATTATTCATAAATATTATAAACATTAATTTAAATGATCGATACAACCCCTATACCTAAGTTCCTTTAATAAGAATTTGAATGCTCTTTGTGCTTAACTTTCTTAACTAATCCAATAACCATCCCTTGTGGACATACATTTTGTAAGGAATGCATCTCAAATGCAGTCAAATAGATTCCACGTTGTCCAACATGCAGGTTTTAAAATTTCTTTAATTTTAGAGGTACAATCACAATAGAGATAAAGAATTTAAAAGAAAATTTATTAATTAAGTCTACAGTCAATGAATTGAAAAAGCATCTGAGCATCGCTGATAATCCTTAAAAATAGCAAATAGAAAATAAAGAGGAAAATAATTAATAATCTGAAAAATTAATCATCCTGTATACAAAAGAAGTTATTACACCATATTAATATCAAAGAATTGTTTTAGAAAAGGGATAATTCAAAAGTTTCCCAAAAAATTAAGAATTAATTAAATAGATATTTAGTAACATTAAAAAATTCGTTATAACATTCTAATCTAAACAAAATTAAGATGTAAGTATTCATTAATATCTAGATTGGATACTTGGCACAATTGTAGCTGGTGTAAATTATTGATGGATAAATAACTGCATAAATATTGACAGAGGATATTGTTGAACTATCAAACAAAGAATAAACAGAGTTTTAATTAAATAATGATGGGTAAATTAAATATTTTCTTCCAATTGCTACTGCCAAAATACTACAAGAGGATTATATAGATTTAAATGACAACGATACTTCTTATCAAATTTCAACCTTAATTTAGTAAATTAAAGATGTTTTGCTCCCATTCATTTAATAATTAAGTAATGGCTAAAGTGGATTATCATTATATTTACATCAAAGTGGGTTAGTAATGTATTTAAATCTTTAAATTGAAAAAGATTGGAAATCATTAAAAAGGCTATCATTTTTACTACCTAGTCTATTAAATATTGATAGATCTTAAAAAAACAATATTCTGTCTTAAAATAATTGTATATAGAGATTAATTTTGATTAACAAAAGCATTCAAAAATTTAGAAAGACTTAAGATCCTATGCTGGTATTTACGATGAATAAAAGATCCATTGCAAGAAGCCCTTTGGTGTAGATTTTGTGGATATTAATTCCAATATTGCTTGCGTACTTAATATTATAATGGTGATTTAGGTGTATGTTAGTTTCTAAATTTATAATATAAAATCATTTTTTACAGAATTTCTATTTAAAAACATTGATATAGATATATATATAAGAAATTGCAAAGTCTTAATTGAAATGAATAATTTATTATTATTTTATTTTGATTGATTATTTCAAATAGACAAATCAAAATCAAACAATGTTATTAAGCCAGTCGCCCATTAAATGGCCAAACCATCTAAATTTTTCTTAAAAATAACTTTAGTTGATTAATTTTGTTCCCCAACTAGACATTTCACAACAAGTTTTATATCTTAAGCATAAGCTTCCTTAGTTAATTAAGATTTAATTTCTGTTTATATTTTCTATTAGATATTAGCTTAAATTACTTCATTTGCATTTTCTTCTAAAAATACCGCCTTCATATCATATTTCTCATTTTCTAACTCTACTCTATTTCCTTTATCTGTAATTCTAACTCTAAAATCATTAATAATCTTTTATCTAAATATTAATAAATATTCTACTCGTCATTAATCTAAGCTCTATATATTACTTCTTTTCTTAACGATTAAGTTGGTGGTGGTGTAACTGGAGGTTGATTAGATATTCTAAAAGGGGGCTGATTTTAATTGATTGGTTGAATATTTGGTAATATCTATGGCACAGGTTACACCTATTGCACAGGTTACAACTATTGCACAGGTTACAACTATTGCACAGGTTACAACTATTGCACAGGTAAGTTTGATGGCGCTGGAGCAAATTTTTGTGGATTAAAAACAATACCGCTAGCATTAACAGAATTGAAAAAATTTGGTTTAGTATGGGTTTGATTAGCTGAGTTATTTACGTTATTATTAACAGGTGGAAGAATTTCGTCTATAGGTTGTTGTTAAACAGAAGTAGCCCATACATCAGTTTGAATTGGCTATTAAAAATTGATTGGATTCACTTGTTGGGGTTGGATAAATTGGCTGGGGTTAGTCAATATTTTAGATGAATTGTCTTTTCTCTTTAATAAACATATATAATACTTAGATTTGTATTGGCCCTTAGTTGGCTTAACATATTTTTTCAAGCTTTGTGCCTTTTGCAATGTTTGATAATAGATTTCCATTATAATAGAATTAAAAGTCCTAAAATTTTTATCCGCCCTCTAATTCATCAATTAGATCACCAAAGTTAGTCCCTTTTATTGGGAAGTCTTTCTCAGCGCCTTAAGTTGAAATTGCTTTAACATTCATTTTAATAGAAATTGCTTAATTAAATAATTTATTTATGTATTTGTAAAACTTAGTTTTCAATTTAAATTAGATAATAATATGCTTTAAACTAATTATGGCTTCTATTAATAATATTTCTTTAAATTTTTGAGTTTTTTAGAATTACTTGAAGTTTTTATGATTGATTTCCTTTAAAACATTTGTTTGAATCGTGATTTTAATTCATAGAAATGAATTTATTGATGTAAAAGATGATGTTACTATTAAATTAGAATAATTATTAATTAATGGAAATTCAAATTGGTTTATGTTGATATAGATTCTTAATTTTTATGCTAAATACTAATTAAGTTTTAAATAAAATACTTTTCCTTAACTTGTTGTTAATCATTTTAGGAAACTGTTGTCAGAAATCCAAAATCAGATCAATCATACGTGGCAATTATTAAAATGTTCTATCGTATTCGAATGGGCCATTCCTAGAAACGATATAAACTAATTTCTTAGATGGTGGTCAGAAAAACGGAATCTTATTTAGGGATTAAATTTATTTGGTCACTACTAGCACTGGCTTTACCTACTGTTACATTGATAACTCTATCATAATAAGCTTGAGATAAGTTTATGAATTAAATACTTTTACTATATGGTTATGGGATAGAGGTAACAGACGTTATAGTCTCATTGTTTATATATCTTATAATGATCAAGAGCAAGTCATATACGATTCAACTGTTGCTTCAGGGATATTAAAACTCACCTTTCCGAATTAATATATATCAAGCTTTCGAATCTATAATAGAAATGGGAATGAAATAACTGAACGTACGAATTTGATCAAAGCAGAGGCGTATTTTAAATTATGAGATCACTACAAATTCAATTATTTATTCAAAATGATATATCTATATTAATTCAACTATGTGTGCATTCATTAATTTATTAAAGTATACGAATTTTAATTTTTATAATAAAATAATTTGAGAAACTTTGAATTATTAAGTACCTAAATTATAATTCCATTTATTTTACTTGATTTATGAAAATTCTATTATTATATATTTTTTTGTCCAAAATATTATTGCATAACATTCTTATAATTGTATAGATCACTTACATATAGAGCCAATCAAAAAAGATATATCCAATTCATCTAACATACATTTGTTAAAATTCATAATTCTAATAGCTGTTAATAACTAAGTAAAATAATCATAAATTTTAGGTAGAATGGAATATTTATATTACAAAAAATTCATATTAAAATGGAGCCTTTAAATATTATCAAAATTCTATAAAATAATTTTTGAGAATATTATCATCACAATTTTGATGCATTAAGGTGTTCATTATTTTATGTTTCAATAATGCCTCATCTTTTAAATATATATTAGAAGCAAATTTAAATTGGGATGGTAATTGTTTAAGAAAATTTATTAATTAAAATTTTAAGAATATAATAAATAGTCCATTTAGGGTAACCTAGATTTATTATATTATTAAATTATCTAAAATACATTGATTAAAGAAATAGTTTTATCATATTTTTTTATTATAATGAAATCATTCAAACATTTAATACTTTTCTCTTCCTTAAATTGTTTTTAACTTATTAATTAACAGAAAAGAATGAATGAAAATCGTCAAAAAGTGGATCGCTCAGATGTGAATCATTGTTATCTAATTCTAAGAATTCTTCAATTTGCTTTTATAATTCTTCTTGGCTTTATTAGTTTGGCATAATTGATTATTAGATAAGTTCTTAATTGTTTGATTACTCATTTCTATTTTTAATGAAACCTTAATTCATTGTCCAATCAAAATATGCCTATTCCATTTCATATTCTTATGGGAATATCGCTTCACTGATTTCTTATAAACTTATGTTTTCAACTTAATTACTCACATCTTAAAGTTCAGAGGCTAAAGAATAATAATTAAATGGAATTACTTGGAAGTTTATTTTAGACATTGCTAAATTCAACTCTCTTATTCGAAGCAGTATTGGTAAACTCATTATTTTAATTAGATTCAACAACATTGGATTATTTCATTTATAAGACATCGCTAAGGCCATCTTCTAATTAATTAAATTTTTCTTCTAATTTGTCATCATTTTATAAATTTTTAGTTATTTCTTTTAATATTTTGGTAGCTTTTTATTCATCAATTTAATCTTTTCTCTATTTGAGTCTGTCAAATGATTCTAAATCTTTTTCTAAGTCATTTTTATCTTCTAAACTGAGTTTTGGAATATCCTACAACACATACTTTTGATCTTAAGTATTTTATGACAATTATTCTTCATTTTAAGATTCTTCCTATTTTTATTCAACTTAATTAGTTTCTTGATTTTGCTTGGCATTTTCACTTTAAGTTGGATTATTTTCTATTTGCTCTTATTTTGTGTCTTCATTGCTTTCCACTTTTAATTCCTAGTCTCCTTATTCATTCAATTAATTATCTGGTTGTTTATCAGATAACATCTTAACTTACTCTTCAAATAATCTTTAATATTATTGAATGATTTATTATTGTTATTCAACCAATTATTTTTATTATTCAACTATAAACTGTTGTTGTTCAATAATTTTGAATGGATCCAATTCGGATGATGAATTGCTTTCAGAATTTTGTTACAAATTTTACATTTCCTATTGCATTTCCACAATCTACTCTTGTAGATCTTCAACAACAGTTTATTATTATGAAGAATCAATTTATTCCTCAATCTAATCTTCGATTTTGTTTTCAACATCATATGACATTGAGGAATCCATAGAAATAGAGTTTTCAGATTCAAATTCTTAATTATTTCTATTATAGTTTTCATCTATAATTGATTAAGTACTATCAACAATAGCAATGTTCTCGGGTTAACGATTAAATGATTAAAAGTCTTCCTATTCAATTGAGTTTGTGTTATAATCTTGTGGTTTAATCAAATTAGTTAAGAATTGTTATCCTTCATTGATTTAAGCTTAAGTGCTAGTGTTGTCAAGAGAAACTTCAGATTAGTCTTCAGAAGAATCTACAACTGATAAGTCATGTTACAACCATGACTCACTGATTGTCATGATTTCTTAGCCATCCTCTTGAGCTGATGAGAGATTTTGTTCTTCATCTTCAATATACAATTATTTCTATTGTTCTGGATAGATGAAAGAAATAGAGTTTATCTGAGATCCTGAATCTAGTTCTTCTTAGGTTATTTATATACCATTCATACTAGTGTTGCTCCCTGTCTCAAAAATATCAGTATTTACTTATTGCTCTTCTGGACTAAGCTTATTGACTAAATCATCGAAGGATACTGTATTATTATCACCTTCCCCTTCTTATTTGGTTATGTAATTTGGATTGATTTCCACCAAGGTCAACCCAATTTCGAATGAGTTTTCAACTTGTTATTAATTTAAACTCAATTAAATTCCGTTATCTGTTACTCCAGATAAAGAAGAAATTCCATAAAAACAAGTATTTGGTAACCCTTGGGATATTTACATGATTGGTAATTCTTTTCTGCTAAATACATCCGAAGGTGCTATGAGTAAGCATAAACCAAGAGAGCTTTCTGCTTTGGATTGTGTAGTTAAATGAACTGAGTTCTTGTCAATTGATTTTATCTCCAAGATGATATCATCTTAGTTTTTTCTGTGAATTCCTGTCAAAAAAGCTGCTACTTATGGTTATTCATCATATGCAGTATTAAATTTGATGTCTATTGAATCCTTTTAAACTTCAATATTATTGCATATCGTTTAAACATCCTTATGTTCTGTTGCTAAGTAGTTAAATCTAATTTCATTGATTTCAGAATCGCTTATAACTTACAATTAAAAACCTTTATTCATAATACAAGTATAATACCCTCATTTGTAATGTCAGTTACTCTTGAAAAGAAGTCTAAACTATTGTAGTTAGAGTTGTAACCAATCACACTCAAAACGATTTTTGGAATTTCTGCAAAATTATTATTAAATTTTATATCCTTGCTTAATCAATATTCAAATACTTGTCTGTATATTTTATGGGCTGGAATTGCGCTCGATGACACATATCCCTATTCAAATATCGCACCAAAAGCAGTAGTGCATATAAGAATCAAGATTATTAATTTCATAATTAATTATAATTAATTAAAACGGATAGATGAACTAGAATAAATATATTACACAAATGAATCAATACTAACAGCCACATCATTGTTATTAGTTTACTACCAATCAATTGAGCTATAATCCTATGCTTTTCTCTATCTCCTGATGACGGTTCAATAAGTTTTGATCTCTATTTGTCAATAATTACTAATTGCTCTATAAATGCTGTCGTTTCTTTTAGAAAATACATCAATACATCTTAGATCATAATAAAAAATGAGTCAATAACAAGAATCACTAATGATACCATTAAATAGTCTCACTTAATTGTTAGTAATATTCACATAAATGGTTTAGTAATGTTACTTAAAGAAGGATGTACTTTCAATTTTGATATTTCAAGGATTAATTGATTTCAGGCATTAAATTACTAATGAGATAATAAAATAAATAGAACTACTAAAATAAAAGTTTGGATTATTCTATACTATCCTTATATTAGTGAATTATAATTACCCTCTTCTAATCTTTAACTATCTAAAATTTATCCAACAGTCCTTAGACATCTACAATTAGTTAAGGTATTTCTTGGATTACATCTTTTTAATAATTCTTATTCTTTTTTTCACTAATATTAAATAAAGTAATGTTGTTCATTGATAGTTTTCATCATTTTAAACATAATAAGATTGTCTTTTAATTTTTTAAAAGCTTTAGGCTTCCACAAAAGTTTATTGTACAACCAAGATATTTTACATGGTATTTTCTGAAAAATTTTAAGGAATTATCCATTTTAAATTCGTTCTTTTCCAAATAAAAGTCATCCAAAATCCACAATTAATTATATATTCTATCTATTTATCAAAAGTAAATACTATGAATCCTAATAACCTTTTACTTATAGAATAAATAATTCAGATTCAAACAATATAAATACTATTTGATGATAAAGCAATATACTCTGTATTCCAACGGATTCAAATCCTAAACTATCTTAAAAGTATGTGGTGAAATTCAAATTATTTATAATAAAAATAAATTTCTTATTAAAATAAAATCAGGGAAACAAAAAAAAATATTCAAAATTAAGTTCTAAGACTTTGGAAACAGTTCAATTATTTATCCAACAGCATTCTAAGATAGTTAGTTCATTTGATAAATAAATATTTGCAAAGAAGAATAGTTTGTAAATTTCATAAATCATTATCTTCTTCGCAAGATTGAAAGTCATCTTCAGACTTTTGTGCTAATTTGATTTGTTGGTTATTTTATTACAGGTCCTGTTGCTTAATTAATTCTTGGCAAATTCTATTCTTAGTTAGTTTACCCGATTTATAGAGTTCAACATATGTGAGCTGATCTATCAATTTGATGTTGTCTACGGCGATTTGATAATTGGGACTTATCTCTTATGGAGGCCTATCAATAATGATATGAACTACCAAAAGTTATCCTATTTATCATTGGCGACTCCTCCATATTTCTTTTCCAATTGTTGAGGATTTGTATATTAAAGTAAGGGAAGGGGACAGCTCTCAAAATGAATTTTATTAACCTAAAGTATGAACTTGTTAATTACGGTTATATCTTCTAGAAAAGTTTTAATCATTGCCCAGGTGATACTAAGCGCTTTATGACAATTAATAACATAGCATTTATGCATTCTAGATCTATAATTGCTGGATAAATAATTCATGATTCGATAAAGATCTTATTTTGGCAACCCCATAATACCCAGTCCACCTAAATCCATAATTACAATCCTAATTATTGATATGAATTACCAATTCTCAATTTGACCGGGAAGCATGCAATTTGTTAATACGTAATCAAGAAATATTGTCATTGATTATAGTAGGACATCGATTTCTTTAACTCCTGCAACTTTTCTAGCATTAACAACAATAATTGGTCGATATCTATTATCTCTCCCATGCATATATATCACTCCTTGTTTCTAGAGAATGAATTCTAATGATACCAATAATTCTTATGACATTGGATTTACTTTAGGATCCATGTTTTATTTCCACTCATCATAAGTTTTAATAGCTTCTTAGCATTTATCAAACTTAAATTTCGTTGCATATAGCATTCTTAATATAAAGGAATCCTCCTTTTAAACTTAATATTTTTGCCTGAATTATTAGATTGATTGCAATTCATTTTAAGTAAATTGAATTTAGCCATCAAAGAACTTTCTAATTTCATACTTCTTAAACTTTATCAAAATCTCATGTCCTAAGCTAATGTTACAATATACCCTCTGGAAAATAAAGATAAAATTCTGTATTAAGAAGCATTATATTTATTAAATTATTTATCCGCAATAAGGGTTAAGCAATTGTACATGAGTACAAACCGTTAGTTTTGATCATATTCAAATTGAAATTAATAAAAGATTGAGAATGAACAGAAAGGAAAATTAAATACAACATGAATTAATTACACTATTGAAATGTATTATAAACATGCAAGCACACTTGATAGGTGGTATAATCAGGAAAAAGTATTATTATAAGAAATGTAAATGTGAAAAACTAAAGTTAAGAATATTTTGAAATAGTTCTCATTAATACACTTGTTAAAATTCAGTAAAATCTATGTCAACAAATAATTGGCCATATTAATATCCTTTGGGTAGGGATATCAAAATATGGAAAGTGATTCTTCTGATAATAGATACTTTAGAAATACAGTTTTATTTGAAGAGAGTGTAAATTATATATAGGAGAATGGTTAGGAGACTATAAGTTCTGAAAAGTATCAAGATATGGAAATATGGATCAACCTATTAACAATTTTGGACCAATGATATGGTAAACTGAAAGGGAGATAATATCATTCAAATGGAGGTACCTATTATGGAGTATAAATCGTATTGAATAAATAGGAAGATCATAAACCTAAAGCTAAAGCTAAAGCTGTTTTTATTTAATTTGGATATGCTAAGATATTAAGGGAGTTGGAATAACAATTTGAATTATGAATAATGCCTAGAGATAAGGCTTTATTGGGATAAATATAAAGGAGAAATTAAGTGTGGGTATAACTCATTTGGTTATTAATTACTCTTTGGCTTGATATTGGATATTGGAGGGAATATAATTTGCCAGAGAACTCTTTTCGCTTTTTCTAAAGTAAACTAGAACAATGGAAGAGTGTCAATAGGGAGAGATGGAATATGTCTGAATCGTATTGAGATACTATTAAAGGAGAATAGATAAACTTAGGATCTATAATTCATGAATTGAAGATCCACAATTCTTAGAAAGACCTTAAATATCTATGCTTATGCAAAAGAGTTCTCATATCAAAGGGGGAAAAATGAAACCTTTATAAAGTAATAAGTTTTGATTATCAACTATTTTATACTAATAATTTTATTGCATTTATTCGTTAAATCAATGGGTGCTGATTAGAGCAAGCTTGATTATAATTATGGCTAAATAATTGAAAGAGACAATCTCTGTCAAAAAAGACTACAATATGATATTAGTGCAAAGGATGTTTTTTTGCAATCTTTAACTTCAATTCCCATTTTAAAATCCTTTGAGGAAGTTGATAAAATTACATTCTGTGGATCTCCAAATGAAATCAAAGCATTTTTCTCTTACAATCAAATAACACTCCATCAATTTGTTTTGACTCAAGAATTCACACTTAAAGAGACATAAATTGTTGGCACCATCAAATAAATTCTTTCAAACATGAATCAAAATAAAGTCTAAATACATCCTAAGGAAATCTTGTTACCTGAATATATTATGTTAGACCCAGAATTGTTTTTATAAAAGAGTGACATACAAAGAATTAGATAAGGAAATATCAAACATCAGGATTATTATTTGGCTCCAGAAGTATTATCTGGAAAATGCAAATCAAATATTGCCGCATAAATATTTAGTTTAGGATTGGTATGCTTATTTATAATGACTAAATTGACACCTTTCGATTTTAATATCTATGATACAACATCCTTTCAATCGTCAAATCTCCAGAAGTACATCAATAAAATAAATACAGGCATCTACTCATGTAAATTTAATATGATATTTAGAATTGCTCAAAAATGTAGTGATTGATATGCTTAAAGAGGATCCAAAACAAAGAATTAATGAAGATTAAATCATGTCTAGATTAGATGAAGTACTTATGTTCCATTCATAAAAAACATTAAAGTTTTAAGAGAGTGCAATTTTATAGGATGATAATTCATCAAAAATAAAACTAGATTTTAATGAAGAATTAAAGCAGTCATAATTAAGTTACAATTACAAAGAGCGTCCATCTGAAAATTAGAAATATGATAAAGATAAGAAATAAAGTAAACATACAGCAAATAATTCACCATAAACCAATCATAAAAGTCACAACAAGGAGAATATTGAAGTAGAATTTATTACAAAAAAAGAAAAAAGAATAAACAATTACAGTTTTAGTGCTTGTTCAAGTAGATCTCATATTAGAGGAATGTCAATTAAACCAGCAAAAAAACAAGTTTATTAAGACAAACATTCATCTGTTAAATAAAGATGGAAATGATTAAACTATTATATATATTTAATACTTTTTAATCATTATGAGGAAACTTATGTAAATTCTTACTTCATTTTCATTTCTTTAAGTTTTTATTCTTAAAATATACGTTCCTTCAATTCTCCATTTTGTTCTTTGGCTTATTTTATTTACTCCTCAGCATGTTTCCTGGCTTCTTGATCTTTCTTTCTACAAATATTATAATAAATTTATACAATTTTTCAGGGTCAGATTCAAATTGACCTATTTCTTACATCAAAGTTTTGAAAGACTCTTTTAACTTCATGTGCATGTCTCTCTTAACCATGTCCTTGCATTTGTCTGAGATTTTAGTTTTGGATCTGCTATTGATATGAATCAATTCAAAATCATTATCTAAGGAATTTAGATCTTTAATCTTATAAGTTCCTTCTGCTTCATCACTTTCATTTGAGCCTTTAAACTTAGTTTAATCAAATTACCTCTCCATTCCACTTCAATATCGAAATCATAGACTAGTACTTACTTTCCTTTTCGAATGTTGACTTAAGCCTAAAGTCATAACGAACAAGTACGTCTCCACTGATGGACTTGAGTTCTATATTGGTCAAGATGATGTCTCCAGATTCAACTTTGATTGCCTTAATTTTCTATTCGATTAATTGTCTTGCAATAGTGGTATAATTCTTTTCTTCCCAATGCCAACTGTTGGGGTTCCAAATAGATCCAGCTCCTTAGGGTTTGGCCATTTAGATATTATTTTTTATTATCATGTTCTTTTCGCTTGTGTTTGCATTTTAATTCAATTCTAGAATTTTCTCTGAATCTACATAATCTTAAGAATTAGTAAAATATTAAATTTTGTTTCTGTAAATTTCTAATTCTAGAAATAATATATATATTTCGGTAATGGAGTTTAAATTAATAGGTGTTATATTGTAAATAAAATGAAACATTGATATTATTCAGAGATAATCAATTTAAATAATAGTTGCCCATTATAAGATTAATATATTATTTAGAATTATTTTTTAACTTTAAAAAAACAATGAAAAAAAGTTTTACGTCTCACAGTCCTAGTTCAGATCATTATTTTATTGGACCTAGAGAAATGAAATTGCCTAAGTTTGAATTTGAATATCCTCCTTCCTGTTATGGATTAGTAGTCTCAAGCACTAAGAATTCTAATAAAACTGAATTAATATCTGACTCATCGAGTGAATCTCTGCTTCCTCCCTTAATTTATTTTAAAATCAAGGAAAAAAAAATACAAAAGGAATAAGATGAAAGGTGTGTGCTAGTTGGCAACACCTTGCATCAGATGCCGAAAAAGATTATAAAACCGAAAATTTCATATCAACCAGACATCTTTCCTTTGAAAGCCTTGAAGAAGAAAATTGTAAAATAAAAATTTAATGGAATTTATTTTGAAGACGAAAGGTATTCTTAGGATCCCTAATTTCAACTGAACTATGCCAATTTGAGAACCTATTACAATGCAATCAATCTATCTAATAATTTATATGTTCAACCTACCATCAACTCCTATAAGGCATATATAGGGAAGGGCAATAATGGGCAATTAGTATAATGGATTTTAAAGAGAAGATGGTGGTGGTCTATTGTTGATAAGGAAAAAGAATAAGTGAACTTCCTCTGGCAATAATTGAGGAATAACTCGTATATTGATTCGATTCCTGAATCAAATCAAGAGATCCTTTAATAGCAATATAATAATGATGAGTAAAACATAGTCATCTAAGATATTTAATATTAAAACTTACTGCCAAATCAATTGGGTCTGTAAATATAAAAGTTGAGAAAAAAAGCAGGGAAGAATTCCAAAATCATATCCTACGATCAAGCATAGAAGGTTTCTTAAACCTTAAGACTTTTTGAAGTGAATGCTAATACTAAATTGCATAATCACATTTAAAATAATACTCATTTAGGTAGCAAGAAGAATCTCTTTTACAATATGAAAAAGTATTATGAACAGCAGGGATTGAATGTTTTTGATTTCTTACCTTAAACATATCATATCAAAAACAAAGAGGATCTCCAAAACTTTGTTCAATAAAATCAAAATTAATCTATTTGGATAGTTAAACCAGCCGAACTTACTAATAGAGGTCATGGTATTCATATCTTTTAGACGATCAATGAAGTATAACAGTATTTGAGGAGCATCCACCATCATAAAAATGGGGCTTAGAAAACCTTTATAGTTTAAAAATATATTGAAAACCCCTTATTATATAATCAGAGGAAGTTTGATATTAGGTGTTATATCTTGTTTACTTCTGTCAATGGGTAACACAAAGGCTATTGGTACAAGGATGGGTATATCAGAACTTCCAGTTAGGAGTTCAGTTTGATGAATTTATCAAATAAGTTGATTCATCTAACTAATGATGCTGTCTAAAAGTACTCGGAGGATTATGGTCGATTTGAAAAAGGAAACAAGGTCTCATTTGAAGAGTTTAATAACTTCTTGCCCATCGACTTTTATCAAACTATTTATAATCAAATGAGGAATATAGCATTGCACCAATTTAAAGCCACGTATGGAAAGTTGGATCCTAAACGAAAAGAAAACAGTTTTGAATTGTTTGGGTTAGACTTTATGATTGATGACAAATTTAAAGTGTGGCTGATCGAAACCAACACTAATCCTTGTTTGGAATGTTCAGGTCCTCTTTTAACGAAGTTGATACCTTAATTAATTGAAGATCTCTTCAAACTAGTGTTAGACCCTCTTTACCCTCCTCCTTAATTTTATACTTAAAAAAAATTCATATATGACTCATTCGAAAACAAATTTGAATTAATTTTTGATTCGTCAATGTTGGATGTACCACTTAAATTCACATAAAATTTAATAGATGAACAATGATTTTATATTATTATATTTAACTTATCTATCATCTAATATTAAAGCGATAAAATTCTTTACATACAAAAGTACTGTATAATTTTAAAGAATTAAAATTTGATAAATGGAATAACATTTAAGATTGTAAAGAATTGGCCCATCCTCTCTAACTTTATAACTCACTTCGAAATAGGAATCCTCATCCTAGATAATGTTGGAAGATGAAATTTAGTAGGAAAGTTTGAGGGAAATGAATGAAAATAAAAGCTTTGAGATGAACATGTCACGTTTCGAAAGTAAAGTAATTATTGTAGTTATTGAAGTCTGAATTTAGGAGGAAAGGACAACATCCACTAAGAACTCTAAAGACTCTTTAACCATAAAAATAATCAAATTTTATTCAGAATTTTAAATTGTAGTTGCACGTTCATCGATTCATTAACAATATCTTTACAAACTCATATATCTTAAGAAATTAATAGAAAATAAAGATCACTGATTAACTATTCGAAAAATCTTCAGCTTCCCAGAAAAAAGAAAATGGTAAGATAAATTTATGATTAGTGATAGTTCAAGACACTTTATCGTGGATTCCGATATTTTTACCTTCCACTAACGCAATTATCATTTGGGATATTTTTGGGTTTCTGAACAACCTTCTAATGCTATGGTTAACTCCCTTTATAGGGTCATTTAACAATTATCAAAACGATATCATATCTATTATTTAATAAATCATCTTAATTTTTCAAATTATCGATTTCTTGGTTCAATTCAACAGGGGAATATTTATCTCTGCTATTTTAATTACCAACAGAGTGACAATAATAAAAGAGTACTTGAAATCAAATGCATTTGTGGATTTCCTGAGACTATTTATTTGGTTTTGCCTAAAACACGATTTGATATTCGCTGAAATTTTGGAAATTACAATAATACTAGAAATTATATTGATATATCAAAACATCGAAAGATATCTTGCTGAATACTTTCAATACTTCTATATGAAAGGAGGTTAGAATGCCATTTTAGATCTAATTTAGTTAATCATTTAAATATACTATTTTGCTCATATCATTGCCTGTGTATGGCATTATACTGGAGACAAAACCAAGTATTTAGGGACATCTTGGTTGCTAGAACATAACTTAACAGAATACTCATCTTGGCACCAATACAATGCCTCATTTTATTGGGCAACTATGACAATGACAACAGTTGGTTATGGTGATATATCTGCTTCGAATTAAGTTGAGATGCTTATTTCATCAGTTATCATGTTTTTCTCTAGTTATGCTTTTGCTTATACTATGAGTTCAATAGGAATTATTTTAAAAAATCTGTATGATGCCAAATAAACATATAAGTAACAATTATTAAATAAATCAGAAAGAATTTGATCTAAATAACTCAATATATGCATAAGAATCAAGTGGATGAGAGCATACAAGGCAGGATCAGGAATTACATAAGAATCCATTCGACTTCGGATAATGTAGAAAATCAAAGCGAAATAGACAATATCATTGGTTTATTGCCAAATAACTTGTAGAAGGATTTAAATAATGATATTTAAACTAGAGTTCTCAAAAAAATGAAGTTAATAATCAATCATTTCTCGAAATATACTTAACAACAAGTGGCTAAAAACCTTGAGTTGATTTCCTTTCTGCCTGGAGATATCGTATATAAATAGGGAGACGTTCATGAAGATAATCTGTATTATTCACGTTAATTTAGCTATTTTATTTAATAAGGAGATGTAAATCAAATAGAAATGTAGACCGAACTCAAATTGAGGAATCTAAAAACCTCATAATATTTAGGTTACTATTCCTTTTTCACTGGATTTGTTCCCAAAGAAACAGCAGTCAGTCAAGGAGCTAGTTAGCTTTATAGGATAAGCAGAAAGAAATTCTTAGATATCATCAGGCAGAATCAAAAGGATTTGGAGATCTTTCATCACATAAAAGACAAGATGATTTATAAGCAGAACTTCGTGTTATTTGATCACAAATGCAGTTTCTGTAACAGATATGTTCATCAGGAAATCGATTGTCCATTAATTCAATTTAAACCTGATTTAGAACGCATATTAAAAAAGGAGGCATTTAATGAGGAGTTCAACTTAAGCAGATACAGATCCAGGAGATAATCAAAACACAATTCTTTAGCTTAAAATCAAATGATAGAATAATCATTGAAGCTATATTAAGAAGAGAATCAATTAAATGAAGATTTAACATCTCATCATGAATTACAAAATGATAAATCTGTAGTTTCTGAATAACAATTTCCATCATCATAGTATATCTAAAGTGAAAAAGATATAATTCCAGATTAACACGGTTTAAGATAAAACTAGAGAAGAATAAGTTAGAATCTTTAAGGGAAAGGACTGAAAAGTAATTTATCCATTAATTAGAATTGTCTTATCTCAAGGTAATACCAATTGTCCAGGAATCTAAATAATCATAACGTAGGATAGTATTGTCAAATGATGAAATTCTAATTCCTAAACAATACAACATGATAGAAGAGATTGAGACAACACTGTAAAAGAGTTTGAAATCTTCTCTAAATATTGATTCAATTTCATTAAAGTCATAGTATTACATGCCATAATATTAAATTGAAGCTCAAATTAAATTATGGATCAAAAGTTAAAGAAAAAGAAGCAATAAATTTTGGAATATTTATGAATAATTAAAGAAATACACGTTTTCAAGTTTTGTAAAGGATGCAGCAATATAGATGATTCCTTAGGGAAAAAGAATGTACAATACTTTTAATTTTGATCGATTGTGAATGATAATATAATATAAATAAATTTTAATATATATATGGATAATAGAGCAGCTCAATAGAGAATTGGTTAAATTAGATAATAGATTGTTTAAGAAATTGATGATAAAGATTAAAAATTAGAGTATGCATAATTGTGGGCAGGCTTTTACAAAAAGACATTGCAATAAAGATTAGATTAATTGAACAAAATTTAGAATGTAAATGTTGAACATTTCAAAGATGGGGGTTTGTCATTGTAAAATGCAAATTTAATGGTTGAAAATTGTATAGGGAAAATTGGAATGCCTCTAGGATTGGGATTAAATTTTCTCATAAATGGTCAATATTATATAATTCCAATGGCTATTGAAGAACCCTCTGTTATAGCAGCAGCAAGTGCAGCAGCCAAAACTATTGCAGACTGTGGAAATGGATTTGAAACTTATTCAACTAGACCAGTTATGATGGGTTAAATATAATTGCTAAATGTTGAAAATTATTCAAAAGCCGAATGTCTGATCGATTCAAATAAAGTATCAATAATAAACAGAGGCAATTAAGCATGTGCAAATATGGTAAAAAGAGGAGGTGGAATTGAGGATGTTAAACTAAGATAATTGGGAGAAGGCCAAGCTTCTGTAGATATTTTTATAAATGTTTGCGATAGTATGGGAGCCAACATAGTTAATACAGTATTGGAACATTTGGCTCCTTTGATTGAAGAAATTACAGGACATCAAGTGGGGATCAAGATTTTGACAAATTTATGTTTGAACAGAAAAGTCACTTCATAATTTAGATTAAACATTGAAAAAATGAATTATAAGAATTATACAGGGCAATAAGTTGCCTAAATGATTTTGAATGCATATAAATTTGCTGAATTAGACTACTTTAGAGCAGTTACTCATAATAAAGGGATTTTAAATGGAATTGAGGCAGTTTGTAATGCAACTGGCTAAGATGGTAGAGCAGTGAATGCGTCATTGCATGGATATGCTTGTTTAAATGGTAAGTATAAGCCATTATCGAAATACTGGGTTGAGGGAAATGAGTTTATAGGAGAACTAACTATTCCAATATCTGTTGGCACTTAGGGAGGAGTTATGTCTTAAAACCCTTTGTATTAAGCAGTCTTATAGATTCTAGAGTATCCTGATTCCTAAAGGTTAGCTGAGATTATGGCATGTGTTGGATTGGCCTAAAACTTTGCAGCTTTGAGAGCATTGACTGTGGAAGGCATTCAAAAAGGGCATATGTCTTTGCATGCTAAGAATATAGCTATTTCAGTGGGAGTGCCTGAACATCAAGTTGAGGATGCAGTATTATTCATGAAGAATAGAGGTAGTTTTAGAAAGGAGACTGCCAAAGAGTTTTTGAAAGCATACCATTTGTTTTAAGAAATAGGGAAGGTTAAGGGGAAGAAAAATCAGTCTTTGTGTACTTTTTCTGCTCAATTTCAATTGGAAGGGTCTTAAGAGAAAGTGGAATTGCATGTTGTTTTTGATTGTCATTCAAACAAAAGGATTGATGTTGATTTTTTGAGTAAATCAGAAATCTCAATTAAATTATTTGGGTCGAAAAGCCATACATGGTTTTAACATTTATTTAAGATTATAAATATAGTTAAAATTGAAGAGGAATCGGAGAGTTTACCTAAAAAAGGTTTAACTGTTAAATTAAAAGTGATTTCTATTTTGATCAATTTGTTAAGTTATAATTTATTAATAATTGATTATGAGAAAACAAGAAACTATCTCAATTATGTATTGAATCAATAACACATTGATTTTCCTGATGGTGAAATAGAATTTAAATATGGAATTGCTCTTTTGACTGAGTTATTGCATATTTTTGAATACAATATCCAACAATTCATAGGTGAGTAAGTCTTAAAGAATGCACTGTTGAATGAATAAAATTTGATCATTAAGAGTCATCTGAATAGTTTTGAACTCTGGCAGAAAGCAAAACTAGATAAAGAGTTTCAGATGGGCAACTTTTGGCTCTACAGAAAGAAACGGCTGTCTTGTACAATGATGTTATTGTGTGATTGCATTAATTTCAAAACAATAGATGAGAAATTAGTAGAATTGATGAAACAATTAGGAGATGTCTATGAGATTGAAATAACATTGACAAGAGACACTGAAAAATGGAAGGAGTATAACATTTAACTTATTATTATTTTAGTGCCACTCTTAAAGATCCCAACATTTACACTTATTGGTTAATGCAACACGATCAGTTACTATAAGGAGATAGAAATTGTGTCTTGGATTAATTTAAGAATGAATCATCTGCCATGTTAGAAATGAAGAGACAACGAATCTAACCACTCTTACCATCATCTATGGCTCATCTATCAAAATAAGCTACTACGGCTGTTAGTTTACTGTATCAATCAAGATTTTGAATAAATTATTAAATTAAAATAATATTTGTTTGTGGATAAAATAATTAGTCATCTTTATTAATATGGTAGTAAATCATTTAGATTGGAACGAGATGGTATATTGCTATCTTATAAAATATCAAAAAGAATGGATTATGAAGTACTATTCTTTTGATTTTCATAGTTTCCTTTATTCAAATGATTTGAAAATTACTCCAATTATTTAAAAACTATTCATTAGGAGGGGGGTTAATTATGCTAAGACCTCTCTACGCTTAATATAACAATTCTCACTTTTATGCATTCGATGAGATGAATCATGAATTATGTTTGTTATTTACTGGACACACTTAACTACTGAAGTATTCATTCATAGATATTTATTTAAGATTAAATGCAATATTATCTGATTTAACAAATAATAATAACTAGGTAGACTGCAGCCTATGAAGATTGAATAGTTATACATCAAAACAAGCAGTGTTTGTTAATTTTATTATTCTATTATGGAGTAAATTGTTTTAGTATTCCATAAAGAGTATAAGGAAAATTATGATAGTCAGTAAAAGCTAAGATAAGAATATTAAGTTAAAAGTAAACCAATCATTCACTCATATAATTATTGATTTAAATTAAGAATTGACTATTATTATGTCTTAAATAATAAATCAAAATCATCATAATTTTTCATTTCAATTTCTAAATTAATTATAACAAAGAAGTATTAAATTAAGTATATAGTAGATGATATTGTTTATAATATTTAGGGGATCAATATTTATTAGAACTCAATTTTTAATCTATTTAGATTACTTCATTAAAAAACCAATATGGGTGTTATTTTGATGGTTACCAGCTTAAATTATAGAGTAATTTAATAAAAAGGACAAATTTTTTGATTATTTTAAATAACTAATATAAGTACTATTTAAGTAATATATAATTTAGCTTAATGTGTATATATATATTTTGTTAAATTAATTAATTAAATACTATGGAGCAATCATTTGCTTCTGGTTAACAAATTTAAATCATAGTCGCTAATTACAATTACTTTTAAATGAAATCCAGATACTTTATTACTAATTAATAATTGATATATTAAATATTTACTTCAATAGTTTTCTTTCGATGAGATAAATTTATTGTAAAATATCTTCATGAATTGCATGAAGAACAAATAAAAAAGAAGAATAATCAAATCAAATGAAGTTAAGACAATTATCTTTATGCACTATCATAATACACAAATCTTTATATTGATTTATCAAATCTATTTCTTCATAATGAAAACACAAAATAAAAATAGAAAAATGAATAAACATATTATATCATCTATAGCTTCATCTATTAAATGTTATACATAATTTGTCTAAAAATTGAACCAAATTTAATTTATTTTGAATTAATAATACTTTGGAACCTACTGTGTTTTTGAAGTTTTGAAAATGTTTTACAAATATGAGAGTTTACTGAGTTTGAGATACTTTAAATGATAAAAGAAGTACATATTTGCTATAAAATTAATAAAAATACTAAGCAATCGACAAATAATACCTAATTCTTATAATGATAAAATAAATGTATTATTTTAAAGGCAAGACTCATTCTCCTCTCCCAAAATTAACTGATCGTTCATAATCACGTCTTGATAAGTTGAAGACCTTCTTTTTGCCTGAGAGAAGTGTATCAACAAGGACATTTTCAAGAAGGGCTGAGAACCGCAACGAGTAAAATTAGATGCTTACTGAGTATTAAGGGGATTTAGTTGAAATAATAATTCCTAAAAAAGCAACGAAGCGTAGTTGCAATCTAAAGAAGGTCATGCCGTAGGTTTTCTAAAAACCAAGGATCGTTATAAAGGAAGAAGAATCAATTAATTTGGAAAGTGATTCAGCTCCCAAATCTCCTGACTCTTAATAAGAAGTGCACCTTGACATTTCGGCTATCAAGCAAGCTATGTTGTCAATCAATAATAAATTGAATGCTGATGAATCATTCTTTGGTTTCATTAAAAAGAAGGAAAAACTTAGAGATATAGCAGAGAATTTCGGAGATCTAGAATAGAATTTCACAAATCCAGGTCATTTTTATTGTAAAAATGATAATTTGTTTCCAAAAAGAATAGATGATGCCTCTCATTTAAAAGAAGATAAATTGATAAATTTAACAAATTTAGGAGTTGGAGAGAAGTATTACCCTCTCATTAAGATTCTGTTGCAAAAGCAATAGAATGTCAAATAACTCATCTTCTAAGGAAATAAGATTAATGATAAACTATTTTTGAGTTTGGTCTAATGCTTCCCACCCATCATGAAGGACTTGAATCTGAAGGACAATTAGCTTGGATCTAAGGGAGTTCATATATTAGCTGAACATCTGAGTCGATTTCAAAAGTAATGGAATTTGTTATTAAAAGTCTCAAGATTCTTAATATTGCCAACAATTTCATAGGCGATCACGGGGCTAATAACTTTTTTAAGAATCTGCATAAGAATGCCCTTCTTAGTAAATTAATCATCTCAGAGAATAATCTCTCTGATGCCATAGGACAATCACTATACGATTTACTAATCAAATCGTCTGGATTAGAAGTATTAGTGATAAACTGGAATCAATTGGGTTCCACAACTGGGATATTTATAGCCAAGGCTTTGTTAGTCAATCGAGTATTGAAAGTATTAGATTTAAGTTACAATCGAATAGGATCAAATGAAAAATCAAATTGTATTTCATTTTGGTGTTAAGCACTATTAAATACCTAACTAAGTTTAGTTCATTTGGATATATCCTACAACTAATTATCTGAGAAATAAATACGTTAACTTAACGACGCACTATTAAAAAACAACTCACTCTATGGAATCCATCTAGAAGGTAATAAATTTGAAGGATTTATCGATCCATACGGATTCATTTAATTTTAATAAATAAATGAAGAGTTCAGCTAGATAAAATACCAAATTGATGGTGTCAATTACATACCTGAATCCACTAGAATAACTACCTAAAACTGTTGCTGGATCTGTTAAGGATGGGTAGAACATCGATTCCAATACACACCAGATATTGAATAACCAGACACTCCAATCTTTCTTCATTTAGATTTCTTGAAGTACACTTATTCCTTAATTTAGTTATAAACCAATTCCTATGACATCAAGTTCAGAACTTAAAGCCTAACTAATTGAGTAATAGAAGGAACAATTATTAAAAAAGGATGTTCAATAAAAACAATAGAACAGCCCTTCTACTTTAAATGTCTCTAAACCATAAGAGAGAAAAAGTAGCATTTTATCAAAAGAAATACTTGATGAATTGTAAAAGTTTTGTTACTCTACATATTAAATGTGTCCTCCTAAACAACGAATATTGTATTTCTTTTCGAATCCTCTGATCGAATAGTATTTTATAGAACCCTCTTAGGATAATATTCCATCTCCCCAAGATAATCTAACATTATAGGGTAAAGATCCTAAACATCAATTTCATTATTTTTCGGATGGGACTGTTTTGAAATTTAAAAAGATTGCTTTTGTAAATTAGCTATTCACAAAATAAGAATTTATTATTGATGATAAAAACAATTACAAGCCACTTATTAGATTGTTTCCACGTTCTTCTGAAAAGAAATATGTTTTAAGGAGAATGGGGAATAATTTAAAGAGAAAACAACTAAATTATCATTAATGGAATATCGAGGAATCCTTATTCAAATAGTAATTTTAATAAGACAATGAGGAGATCTTAAATGAATGTTTTTAATTTGATTGGAATTGTAGTAAGATTAATAGATTTGTAAAAAATGATTATGAATAAATGAAGTTAAAAGAATATTTAAGAGAAAATTATCAATTAATCAAGGATATTTATAAGTTCTATTCTAGCAATGGATATTTCTAATCAGAATGCTTTTCAATATCCTTCCAATCATATATAAAAATGATATAACAAATTGGAATAATAGACAATGAGTCAGTTAAATTATAGGATGTGGAAATTGACTTAGCATCTATTAAGAATAATATTGATCCAAAATATTTATATAATCCTGAAAAGGCTCTTATTAGATTTCAATTTTTAGAAATGTTTTTCCGTTTGGCTAATGATAAATATGTAAGAACCAATATTGTTAAGAATCATGCTGATGCTGTTTATAGATTAATTAGAGAATTTAAGGAGCATTTCAAAAACTTTGATACTTGTTAAAAATGGAGAGATGAGAGGTATTGGAATAAAGAATGCGAATGCTTAATATAATTTAAGACTCCTTTCTTAAAGAAGCTGTATGATTATGTTACAGACTTGAATAATAGAAAATGGTATTTTAAAATGAAATGGGTAGCAATCAAAGAGTTCAAGGATTTTTGTAAGTAAATGGGATTGATGGATTACATTAATGAAAAATTGATAGTCATTATTTATAACTTTTCAATGATGTCATAAGCAGATGAATTAACTTAGGATCGACATATTAGAATGAGTTAATTAGAATTCTATGAAGCATTAGCAAGATTAGCAGAATATGTAAGTCCAGGACCTGTGGGGGAAATCACTGAAGCTACTTCATCCTCAAGATATAGTTTGCCATTACATGTCAAATTAGAGACTCTGTTAACACACATTTATTTTAATGTGGTAAAAAGGTAAGTGTATTTAATTTACTTTAGATCTCCTTAATTCACTGTATTTTATGATCTTTTCACAAATATTTCAAAGTAGGATTGGTTGCCAAAAATAAAAGTGAGCAAGAAGACTGAATAAGAGGAAGAACCTTCATATTTGAATTACTAAGACACTTTGACTGTTTATAATGCGGCACTGTATTGTGGTATGAATACACTATATATAAAATATAAGCTATGCACAAGCAGCCGTATTTAAATCCCAATTACTAAAGCTTTTTGAGAAAGGGTTTTTTGCTTGTCGAATAGTCCCCGAGAAGAAGCACTCTTCTGAGTCCCAAGAGTCCTGTTCAAATTTTGAGAATAATGAAGAAGTCAGGGTTTGGTATGGATGAACCCAGAATTTCACCTCCTCTTTCTCCAAGAGCTCGTTCACCCAGTTTACGTAAGCAGGGCAAATGAGATTTAAAAATTTATTTTTTTTCTGTAATAAATTATGAGATGGCTAAATTCTTTGATAATGTACCTGTACATGAAATAATCATCAAAGGTCTAGAAACTCATCCAATAGAAGACAGAGAATAACTTGAAGAAGGTAAGTTTACTTATTGATTAGTGAAGATTGAACTTGTGAATGGAGAAGTCAAGTCGCTTACTGGTTATGGCAAATCTTATATTGGCAACAAAGTTCAATCATTTACTTTTAAATAACACATATTAGAAGTCTTATCGTTTCTATGGAGATTTGAAATCCTGATGATTATGGTCTACATCATTATTAGTTGGGTTCTTTAGGATGATGCAGCTAGGTAATTAGAAATGAATATTTCAAAAGCAATTTGGTTGTTTTATTTTAAAGCATAGTTTTGCTTTTAGATTACACTCTCTATGTGACAAAATGCTTTCTTAAATTTCGTAATTTTAGAATAGTCGAATCCTAATTGAATGAATAGAGATATAGTATATTGGAGAACTTTATTCATTCCAAAGAACCTTTGGCATCAGATTCATCCGAGGATATAAATACTTATTTCTATCCACAAAAATAAGTATTAAGAGAATAGATTAAAGTTGGTGACATTGTTATCCTATAAAAAACACATGAATGCCCTGCAGATGTATTGCTTTTAGAATCAAGTCATCCAGTTGTATAAATAGATTAAAATGAATTTGGTATTTCAACACCTAAAATAACCATTCCTTGTTAATCCACTTTCAGTAAGTAACATATTTATCATAGTCTAACCAAAATCAGACACAAAAGGGTTGTTAGTTGAATTCAAGTTAACATTAAATGGGCAAATTTAGTATTCCTACTCTTTTGGCAAGAAATCCAGTTTGATGGGAATGATAAAATTAAAAAATGATCCAAAAGTGTTTAAATTCAATCAGGATAACATTATTTTTAGTGGAGAGAAGCTTTTAAATACAGATTGGGCATTGGGAATAGTATTAGTGGCTGGCAATAATTGTTTACGCATTTATAAGCCAATCAAACACAAACGATAGAAGTCATTATTTTTTATTGGCATGATTGTTCTTGGATATGTTATTAGTTTGGTATGTGATTAGGTAATTTTAGCTTGGTAATCTGATTTATAAATCGAGTTATGGGATTCACTTATGTTTCAATTCTATGTTAATTCCATTATATTCCATATTCTATAAAGAATTTGTTTAGATTTTTAATTACATCAAACAGCCGAGCATTCAAAAGAAGGTTAAGCCAATTAATGCCATTGAATAAGGAAATAATTAAGGGAAGGATAGTAAATAATTATGTAAAATTTTAAGTCGTCTAAGATGATAAACATATTTGGATTGAATTTAATAGAGTAAAGAATATGACTGAAATCTATTCTTAGAATAAATTATCAAAATACGATGACATCAAAGACTTTTCGGTTATGATGTAATAAACTAATGTAAACATTAATATAATTTCTCCAAGTATTGGAAATGCTCGAAAGTAAATTTGGTGTGTTTGGAATTGAATCAATAGTATTTCCAAAGGAAGAGGAAAATCCAGTCTATTTATATTGATGACAAGCAATACACATTCAAATATAAATAATTGGTGACAGTAATGAATAACAATCAAATATAATTGGGGGATAATTACTACAAGACCCTATTAGATACAGGCAGAGAGAATGACATATTTGATGAGGACAAAAAGGATTACAGCGAATTAATTAACTCGCATCCTTATTCTCCTCATAATTAAGAGGAGAGATAAAATTATGGGATCAGCTCAAACTTATAATTTTCCCTTTCAAAAAAAACCATTGATGCATCTCAATAGAAGAAACTAAAGAATTCCTTAGGCAAAACCATATCATTTAGAACAAAGGTTGTCAAGAGTGGAAGTGACTAGAGTTCGTCTATTAATCAATTATAAAAGCAATAATTGAATGAATAATAATTTATAACTCAACTGTTTGATGACTTCGATAATTAATATCACGAGAAAGTTGTTGCACTCTTGTTGTTATGTGAGATTGAGAATAAATACAACGAATAAAAAAAAACAATAGAAACATATTGTAAGAACCCATAAGATTATATTTTAATTGAGTTCTGCAATCTCTTAGAATACAAACTTAAATGTAGTATTGAAGCTGAGCGTTAAATTTATGACATAATTCTCAAAAGTCAACTCAAAATCATTGAAATATAAGGCAAATTGAAATAATATAAGATCCTGAGTGAAAATAAACAAACAAAAAATAGAATCGGAGTCTATTCAGTACTCCTAAAAGATCCAGAAGAGTTCAATGAGGATGAAGGTGCACTGCTTTATGTAAAAATTGAAACTTCTCAAATGTATGAAAACACTAACATGAATATCAATGTGTTAGAAACTAATTCAACCTTGTATTATATGTTGAAATAGGGTCAATAGCCAACTCTGTATTTTAAGAAGCAACTCAAAAAGAGTGAAGCTAAGTAATTCCTATTAAACAAAATGAACATCATGAATTCATACACAGCAGACGAAGATTAGCTTGAATTGTTGTATTTACAATTAGAATCCTAGGCCGAATTGCTCATGATTATAGGAACTCATGCAAAGATAGATCAAAGTGCTCTTCTGACCATTGATGCATTCTCTTAAGCTAATGTATTTAAAATCAATATTTAGTTAAATACATGGTTGGTTTCTGCTGAAAATCAATTCGTAGTTCTAAGGTTTTTGTTTGATGCAAAATTCATAGAGAATGAAAACGATTTAAATCAATTTAATTGCGGAGATGAGAGAACCTTGAAATTCGCTATTTAGAGTGCCTGTTCAAATCTGATTAAGTAACAGAGGTAAATGTGAAATTAAACATTAGAATATTTGAAGCACAAGACTTTGAAAAGAAGTACATTCTCCTGAGTTGTGAAGCCTTGTTAACTATAATCAAAGATGAGTATCTCTTAAATCATTTTGCCATAATCGTTTGGTTTAGCAGAGGGTTGGCCTTGTATGATAGTATGGAGATCTCTAAGGTTAAATTATTTAAGATTGCCAAAAAACTCAATATGTAAATTGGATACATCGGCAGTTGTGCTAACACTCAAAGGGTTTATCAGATGAGTTAAATATCAATTGACATCAACCCGAAATGCTACACTCAATCCAAACCTTGCTATTTAGTCAATTCTTTAAGATGTGCAGAATCAATCCTAATAATTCAGTGTATAAGTTCGTCTTTGCTGGCCTAACAGATTCTTTACTTTTGGCTTTACGAGATGATTCTATTTGTCTTAATCAATCTCATCAACTAGGGGTAGTTTTTAACTTAAAGTTGTAACGTCCTCCTTCTATTAAGTCAAACCTTTACAGTGATGATTCAGTTGATATCTCACAATAAACGATTCAAGACTTCAGATGTCTATTACAAAGGGTTGATACCTTAAAGATGCTTAGTCAAATCTCTGTTTAACAAGGATTCATTAATTAAAATATTCTTTGTTGGAGTGATTGATGCAACAATTGTGATCATTCCTTTGTATGCCACAAAATACTTATATGGAGATTCCAATTATTTGCCAATATCCCAATTTGCTTTTATAATTACTCTAGAATTAATAGTTAAAATATAATTGTATTTCTAAATATTCTAGCAACAACATAAACAACTTTTGGGTTTGTTATTTTTAAGCGTATTCATTGTAGCTTTGGTGACATTCCTAACTATACCTGATTATAGTGATTATAAAGTAACTTACTCAGATTTGTTTTATAGTCCTGGATATATAATTAGAAGTTTAATCTTCGTTTACATATTTGCCTTTGTATTTAAATTTGCAGTCACTTCTATACTATAATTGTACAATTTGGAGATGTTCCAAGATACTGTGATAACAGATGAATAAAATTTTAAATGTATTGAGTAGACAAAGAAGTAGAGAACCACTAAGCAAAGTTTGCAGTTGTCTATCTAATAGAGGAAGAAATTCATCAAATCTATTTTGGCAGATAACAATTAGATGGACGATTCAATCTATAAGGCCTTGAATAACAATATTAATAATGATGAATAAATAGAATTGAAGAAAAACTTGACCTTCAATCAAAAGGAATTTGAAATTCGATACCAAGAATCCATGAGTCAGAATTCAATCTTGTATATCATCTTTGAAGCTACAATCTTCGTTAATCTATTGATCTAAGTTAACTATATTGAAAAGAATATAGCAATCTACATCTTATGGGGGGTGTAACTGTTCTACAGTATTACAATTTATATACTGTAATACTTGGAAATCACTCCTCATAAAATCTAATAAAATTTACAATTAATCAGCATCTTAAGTAGGTTTTTATTTTAATTTATAACAACATTCTTATTGGATTAGGATTACATATTGAATTAAATTATATTTACGTCAATATTTATGATAATCCTGCTGAATTACTCAATAAAGCAGAGTTTGAAATTTAAAGGTACGATAATCCTTATGAGTTTAATTAGCTTGGGAGTGGTATTGAAATTCATAATACCTAAATATCAATACTTCCCATAGAAATAGATCATGTTTGTTTTGGCTTTGATAATCATATGTAGTTTATCAATTGTAAGTGGATATTACTTATGCTATGTGAATGAGTATTTGAGGAGACAAAACTTTCTATTGCAAGAGCAATTGGAGAAGGAACAGAAGAAATTGAATGACGCTTTGGGAATATTGATGCCCAGATTTATTAAGGAGCGAATGGCTAGAGGATATATATAAATATAGGAAGATTAAGGGCCAGTCACAATCCTCTTTTGTGAGATCTGCGACTTCGATGACATTATTGAATCTGAGAAAGTGTCAATCATAAGTTTTCTGGATTCTATTTATAGGACCTTTGATACAATATGCAATCAGTATAACATCTAAAAGATCGAGACAGTAGGATAGATTTATGTTTGTGCATCTGGATTAAAAGACTATGATATAATTGATAAGCAATCAAAAAACTCAACATAGAAAATGATTGAATGTGCAATAGCCATGATGGAATCAACTAATAATTTAAAATATTAAGATAAACAGATAGTTATAAAGATTGGGATTAATTATGGGAATGTGATGGCTGGAGTCATTGGCTAACATAAACCGTAATTCTCATTGATAGGAGACACTGTTAACACAACCAGTAGAGCCTGCACAGTCTGTGAACCAGGAAGGATTTCGTTGACTGAAACTGCCTATATCAGAGTCAGACAAATGAAGTATTAATTTTAAGTTAAGGAAATCAATATCAAAAATATCTATGTGCTCTATTCACTTGTCATTAATAAGAAAAGTACTTTTGCAACAAAGGTTGACAAGTCACCCATCATTAAATTAGTCAGTTCAATTTAATTTAAGAAACTTGATTAAAATGATAAGCCTCTCATCAATGATCTTATGACAAATGCTGTCAATCCTGCTGGTTTCTAATTCGATATAGCAAGGAAATCGTCAATGTCGAGAAATAAATCTGTTTATTAATTACCAGTTGAATAGTTTGGTAAAGTAATCTAAGATGTAATCACAGCAAATAAGTTAATATGTAATTATTTATTATTGAATTGTAGAGGATATATCAAATAGACGTATTACTATGCATAGAAAGAGTAGAGTCACTAGATTTAAAGAAGTGAATCCTTAAATGATGTCATCACATGATTAAGTTTAATAGTAATAACAATAATAGCAATAATAATAACAATAATAATAATAAAAGAAAGATGATCCCTTAGGTGATCAATTTGGCGATCTATTTGATAATCTGAAAGTAGCTGATTCCTAAAAAAACATTGATGATTTATTGCCAAAGAGCCCCCAGAATAATGTTAAAAGCTAGAAATCCTTATAAAATAATAATAACAATCATCTATTTGATTCTACTTTGTAATAAGAAGAAAAGATTGAAATTCCAAAATTATAATAACTTATTGGTAATCAAGAGAAGATTGAAACTGATATTATGTAAGAATTGATACGAGTGAAATGTGACTTTGGTACTAATCAAGCTAGAAGAGGTAAATAAATATATATTAAACTTAGTTTATTTCAGATAATTCAAGTATAAAGAAATGATTCGGATTTATAATCATAAATTGTTTAAAGATACGATTTAGTATTGTCTTATTCTCTTTATCTATTTGATGATCTTTTAATTGCCAATTTTATTTGCTTTAATGGAATATCAGCAATATTTGGGAGTCAATCTCACTATCGAAGGATTGAAGATTGCATTCTATCTAATGAGCTGTATAGTTGTTCCTTTCTGTCTAAGAGATGCCTACAAATATATCTTCTAAATAAGTATGATCATAGGGTATTTCATTTGCATCTTATTCACCATCATAACAATCATTATTAATGATCCAATCGAAAGATCATACATTACTCTAATCCTAGCTTATACTTTATGTTTGGGATACTTTTTACGAGCCTTACCTTATTTCACTTCTCGCCATAGGAAACTGCTATTCATTTTGAAATATATCAATGTCATATTCATACTAGCTTTTTCTAATTAGTGGAATGAAACTATCATATTTATTCTTACTATAGAGGTATTTATTCTTGTTTAGAGGAATCAAAATGAGGATTTGCTTTATTAGAATTATAATATTCATGATCAACTCTTGTAACAATAATAAGAATAAAATAAAATTATCAGTCATCTCTTGCCTTCACATATTTTATAATAATATTTTAAAGAACAAGATACTCTGCCTGACGTTTTTGAAAATGCAACCATCCTCTATGCTGATATAGCTGGCTTTACAAAATATTCTACTAGTGTAGATGCTCAATAAGTATTGTAAATGTTGAGTTCACTTTTTAATAAATTTGATGTGGCTTGCACTGAGAACAATGTTTATAAATTGTATTCAATTGGAGATAGCTATGTTGTTATGGGAGTTTTGGATGCTAATAATGGAATCAGAGAGGAAGAAACTTATAATGTCGTCAATTTGGGATTTCAATTGCTAGATATTGTTAATTTACTCAAGAAAAACATTCAATACCCTGATATCAATATGCGGATTGGAATACATACAGGAAATATCATTGGAGGAATAGTAGGAACAGACATTGTGAGATATGATATTTATGGGTCGGATGTTGCATTAGCAAAGAAAATGGAATAGAATTCATAAATTGGTAGAATCATGGTTTCAGAAGATACTATGAAATTCTTAGATGCCACTTACACTGGAGAATTTAGCTATGTGTTTGCTAATTAGATTGAACATCGTAATAGGATTATTTAGGGCTATTATATAGACAGAGTATAAATTGAAGAATGAAAACTTATTTTAATAATCATCATTATTGGTTTAATACAACTTTTATTCTTAAAATTGCTTTTGTTTCTTCCTTTCGAATAGATATCTCACTAAAGTGTTGAATACCCTTTCGCTTATATACTTCATAGGATGAAATCAATCTGGATATCAAGGCATCTTCTGCTTCTACTTCCAAGATCCCTGTATTCTTCTCAAATATTTCGATAATCTTTTTCATCATAGTTGATTTTTTAATTCTAATTGCTTAACTCATTTCAACATCTTTCTAGGGTTGCTCTAAGAAGTTTATCAAATCCTCTTTGGCTTTGTAATTCAAAAACCTATTATTTAACACTAGCTTTTAATTCTTTGCTACTTTCATTATTTTAATTATATTAATAATATTTCAATGTATAACATATGTATATTAATTATTGAGCACGTGTAAAGGGGATTTTGGATTCTTTATTCTAATTTTATCTAAGGAACATTAAAACAACGGCAATTATATTGATAAATCCTTTTGAATTATTTTTTTAGCTTGAAATTCCTTCAATGATGCTTGGGTTCGAATATGAAGCGGTATTTTATTATTGTCTTTTTCATAATACTGAAAATCCACGTTCATCAAGTCTTTTAAATTGGCTATATTAAATCCTTTGCACTCATTAAATGAATGCAATGATCGACTATTTGCCATTTACAATATTTTCTAGTTCATTCCCATAACTTCTTAAAAAAAATTTAAATCATCTATTTTAATGTAGACAGCATAGCACAAGTATTAGTAATTCACAAGTACTTTATGTTCTTCATCTAAATCTGACTTTGATAATCCTGCGAATGTTTCTTCATACAATTCCTTCAATGCATTACTCATTGACGAAAGACCTACTTCTTGATTCCCTCCAGGTTCCATCAAAACCAATTATCTCTTTCTAATGTTCTGCAATAATAACACTAAGGTATCTTCTTTGTGTTTGATAAAGACCATCACTCCAGATCCTGTTATATTTTGCATCTTCAATAAAGTTAACTAAAAGATAAATAAAAAAATGAAATTCTGAACTAATACTGAATGATTAATGTCTTTTCAATTATAATATATATACTAACAAATATAATCTCAAGCTTTACGAACATTAATTGATTTTACTCTTTTTCGACTCTTAATAAAATCTTAAAGTTATGACACGCCATCTTCAGTTGTAATCATAATCTTATTATCTTACAAAAATAATTAATATTAATCCTCTCCTATCAAATATAAACCTTATTTCAATCGAATAAATTGGTATTGTTAAGTATGATCTTTAGCAATAATCTATGCTAATTTGGAGTCCAATTTGTCTTCCTTAATAGGAATGTATTGGGATCCAGTTGCTCTCATTTTTAATATGAGTTTAATTAAGTTGTCCACTATTTCATCATTCTCTATTGGTTATGCAATTTATAAATTTAATTAAATGTTTTGACTTAACCCATCTATTTCAAATTATGTTAATCTGCTTTTTAATTAAGTTATTTGACAATCAAATTAGCTGATAGTTTATTTTAATTTTGTTACTTCCTAATCAACCAACGATTTTTTTTCTAGCAATTCTTAATAATTAGTATCTAAATCCATCAATTGCTTAAGTAATTATTTGTTCTCTTGAGCTTATCTTTACTGTAACCTTAACAGATTTTAAAAATCATTTCTTATATCATTTGCTGAAACTTCCTATTTGGATTAATCAATCTTATCACTTCTTTATTCATTTTTTTCTTACAACGTCATCACTTAATTTTCAAGCTCAATTATTCTTTATTTGAGTTCTTTATTCTCCTATTTCAATTATTCCATAAGATTATCTCCTAAAACAAAGGATTGTATCAATTTTTAATTAGATTCAGATTTCTATCTATTTGTCGGAGTCTTAAAGCTTATTTTCTTATTGCTCGCAGTCAGACTCCTTTCTGTATCATTTTTCTTCAGAGGCGATTCTGATGTTTAGGCATTTTATTTTATGTTTAATTTAAATGGTTTCTCAACATCCTATATCAACACAATAAAGTATTAGCCGCTAACATTTGTAAATTTATACTCACCAGTTGTCTCAGTGATATCCTCATTCATTTGAATTCGAAAGATTTCATCATTGTATTTTAACTAGATTGCGCTTAATTAGCTTATTATATATATTAATTATAATACTCTACATTAAATGTTAATCCTTCAGATTATGGTAGGGTTATCACTTTGGTCTTCCCTGCCATTGTCACTGAACACTTGAATTATTATTAGGATTTAAGTGCAATAAGAACCTTAAACATATTTGTCTGTTATGATAAAAATTATAAATATAATCACCCCCAATAATTTTATTTAAACCTATATTATAATCACGTATTTTAAAGAATAATTGTTTTCATTACATTCATTTTAAAAGCATTCAAATAATTATATCTCCATTATTTGACTAAATTAAGTTGTGATTATTTTTCAATAATTTAAATAAAAATAAACAAAAGATTTTGCAAATTGCTTAGTCATCGGGGCACATATACACGAATGTAAGCAATTACATAAACAAACCCTGGGGTTAAAGTCCTCCTTTCCTTTGGGACAGAAAGTGTCGGCATAATATGCTGGTCTGAGAATCGTCTGTTGCCCTAAGAAGAGAATTGGGATTTCCATCAAGTATTCTAATCTAACAGACTGCACTAAGAGAGTGTAGTTGATGTTTAATGAAATGTTCACTCCTCAGATTAAGACTGTTGTGGTGACAAGAATGTCTAGGGGTGGAGTTAAATTTCTTAAATCTGAGTTAGATTACTAATATTTGGCGGTTTTTTCAATTTGATTAGAATGGCCTGACTTTCTTAAGACATCCAATAAATATAAGCTAGTTATACTAACCTATAAACACAAGGGGGCTTATGATTTGCAAATCACTTGGTTTATTTTTGTTTAAATGTTCTATTTCCATTATGTAGGATACTTAAGCCATTAAAAAAGCAATGCAGAAATTATCATATATTTTTGTGTTGAAGATATATGGCAAAATTAAATCTAAATTGGGCATAAATTTCCTATTGATTAGGACTTATATTAAATCAGTTTAGAGACATACAAACATTTTTACTATTTCCAAATAATATAATCTTATTAAATTCAAATCTGATGTAATGTAAACGATGAACATTTTATGGGATTCATCTTAGCTTTTTAATTCTATATTGTATCTTTGTATCTTTGTACCTTTGTATCTTTGTATCTTTGAATTTTTCAATTTATTTTAAGGTATTTGTCAAATTCATACATTATTTGATACTTATTAAAATTGGTGATAATTTATAATATTTAAATCAAATCTTCTTTGGTTTCTTTGTCAAATGTGAACACATATATTCTAGAATATCTGATTGAGTTTTTTTCAATTCTTCAATTTGTTTCTCCTAATTCCTAAGTAAGGTTACCATATGGTGTATTTCATCATCTTAATCTAATAATAATAAAAGGGCATCAAAATTTTAGAGTGAACATTTTTATGACTATTATTATTATTGATTATCAATTTTCATGGTAAAAAAATTCTCACTACTCAAGGGTTTAATAGATTGTTGTTGAGTTGATTGTTGCTTCTACGTTTGCACAACCTAAGGTTTTTCATACTCTTATTAATTCAGGTTTTTTGCAGTCTTCAAGAGATCCATATTTGTTATTTCATAGTGATAGCCATCTGAATTTTAATTAAAATTTCTTTCAAAATCTAGTAGATCCTTATCTGCTTTAGTTTTTCTTCCATTACTTTGAATATCTTCATCAGATTCAGATGCTTTGTTGTACTTTTTAGATTGCTGCTTTAGCCAACCCTTGATTGTACGCGGTTTCAGATCATATTCTTATGCCAGATATTCAATCTCTTTATCAGATGGATTACTTCGCAAGGCTTTAAGTATTTATTATCTATCCATGCTGGAAACAGATCTTTTTGGGTAATTGTATCTCGGATTCATAGTAGTTATTAAAAATTCAACAATCCCTAATACATATTTAAATCATTTATCACATTTTGAGAATAAGGATGAAATTATATAATTAATAGACAATTTATAAAACTAAATATTAATTACATACATTTCAAAGTATTCTTGCTTTTTTTTTTAACTTGTTATTTTTTTGATTTTCAGTATCCTTTTCCTTTTAACCCTTAAACTTATCAGCCTCTTCCTCCTTAGCAAACATTTAATTATAAATTTTGATAAACTACTCTTTTTATTTTTCAAATTCCTCTTTCTCCTTTTATTTCTGTAATACTTTTTCAAAATCTTCATTCTCAATTTCTTCAGAGTCTACATCGTGATCAAAATAGATAGTTGTTTAACCAGTAGTTTTTATTTAACCCCTCTAAACGTAATGCCCCCTAAAATATCTAAGTTTTTTTTATTTGCCAATACATTCTATTTATGCATTAGCTACTTTGTTTGAAATTTATTTTTGATTCCTAGGTATTAGATCATATTCATCTATTTCATCTGTTTATGCTTATTTAATTAGCATTGAAAATTAATCATTAGTTTAAAGTTGGTTATTGCAATTAAAAAAAAGATCATACTTCTGCTTCCAATCACTTTAAGATATCAGTAATTAATAATAAATGGATTGCTTATTTAGTTCAATATCATTTTTTATCAAAGGATGTTTAAAACTACTAGTTTTATCAAAAATATTCAAGCTAATTCTTTTTAATTCTCCACAAAAATATAAAAAAAACATCAGTTTCTTAAATTGCAACCTGTTAGCCACTTTCATATAATGATCGTATCTCTCTTCCATGTTCTTATCAAAACATTTGACATGTTAATAAAATAACTATTCTAATTTGATGGCACTATTTTATAATTCAACAAAAATGGGATCATCTATCTTCTCCTTTATATCCGCTGCCTTCAACATTATGTTAATATCCACATATGAGATTCTTGGGAATTGAGATCCAAATCTCTTTTTCTTTATGTTCTTCAAATGAATATAAGCAGAAGAGATAATTTTTATCCCGATTTAAAGAAATCTTGCAATCTTTTAAGTATATCTCCCAAGATACAAACTGAAATTGATATGTACACTTACTTACATCCAGTTTTATTCTAGAATTCCCGTAGACCAGCCTTAGTTAAACCTCTGCATTTGATTCCAGTTTCATATAAGATTTATTCCTGCTCCAAATTAATATTATCAGAGTAATTTGTCAATATTTAATATCTATATATAATTAAGTATATTTTGAACCTTTTCTTTAGATTATAACTTTTAGTTTCAGCGAGTCCTGTTCTTTCATAAAATAATCTTGCAACCTAAGTCCAATATTTGCAATTAGCTCCACCAAAGGCTTCTACAACATTCAACAACTCTTAATTGTACTTATCATCCAGAGAGTAATTTCTGTACATATAATATGTGGGAGTGATTCTTAAATAAAATAAAGCACTTTATTTCAAGGAGAATTTATCCAGGAAAATTTATTCTAATTATTATTCGTAAGTTTCATTTGTAGTAAAAAATGTATATTTTATTATTGAATAGTAGCAAATAATTTCTTTTGATTTTTTATTTAAAGATTCAAATAGATTAAAAGAATCTAGCCTTGTTTGAATTTTGAAATAATTATATTGACAATACTTTATAAAATTTTTAATTCTTCAATATGTAGACACAAGATGGGGAATAAGAGATGTGTAAATTAACACATCACAATAGGACTTTTATTTGCACAAACATTGAATGTATTTAGGCTAAGAGATTTTAATTGTAATGCCACAAATGTTTAACATTGCAACATACAAATTAAAAAGGAATTCAAAAATTGAAAAATACTAAGACTGTTCGTCATTTAGATGATTTTACAGAAATTAAAGATATTTTAAATCAGTTAGAATTAAAATACCAAGGGAGATTTAATTTTCTACAAGAAGTATAACAAAAATTATTTGATTTTCAAAAAGAGTAGATATAAAAAATCGAAAAATTCCCCTTTCATGATTTAAACTTCATTAAATTAGCAAAGTCAGAAGTTGATACTCTAATTTAGATGTTTGCAAATGAATTAGGCTATCATTAAAGAATACTGAATGAAGCTAAACAATACAATAATTTAACATAAAAATCTATCTTGGAGCTCTATATAAGGAATGATGAAAAATTCCACAATGACATTATTAACAAGCAAAAGTAAGTTTTTGATAAGGTCAGAAGTAATCTTGCAAAAAAAGGTCTTGATTTTTAAAAAATGTTTACAAAGTATGAATTATATTATTCTATTAGTTAAGAAGAGAAAATAGCACAGGCCGAGGAAAGAATTAAAAAGTTAGAAAATCCATATGCATCCAATAAACTCTTTAAAGCTTGTCTTATTATTGCTACCCTTGTAATAATAAGTAACTAATTCTCAATTTTGACATCAACAAATTAAACATAAAATTAGAAAAAAGAGAGTATTCTAATAGAATCAGAAATCAGTTAAATTAAAGAATAGTGGTCTGATTTTCAATAAGATAACATGATTAAAATAGAAGAAATTAAAAATACTTTGGATGATAAATTAACTAGCGAGATTGAATATTTAAAATTATACAATTAAAAACTTAAAGTAGAAATGTTAGATTTATAGAAATAATTTAAAGAGATGTTGGTCTTTCAAAATCAAACCATATCCTTACTTTCTTAAGAATTGAATTTATTGAAAGAATAAGTATCTATTACTCAAAATTAAATTTAAAATTTTAATGGTGTAAATATACAACTTGTCAATTAACAGAAAGAGTTGAATCATAAACAGGATAATAAAGAATTGATCGATAGATTTGATAATTATTATCATGAAATGAATGATAAATTGAATAGCACCTTTTACGAAATGAGATAGTATGTAGATTATCGAATTTTGCTGAATAAGCACTTCTTTAATGCTCAAAAGTATCTATTAGGAAATATTAAGGAAGATTATCCAATTGTATTATTGTAGGGCTTTACTTTATATTTAGATTAATATTTAAATAAATCTCTAACTCATGAATAAATTTATAATTTGTCCAATTCATTCAGTTTAACTGGAATAGCTTGTTTCGGTGGCATTTCTCTTTAAAAGCCTACTCACTTTGCTTTGATGGCTTGCGATTATGCATTTGAGATCTTTACAGTCACAACAAGTCGAGAAAAAGCAAGAAAAAGCAGATCGAGCAAAGATTTATTTTGGTACTTTGTCCCAAGAATTTCAATTGGATTTGCCCCCAATGAGAATGTTAATCTTCAATTAGCTGATAATGTTGATCCTGAAGATCCATACAGGTTTAGCATGTGGTTGGATCATTCATAAGGGGGTCGAAGAATTGGCAACTAAACCTCCCTTATCAATACAACTGAATATAAAATGGCATTATTTGCTATAGAATGAAGAGTTTTATTTAAGTTATGAAAAATAAAATAATAATACTATATTATTAATTGATATCTACTATTAAATATAGAATTTAAACACACTGATCTTCTATAAAATATTTACATTCTATATATGTTTATTTAGAATTTCAAAAATCTTAAAGGGATTAAATAATGACTCTAAAGTGATGAAATTAAAGATAAAACAATTGATTTTCCCTTAATATCTTTGAATTAGTTATCAAAATTGGCATTGACTTTATGATTTCCATCTCAAGCAATTAATGTACAATTTATCTTAAGTTACGATTTTAGAATTGATTACCTAGTAAATTATGGCATAGTTAAAAAATGAAACTAGGTTTATTTTAGATTTCTATTTTGAATTATTTTATTTAATTTTTCAATTAAATTATGTTTTATTGGATTTTAGAGTGAATTAATACAAAAATCAAAAAATTTATTCTTCTATTAATCGTAGTCAAGGAATTCACCTTCTGAAAAAAAAGAGTGAATAAATACACAAATAAAAAATAATATTCTTTTTAGTTCCGAAATGCCCGACATACTATCTTTGCATAGAAAAAAATAGTATAATTTTTTTGATTTTCGTTTATTTCAGATTTTTTATTATAATATAAATATTTTCAATTGTTTTTAAATACATAATTAAAATCAATGTACTAATATTAAGTAATTAAAGGGTATTAAACTAAAGTTAGCTCAAAACTATGAAAATCGAATAAAGTCTCATGGCTTTATGAAAGGAGTGGTACCATTCTTTATTAATCATTTCTACATTGGTCTATATAGAGAAATGATAAAAAGGCGACGAGTCAAGCTTTATAGAAAATGAAAAACTCCAAGATAACAAAAATAAGAAATTTTAATCTTCAATTAATTTTCAAGAAAAAAATGCTTGGCAAATCAAAAAGCCTGAAAACAATTTCTTAATTCTTAAGAAATAATTTATGAAATCGAAAGTAACAAAAAATCATAAAAGGAAAAAATTTGAATATAAAGATGCCATTTCTCTATTAATCAATGAGTTCTAAACTCAATAACCCTATTCTTATCGGTTATCCAAATTTAATATCAACTGTACTTTCAATGAATAAATTGGGAAGAAGTGGGTTAGGACTAATTTTCTTTTGATGAAAATCTTTAATTATTTGGATGATTCTTTCAAAATAATTTTATTAATTTTAATTGTTAATAAAAAGTTTATTCTATTAAAAAATATCTATAAATTTATTTAAAAAATAATCTCAATCTAGAAGTGGTTAATTAAAGACCTTTGCTATAATTTAACTCCTTTAAAACCGATTGAAATAGTTTTTATGAATTTTATTTTTTGAAATAATTATGTGATTATTAATATTTAAATGAGGCAATTGTTTATAATATAAAATTTCAAACCTTATAAATATTTGATTATAATAATTAAATTAACGATTCTTATGTATTACCCATCTTCAACTACATATACTACATAAAGTTATAGGAAGTTCAAAAAGTAGGAGGATAAAGTTGAAAATACAAATGCAATACAAGATTACCATTTATAGAGAACACTCAAATAGGTTGAATAGTTACAAAGAGATCTTGAATAAGCAAAGATGGAAGAACAAAGTATTGATGACATTAATAAATAGACAGTTAGAAGTAGAGAAGGTAAGCTGAAGAAAAGCTTTATCACTTTTAATTAAAATATGATGATATGAATAAGGAATGTATGAATTTAAGAGAAAAGATTGCAAAGGCAGAAGGGGATCGACAAGTTATTAGGGCGTAAGGTGAAGGGGAAGTAAAGGCATTGAATGTGCAAATAAATTATTTGGAGAAATAAATTTCAGAACTTAAGTTAGATAATGAAAAATTAAAAAAGGAAAATGAATAACTTCATCACTAAGTACTAGATGCAAAAAATTTATCTAAAAAACCTATATAAAATATCCCTTAAAACCCATAATAATAATAACAGCGTCCTTAATCTTACTATTGACTAATTTAAGATTTATGTAAATATTAAAGAATTTGAAATATTTTCAGTAATAAATACAATTATTGCCTTTAATCATACTTTAAGAGAAGGATGGTTAATTTAGCTAAACATTAATTTATACTTCATTTAATATTTAGGATGGAGTATTTATATATTATATATTAAATATTTTATTAATTTTTTAGAGTTTCTTAATAAGGAATGAAAGGATTAGGAGTTTTTCTGATAGGAATTTACATAGCAATTTATGGAATATAATTGTTGACAGACCCTTGGACATAATTGCATTACGACAGATCAGTCAGACAATCAGGAATGAAAAACTTTTAATAATTTGTGGCATTGGGTTTGAAAGTTAGATCATTATATGGGTTTGCTCACATTTTTGCAGGATATTGTCTAATGAATAAGTATAATTAATATTAAATACTTAGGATATCATCGATGAAATTAATTATAAGTTGTATATTTGCGATAGATATTATAATTCAAACCGGATTTTAATCAATTCACTAAATTTTTTAAGATGTAGTTTTAATTGGAATAGTCAACTATGTTTGAGAATAAGATAAATTCACATGTGTTTATAATTCCATTATATTTATCAAGTTAAAAGAATTAGTTTTATCTTTAATAAATTAATATATTTTATTTTTTGTTTATTTCAATATACTTTATGAATATTTAATAACAGACACAACAAGCCTCAACTAGAAATTTAAGTTAATAAGTTTGTGAGTTACATAAGAAATAAATATCTGGAGTGTGTTTAGAAGATGTTTGTAAATACTCTTCAAGAATCTTATGTAGTGATTGTTAATTCACACATCAAAAATGTAATATGAAAATGGAAATTAAGCAATTCCAAAATGAATTATCATATATTCTCAATCCTGAATTGCACAAAGCAACCTGCCATTATTTTCCTGAACATTCAAAATTATTGAAATACATAGATGAGTCTTTTGACAAAGCCAAAAATAAGTTTAAACATCACATTTTGGATTTAGAACAAAAACAACTAGCATTTATTTTGTAAGAGTAAGGAATAATTATAAATTCTAATCAATCAAATCGCTGGGCCTAATAATTAATTAATATGAAAAATCTTAATCTGAATAAATAAGAATATGATTCAGCTGTTCTAATGCTTAAAGAGAAATAATCCTTTGATAAAACAGTTGTGAATGAAATCAAGTAAGTTTTTGAAAAATTTCATCATTTGAACAAAAGTGTTTTATAATAAATTTTGGTAAACTTTCGATTATAAAATTTTTAATATGATGTCCAATAATTATATGATGATGCGACCAAAACATTGAATAAGACCAACACTGAATATGTGTATGACATAGAAGATAAGATTAAATAAAATAGATTTAAGTCTTTAAATGGAGGTCATGAATCCGAAGCTTCCATAGTATCAATTACAGAGAGTCCTACACATTTAATATCTGGAAGTGATACAGGCAATATCGTTGGATGGCTAAAACCAAACTATTCCTTAGACTTTAGAATGAAGGCAAATGAAGGATTAAGTGCTCTAGCCGTCGCTAAATTATAGGACTAATATTATTTATTTGCTGGAGGGTAAGGTATCATAACTGCTTTCTCCTTGTAGTCTAAATTAAAAATCTACAATCTTAACGGCCACACATAAAGGATATCTAAATTATAGTCTTATTCTTTAAGGAACTTGATATCGTCATCTTAAGATGGTACAATTAAATTATGGGATTTGAAAGAAAGGAAATATTTTAAGTCTTTTAATGCTCATTAAGGTCCTGTTTCAGATTTTGTGTTAGATAAAGAGTTGGTTTCAGTGGGCTAAGATGGTTAATTGAATTTTGTATAAATATATGTAATGATTAGATTGATTTGGCGAGTCAAACAATAAGAAAATCAACTTAGTTCCAAATTCCCATATTTTGTATAGGATAAATTAAGCAGGGCAAGTATGCTTTGGGAATGGGAGATGGAAGCATAAAGATTTTGAAGGGAACTAAAACAAGGGATTATAAAGTTAGCGAAGATGTAATTTATAGGTAGAAGTTAAACATAAATAAATAGATTGTTACCATTGAATACGAAATAGATCGTTTGTTATTCTGGAGATGGTTATTTGTGTGTAATAAATTTAAAGAAGTCAACTAAGATATTCAAAAGTGCCATTTAGAAGGATGGACAATGGCAAGAACTCTGTTAAATTGATAAATAACTGATAGTACCACATTAGGGGAATATCAAAGTCTATTAGAAATGATTTATATGAGATATAAAAGATTAGGAATTTTTTCCATTTATAAATAATTTTTATATGGATTGTTAGAAATGAATGGTTATTTCTAGATAATAAATATATCAATCTTTTTTATTAAGGTTTTGTTCTTTTGAAGGATCGTATTTCTTTTTTTTATTTTCCAATTCAGTCCAATTGCTGAAGTCTTTCTTTTTCATCTAAGCCAAATATTCAGAATATGTAATTTCCTTTTCTTATCCATCAGCAGTCTTCTCATCTTAACCAAATATTTTGAATATTTCTCCATCGAGATTTTATCTCCCACATCTCACATACAATAATTCCAATGTGTCTTCGACAGTTATAGTATTTTTAATGGCTTCCTTGTCATAAGCATACATTAAAAATTGTACAAAGTTAAACAAACCTCTTTAATTGTATCAATTAAATACCTTGGTTCTAGATAAGAAGTATCCTTAATGCATCTTTTGAACATCAATTGAAATTCATACCAGCTAATTTATTCATCTAAATCTTCATCGATTTCCCAAATCATTCTTTCTACCTCTTCACCTACTGGAATGTATTTTAACTTTTTCATCATTGCATAAATGGCTTTGGCTGAAAATTTGGGTTCATTAGACTTCTTCTTTTTTTATTTTCCAAGTTTAGTATCCCCTTCTGTAGTCTTATTCCCATCCATTTCTTATTCAATTCTTTTAGGCTCTAATAGAATCAAGGCATTAAACACCTTGATTAGCCTATCCTTCTCAACAGCCTTGATTTTTTTACTCATTATTTTTTCTTCCAATGTCCTTTCATAAACAGGGAGTTTCTTTCTTCTTTCTTGCTCTTCTTGACTTAAAGGAGATTCACTTCGACTTCTAGAAGAATTATTATCTTCTCTATTTTTCTAAGAGTTTTGCATCAAATTAAAATAATAAAATTCATTTTTATTGGATATTGATGTTTTATTATGTACCCAATGACTTTCACAAAAGCCTTTATAAATATTGATGAAGAATCCAATCTAATCAAATTATTCAGTTAACAAAAAGGATTTGGTAAGATGTCTAGCAGTTAATAGTAAATTATTGTTAAATTTAATATGAAGTCATTTATCCTTGAGTTTGTGATTCCATTTGGCTCTCTCAGCCATGATCTAAGGGTTTGAACAAGGAGTGGTTTATCCAAAATTACCCAAGTGATTCTTATATTAAGTAATGTAATGCTTAGTCATTTTCTAATTTCTAAGATTAGTATTTTTTATAACCTATCTCCTATTTCTACTTAGCACACGTTGCTGAAAGAGATCCTTAAACTTTGATCGGCCAATCTGCTTCGATGAGCTAAAGGATCGTATGGAGATAAGGGTTTGTTTCTCATACTTGAAAAGCATCTTCTTTTATTGTTATACGCATCATGGTTGGTTGATGTTGAATACATTGATTTGCTTAAATCAAATATATGTTATACTTCAAATAATCTAAATTTCTCTAATTTGGTTTATAATAGAATGGAACTGCAATGAAATCATCCCCTTTTCTTTTGATATAACTGCAGGTTGAAACTTTTGTGTTTTTGAAGAAATCAAAAGTTTGTTCGGTTTTTCTATTTGGCCTTGCCTACAATTAACGATTATTGTTTTAAGACATTATAAATAATAAATATATTTATATATCTAACACTCAATTAATCTTTATGTTAAAGTCTCCTTATATTAAGTCAATCTAAGTAATTACTCGATAATATCAGTTCTAACTAACTCTGGTGCCGTCTACATTCTGCATCTTTGCAAATATATGGTATGTTTTTTTCACTCATTCCATAAATCAATTGAGAGTATGTATTTCTCTCACTTTGTTACTAATATATTAACTATACCTTGGAAGTGTCTCTTGTCATTATCTAATGATATGGCAAACCAAATTTAACAGAAAATCAATTCTTCTTAATATTGCAGTAATAAAATCTTATTTTCTACTGCATAATAAAAGACAATTTCAAATACTTTCTAATAATCATAGAAAATAGATACAATTATTTTTGAGGTGTCTTAAATTTTTGAGTCTTTTTTTTAATGCAATTGTATCTATTTCAACAATAAAAATTATCTCTCTACCTAGCTTTTAACAATAATATATCTGCAAAATAGTGTCTCATTCTCTCCATTAAATTTTGACATTAAATTCTTAAATAACAAGCAAACCATTGAATTCTAAATTTATTATAAAATTATTTTGCTGTTGTTATTTCTCCTGTTCCTGGAATCTTTCTAACGATATAGCCCTAGTTCTATTCGGTTCAGTTTTAATTTAGTTAAGGCTGTAACAGTTTCATCAATTTCTGAATCTTCCAATACCAATAAGACTGGGTCCTCGATGTATCAAACCAACAAACAATTTTTATATTCTTTAAATAATTAAAATAACAATTTTTAATAGAAGTTGCTTTTATCATTAGTATAGATAAGTAACTCATTGACTCCTTATCAAATCATTGTTTTCAAACACCTAATTGATGACTATCAATTCATTATTTATATCTTTCTATATTTCTCTCACTAACCATTACGACAAAGCTAAGCTGTTTTCTAACACACCCATTTATTAAAAAAAATCATTTAATAATTTATGGGGGTTATGATTCAAAATAATGCCATACTTAGTTTATTCGCTTTTCGAACTACTTAATCTTCTAAAACAGCCTTAGTTCTAAATCTTACTTAGTGAAAGTGCTTAAACTATCTTATTGAATTCATTTTTTTTTTCTAAGGCAATTTTCTTTACATTTTATATATGTATGAATTTCTATCTAATTTTAATAAGAACACCGATTGGTACTATTTAATGAGGTTTAACTTTCCTCTTGAGTTATTTTGCCTTCTATTTTTTTAGCTTCATTTCGAACGTTCTATTTGCAAAAATGATCATTTATACTACTTTTCTGAATCTATCCATAAGCATTAAGATTTTAGACTTTTTATTATTTAACAATTTATCCAAAATTCCCTCAGTGTTGCTTTATCTAGTTTCATAGATAATATTTTAATCATGGTTTGGTACCAAAAAACAATTTCTTATCTCTATTCTATTTGCTTATTTGATCAGTTCTAATTTTTGTTAATTCAGTCTGATTTTATTAGCTTGTATTTCATATTATTTATATTGAATGTTCATTTAATCCAATCTATGCAATGCAAGAATTGATAAATATTATTATAGTGCCTAAAATTCCTTAAGATTAACAAAAAAGTTCTATTTATTTATGATCAAATAATAACAATCTTATATTGCCATAGCATAATGCTATCGTTATTATTATACTTGGATTACCTATTTTTTTAGAAAATATTCCTATTCTCCAAATATAACACCTTTTTTAATCTATAATAAGGGTTTTCCAAACTAATTTCTATATTAAACTAAACCTTCTATCAGGAAATATATCTCATCAACAGGGTCTCCTTTTAGCCAAATAAATTCCCCTGCTTTTGCTTTCATCAAACTAATGTGACGTATAATTTTCAAAGAAAAAGGTATAGAAATTCTAAATAAAGAAATTTTTAATAATTCTTTCCTTGCCACAAAAAGCAAAATTTTATTCTAGATATCTCTAGGAATAAGGTTAAACCATTCTTCTTAAATTAAAGTCCAACTCAAGTTTTATTTATGATTTACAAGAAGAAATCTGTTAATTCGATCTTTGTATTCTGGAAAAATATTGATTTAGTTAAACAGAGTCTTATATAAATTAGCAGTTTTATTAAAATGACTTTCAGTATCCATATCATCTAAAATTCGTCTAGAATTCCCAATAATTAAACTCATGAATATACCACCACTAAATGTGCCAATTATTGCACATAAATATTCAAAGGGCGTAGTCGGTATCGAATCCCCATACCCAGTGGTTGATAATGTTTACATTGCCCAATACACAGCTTCTAGATAATTTGGAACATGTTGTTATGAATATTGAATTGATATTGCCCATAAACAAGTGGCATAATGAAATCCAATTACACTAAAAAATAAGATTTAAAATAGAGTAGCTTTTTAAAGATCTAAAAAGTTGAACCAAAATTCTATTCTATATAATTTTGAATAAAATTATACAGTTTATTTTAATTTAAGGATGATGAACTAATAATCTCTTAAACTCTTTTAATTCTTATCACTTTGATTAATTGGCAGAATGGTATTGGTATTATTGATATCACATCAATCATAAGCCATCCTTTCAGATAATTTAAAAAAATCTTGGTTTAATCTTACACTAAATTGTTATGTTTATCGTAATAGCACATTCTAGTTAAGACTATCAAATCCGTGCCTTTATTAATTAATAAGTTTACTAAATATAACAGAAAAAACATATTGAGTTACTTCATATGCTTTCCTATTATTCTCAAAAGCTACTACATATGGGATATAAATAGAGGAATATATCAAAATGAATAACATAAAAATGTCCCAAAACTTTTTGAAATTATCGTTCTTGACTTTAATACTTAAACATTAATACTGGATAAATAAGGTAGTCATATTTTCTTTAATTGAATCTAACATTTACTATCTTTTTATCATATTATTGATTTATGGATAGAAATATTGTAATCAAATAAACTTTTCTAAATAATTTAGCCAATCTTCTTTAAATATTTAATTTTTTCATTTGTAAATCCATAGCTATATTTCGAGATCTAGTTAAGTATATAATAATACTTTTTTGAATCGTGTAATGCAGTTTTACTAATTCTGTTTTCATTTAATTTATCCTTCTATAAAGGAGACTTAGATAGTAATTTTTAAATTTCCCCTCTTGGTGAAATCAACTCATTTGTCGATAAGTGTCTTTCTGTCTAAAGTAATGTATGTGCTTTTTTTTATTGAATTTGCATTATTTTATAAATAAAATAATTATATAATGCAATCAATTAAACCAATCGTTTAATAAATTTCATATGCCCGATAAGGCATAAATGAGAAGAAAAACATATCGGAGAATATCGAAAAAATGAAGGTTGCATTTGATCAATTAGCACCTGCAATCAGAAACTAGTAAGACTATATATAAAATATGAATCCATCATCAATTCAAGTGAAGGATGGAGCTGAGAAATTGTAGGAATAGAAAAGATATTTCTTAAGATTTCTAGATTTAATGAATTATGAATTAACTGAATTGTTAAATATTGCAAGAAATACAATGGGTTTGAATGATAAAATTACAAATCCAGATCCTTTTTGGGAGAAGATTCTCTATTAAAAAGTGAAATTTATAGAATCAATCAAGGATCAACTGACTCCTGAGACAAATTATTTTGAATTACTATTTAAAACATTAAATTTAAGGGATAATTTCATCATCTAATTTGTTAAAGCATTATTACATCGAAAATTGCTCTTATGGAAGGATATGAATATAAGAAATGAACCTTTTGTTCATGCATAGATAAAGGCTTTGTTAAATAATATTGAATCTAAGCAAACAAAAGGACAAATCGTTAGTGAAAAGTTGGAATTCAAAGAAATTGATTTTGTCAGTGAAACAATTCCAGGAGTCTGGAGATATTAATTAGAATCTAAAGAAGAAAGTTACTCCATTGGCATATTTCTCAACTTATTAAAAGACACTTATGATGATTTAATTACAAGTTTATTAAATTATTGCAATTTGTCAATGGATCCTGCTGCATTGAAATAGGTTACAAATAATTCAAAACAAGTTTAAAGTTTGAGACAATAAATTGAATTCTTAGTGGATGAGAATGATAAATTGACTAAGTAGTTGAATGAATTGAAAGTTACCAAAAGGTCTAATGAGTTTGTTGAAATAAAGAGATTATAATAAGTAATTGAGGAATTAGAAGTTAATTTATCAAGGAAAACTCGAGAAATAGATGAACTTATGGCTAATTCTAAAGGAAGTCTCAGTTTAATCTAGAATCTCAGAGAAAAACTCAAAGATGTTGAGGAAGAGAATCACAGATACATCAATATATTTTTTCCAAAATAAAAGGATATAGAGCAATAGACAGCAAAGTTATTGGATGAGTTCTTACAAATTAAAAAAGATATCGATACATACAGCTCTTTATTTAAAATGGAAAGTCAAATTAGAGAAAAAGCCTTGAAAAGTAAAGACTAATCTGATGATTAAGTCTAAAAGCTAGTTGATATGTTGGGAAGATCGAAATAAAAGGTATTTATGTCGAATTTAATTAAAGAATAAAGAACTCTAGGAAATTATTAAATAAAAGGAATCAATTATTAACAAAATCCTGGAAGCTAAAAGACAGAATGTTGAAGAAATCGAAATTTTAAAAGCAGAAATTAATACTCATAAAGACAAGGTTCAATATGAGGTAATTTTATTATGATCATAGTAAATTAGGGTCAAAGAGGTCCAAGTATAGTTAGATATATTGGAGAAAAAGTATTAAGATATGTTCGAAATCAACACGCATTTCAATAAAAGAATATATGAACTCGAAAGATAAAAAAAGGAGCTATTAGATATTCTAAAGAGTCATGATATTGAACCTGACCCAACTAAATTAAGTTTTTTAAATGAACCATAATAATAATGAATAATATTATATCAGTTTAGATCTTTCTGTATCTCTTTCTAAGTCTTTGAAGATTGATGAAAAGAATGTATTATGTTTTGTAAATACATTATTTTAATATTATAATTATCTTATAAAAATTAAACAGAACTATTAAGAAGATTATTCTATTAGCTTATAACTTTGCTATTGTATGGATTTGCTAATTTAATATACTAAGGATTGTTGCAAATCTTAAACATTCTTTTTCGTTAAAATTTGAGTGAATTTAGATTTTTAATATTTACATATTGAAGGCTTTGAAATACAAATATATTATAATGAAGAAATATAAATAATGAATTAAGTGTGTAGAAGTTTATCAAAAATATGTTGAAACTATGCAAATTCATCTCTGAAATAAGGATGATTTTAATTGGATTGAATTTTTGATAACTAATTTATTAAAAAATGAACGTAGGAATTGATTAAAATACATGTGTTCATACTAATCTTATATTTCCTCTTCATATGCTCTATTTTGCTCAATTTATGAATAGTATAAAGAGTGAAATAGAAATAAAACTAGAGGAGAATGAGGAAAAGGAGAAGGAAGTAGTATGTAAAGAAAGTCAAAAGATAAATAAGAATAATATTACAAATGAAATAACGCAAAAAAATAACTTCTGCCACATATTTCCTGGTTAGAGTAAAAATTATTACAAGAATATGGGGTAAAAGATAGCCCAATTTATACTTTAAGAGTTCTCTGACGATAAAGAGATCCTTTAAGAACCAGCTATAAAAAAGTTCTTAAAAATGGAGAGCCAAAAATTCAATAGGAATTCCATAGAGTTGTTGATCAAATCAAAGAAGGGAAGGAGGATTTGTCGGTTGTTTTTTGCTTAATACAAATGGGTTAAGCCCTTTCTGGTTTAAAATAAAGCTGACCTGGGTTTTAGCTTTCGATTCAATAAATTGTTATATTCGAATCGCTAAAGCACATCCGAGAAGGCTAATAGAGTTGAAGATATATAAATTAAGTAAGAAAATTGACTTTCTTTACCACTATCATTAAAAAATTAATTTGAGGTTTATTGATGTTGAATTATTGTCATTTATAATTAATATTCAATTAAAACCAAATATATAAAAGGACCATGATATATTCTAAGAGAGTGAAGCTATGTTTATTAAGGAAATGATAATTAAGAGAATAATGTATTATTTGGAATATGTGAATGAATTGAATTAATTAGTATAAGTTATAATAAAAAATTGGCGATTTGTTACATCCTTTATTGAATTAATCGATAAAGTAGAACAAACAGGCTGAAATCTATTAGAATTTGATTAGCATTTAAAATAAAAATTATATAATTTATGTCAACATTAAAGGAAAATTAAGAAAATTCTACATCCATAAGGTATGAATCAAAGTATAAGAAAGATCAAAAATATAAAGGAGATTCAAGAGCAATTGTAAAATATAGAATAAATATTTAAAATGACAATGATTCAAAAAGTTTATAATATTTTGCCACATGCAACTATACCTTTAATCAAAACTAAAAAAAAGGAAGTTTAAAGGATATGATCAAAAAATAAGTCAAAATGTTGAACTACGATATGTTTGGTCGTATTCTTCCTTAAAGCTAAGATGAAAAGTTAATAGAAAAATTAACAAATAGAGAAGGAACTTTCTAGGATTTTTAATAACATTGTATATAAGAATATTGGTAAATTGTAAGCAAGAAAAGTAATAAAATATAGAAATGGATATAACAATACACATCTTTGAGTGCTAAGAATTTATTTTATAAAAAAATTAACATATATTATGATCGATTTTAGTTATCTAAAACCTCCAGTTGATGTGTATTAAATCAAACATGATCGTAAGTTTAGATGTCATATCTAATAGCATTCTATGTAAAACATGGAGAGGGAAAGAATCATGTTAGAAAAATATTTTTCCATTAAGAATTTGATGAATATGAATAATAAAAAATTAAGGAGTTGACAGAAAGTATACAATAACATAAATTAACATTGCCTCTTGAGTAATTACATTTTAAAGGTTTAGTTGGTGTCATGAGTTGACTCTTAAATATTGTTATTCGGGGGGTTTCGAAATAAGTAGATGCATTTAAAGGTTACAAAAACATCTGGAATGGATTCACGATGAAAATTATCAAGTCTTGTCTGCAGAGGCTGAATAATATTTAGTTTAAATTAATAAATATTCAATTTTAGAAATAAGGGTACATTTATTAATTTGGAAGAGATCACTAATACAGACCAGTAGTATATATATAATTGCATATGATTTCAAAAAACAAAGTTCATGTACCCACTCTTTTAAATGCAGCAACAGCTATTGGAAATATGGTAACTAAGTTTATGTATGCTCGTGGTTATGTTGAAAATTGGATAGTCATATTGGATAGCGGTGGCAGTGGATTATTTGATTTCCCATTCTCCACTCTCAGTATGATTAACGAATTCTTTTCAATCAACTACACTAGTTCATTGCATAAAATGTTTATTTTGAATCCCTCCTTCTTCTTCAATTCCTCATGGAAATTAATCGAAAGTATTTCCAATCATAATTTTAGAAATCATTCACCCTGAAACTGCTGCCAAAATCAATTTCCTCAAGGCTTCTGATTTTTATAAAATATAGGAATTAATTCCAGCAGAAGAGATCGAAATCAAATATGGAGGTTAACATCCAAACCTAACCACTTTTTGGCCTCCTATCAATACTAAAACTCAAATCAATTAACCAAACGATGAGTTTCAGCACATTTAGAGACCTCATACTCTTACAAAACGTACTTAAAGTCTCAAAGAATCTGAATATTTTAGTATTGATAATAATTCCAAAGAGTTTTATAATAATTCTAAAATGAAAGGTAATCTATTATTAAAGTAGAATATCGAATACATGAACAGTTTCAAGTCATTGATTAATAACACGCAAAATGTTGTTCTTGTAAAATAATGTGAAACAAATAATTTATTTATAATATTTAAATATTAAAATGGATAGAGATCTTATTAAAAGGAAATAAAATATGTTATAACTATGAAAAAGAACGATTAAGATAAATTCATAAACATAATCTTTAGATAGCACAACCTTTAAGTATATTACTTAAAAACAATTAACAGTTAGAACTTAAATGGAAAGGTTATATTAAAACTAAAATAAGAAACTCTAATTATAAGAAGAGAGATTTACTGAAATTGAAAGGGAAAATCGTATCTTACTAGAAAAAATTCAAAATATCATGAGTAATTTTCCAATCTCTAACTAGATAATGAGCGCAAAAGAGCCACTTCTAATTGGTAAACTAGCAATCAACCTGCTGCAAATTTCAATTAATCTTAATCAGTCCATAGGAGATATTCACTCAATAAAGAAAAAAGGAAGAAAGAGTTAGTCAGAATCACAATTGAAAATGAAAGATTAATGAACAGATTAGTAACCAGAAAACCCAATTATAATACTAAAGTTATTTTGAAGCAAACCTCAAAGCAATAATAGTTGGTCTAATAGATAGCTGAATACCCTCTTAAAAGGTCTAGAATCCATAGTTCCTATAAGTAAAAGAGCATTGATCTATCAAGTAAATAAAATACATCATTAAAGAGAGTAGTTTTATCGGTTATTTACCTACTTAGCCTAATTAAACACCGAATAATTAACCTTCAAAGAAAGTTATGCTCTATAAATAAAATAAAACAATTAATGATAAATAGTATTACATAGAAGTGTTCTACGAAGATGAGTAAATATTATAAATATTCATAATAGTTTATTTAAAATTACTGTTGATGACAAAGAGTGTCCAAATACAAAGGTCTTTGAAATGCCATAAGAAGATGGCTAATTAGTTTTGAAAGAGATCTATAATAATAATATCATATAACTAGTAGACGCTATAAATGTTGATCAGAACATTCATCTTGCAGGATTGGAATAATTCGAGGAATCTCAATGATCTATCTATTATTGTTAAATATCAAATTTAATTCTACTATTTTAATCAAATTTTATAATTTATTATTTTATATTATAGATCTATACTATTTAATAAATATTGATTTAAGCAAAATCAATCACTTTAATAATGAAAATAAATAAAGAATAATAACCTAGCTTAAATTATCACATTATGAAAATGCGTCTCATCTCATTATATCAAACATATTAATTTTTATTTTCGATAATATCAGTGATATTTTTTTCTAATGGAATTGCTTCTTTGAGATATCAATTTACTATTTAAGTCGATGAGCAATAGTTATAAATTTAAATAGTTCTTATTTTTAGCGCATATGATATTAATAATAAATGTCAATGAGGTAACAGGATCAAACTGAGGATCAAGTGACTCAGGAACTTTGCATAAATACACGACAACACTCTGAATGCAAATATCAATATATTGAATCTATTTTCAATATGCAAAATTACTGATAAGTGTAAGACAGAAATATTTGTAAAAACATTCCTAAAATTGATAAATTTCCAAAAACATTAAGTGTCTTATAAGATTTACGCCATGCACCAGTAATTCCAGATGCATAATAGATGCATTAAAATAGAATGTTAATGCAAGAGCATAAAATTATCATTTGATGGATGTCAGCTAAAGGCACCTTGTTGTAAATTAGAGCTAGCTTATGTAAATTCTGATAAACTTACTAGTTTTTCGATTCTGTCCTAATTAATCCAAACCATTGAATCAAATATGATTTCTACCACCATCTAAACGCACATAAAAACCAGAAAAACTCTTGAATGTGTTAAATATGTGTCCAAAACTTCATCAACCAAATCTGGCAAGTCTTAAGGATTGATATAAAAAGCCAGTTCATCATCTCCAAAAACTGGCAACATAATTTATTGTGGCTCTTGAATTACCTTTTCACTTTATACTATTGATTCATTTTTCATTGGACAAACTAATATAAACATTTCTTGAACCATATGCATATGATCCATCTTAGTTCACTAATACAGCACCTCTAGATGATCTCAATGTTGTGACTGTCCCTCCTAATGATCGTCTTTCAGACTTCTCCATTCAATAAAACGGATTTAATGTAATATTATGATAATAAAATTATTCAAGCATAAAACCTATTTGAGTTTGATGGACATATATTTTATCAATTTTATCTTCTACTGTATTCAAATATTCATATTAGAATTTCAACTCATCCAATTTCATTTCACTTTTTTTGAACAATAACCAAATCTATTTCTGATTGTCTAACTTAATGAATTAATCTCAAAATTAAAATTAGACAATAATTAGAAAAATATTTATTTCTTAATGTTACTCCCATATGATATTGCTATATTTTGATGAAGTATTAACTGATATGATTACTTGTGTTTTAAATTCTTTTTATTTGGAAGTTATTTTCTATTGAAGTTAACGAACATTAGCTGTTATTAGAAAAAATCTGATACCTTACTTCCTTCATTTAAGTGAAAATGAAACAGTCATTTCGCCAATCTATGGCATTTACAAGTTATTCAGATAAAACGTATTATATTTATTCAATAATTTAGGTTGAAGAATCGATCAATGTAGTCGTGATGAGAAATGCTATGTAAATACCTTCTATGTACAGAGTCAGAACTTATGATATCAAAGGATCTGAACACTCAAGATAAGTCTTAAAGAAAAACAAAAAAACCAATGATATTGAATTAAAGAAAATTACGTTAAAAGACATTGATTTCCAGAATTTAGAATAATAACTGCATATACCTTAACAATATAGAGAAAGATTGAGAAAATGTTTAATTAATGACGCAAACTTTTTTAGCAGAATCAAGTTGATGGATTATTCCCTCCTGATTATTAAAATGGATTGGTATTCATATAGCTGGCATAACCCACATATTAAAGAAGCAGATGTAAATCTAATTTCATATTTCTAAGATTCCTAATTATTTCTCATCTGATCTGTTATGTATACCATGCATAAATGCGGTTGAAAAAGGAATTTTTATCACATTAGCCATAATTGATTATTTACAAGAGTGGAATGCATAAAAAATCATCGAAAAGCACACTAAAAAGGCTATTCATGTAAATATTGCCTTAAATACTTCTGCTCAAAATCCAGATGATTATGCTAAAAGATTTATAGAAAAAGTTGCAAATGTAATTATATGAGTATTCTATAAATTTAATTGTTTATTTTTAAATAAGGATTTAGTTATTTTACTCTGTCAATATTGTTAGATCTGTATTTTCTTTGATTATTCATAGATAAGCCTAATGAATAGTTATTTACATATTTCTTAAATCCATAATTATTTGAGATTGATTTTGTTAATTTTTATATTGAATATTATTGTTAGATAATATTCATATATATACATCAAAAATGAATATATTTTTCTATTATATTGATGAAAATATCATATTTGAATTATTCATTTTAAGGGTGTTGAAACCTATTTGATAGTAATAGAGTTTATAAAATGTTTTCTAGGTTAATATAAAATTTTTATATAATAAAATGAGTAAAGGGAAATGTTTAGAGATAAAATGCCAAAATAGTGAGCATGAATATAACATTAAAATGATATGCTTAAATGAGTTTTGTAAAGATTTCAGATTATTTTGTATGAAATGTGTTTAAAATAAATTTCATCATGCTCATTTAGAATCATGGATTGACATGCCTCAATTTTATGAACAACTAAGTTATTAAGAGTAGGATTGTCTGAAATTATTGAATAATATTTCAGAGTAATTTGAGTCAATCATTCTCTCATTCGAAAAATTCAAGTAGGGGATTAAATTAAAATATATACTAAACAAAGAAAGAGTAGGAAGAATGAACGTTTAATAACTAAACGTAGCAATTGGTGAAATGATATATTTCTAAGAATATAAAGTATAAGCATAGTATTCTATAACTAACTGCGTCAAAAACTTGTAAAATTATTTAACCAAACTGATTTTTAAGTTGAGAATAGAAGATTTGAATTATTGTTTATAAAATGAAAACAATAACAAACAGTTGGAAATGAATGGAATTGGAGGTAGACTTTAATTTAATTAGGCAAATAACAAGGCATTTTAAATGAGAAAGAAATGTTAGAATCAACAATTAAGATATTAAATCAATCTTAGGTTTTGAATGCTGAAAATTTATCTGCATTATCTAAAATCACTTGGCCAATTTGCAGAAGCTATAATATGGGCAGATAAAGCTTTACAAATTGATCCAAATCACATTAAATCATTATACTGCAAAGATGATTTTAATATAAATATTATCTAAGTGCTTAAAATTTTTAATATGATCAAGACAAGTCATATATATGCTCGACAAATATAAAGAGTCAGAATAATGGGTAGACAAAGTCCTAAAATATGATTCAAACTATGTTAATGCGTTGCGATGCAAAGGTGAATATGTTTATATCATTTTTAAGGAGAATGCTTAAATAACACAATCAGACTTTATTTATTCTTTAGATATTTGGTATGAATAAATTATAACAATACTAGTGTAAAGTTTATCAATCATTTCGATCTTAGATCTATATTCAAGTTTGGTATTTTTGAAAAGGCAATTATTTTTGCTGATCAGATACTAGAAATCTTCCCTAATCATATAGATATATTGCTTTGTAAAGGTTAGCAAATTTAAAATAATCTAAGCTCATAGTTAAAGATTGCTTGGGAAATTTAATGAGGCCTCACTTTCTCAAAAAGGTTTTTCATTCAATTACGCTAAGGTCTGTGTCTATAAGAGTTATAATGATATTAAGAGGCTATTATTTGTTACTAGAAGGCTTTAAAGATCCAGCCAAATAATGGATGGACTTTTTGTAGAAAAAGTATTTATATCAATATTATTAGAATAATGTGAAGAGGCACTGATAAGATCGAAATCAGGGGTGATATCATTCTGAAATATAAAATATATAATTATATATAGAATTATTAAGGTCAAAACTAGTTAGATCTGCTTGTTCATTTTTAAAGTTGAATCTAATATTATCTGATAATTTACCATATTGAAATCAGAATTGATCAGAAATACTAGGATTCAATCAACAAATAACAAACCTATATATTTATTATATATAAAATATCAAATGGGTAACAAATCAGGATCTGAATTTGGTGGAATTATGATAAGAACAGAAAAATAGTTATATTTTGCTGGAGATATTGTATAAGGTAAGAAGATTACATTTAAGTTACTTAGGAAACATATATCTTCATATTATCAAATAAGGATTTTGTGGAAAAGAAGTCAAGCTTACTATATTGGGTAAAGAAAAAACAAATTGGGAAACAGGATCAGGTACTCGAAGAAGAACACATGAAGGAAAAAATATTTTTCATCAAATCACAGTGGTTGCCCATACATTTGAAGATGATAATCTTATGGTTGGCTCATTTATATTTCCTTTTAAAGTCCATCTCTCTGCAAATTTACCTGGAACATTTTATTATAAAGATGACGTTCTTGCAAGCTTAACATATAAGGTAATTGCTAGAGTAGTCTCAACATCTAAATCGATAAATGATATTAAAAATAAATAAGTACTAATCTTAAGGGAACCAATTAAAGAAATTATTTCGTCGAAATAAAAGAGGGAATCTTCTTAGATTGTTAGTGGATGCTGTATTAAAAGAGGAGTATGAATAATTAATCATATTTTAGACTTCTTCCATTGAAGTGAAAGTAGAAAAAAATATTTATTTTCCAACTGAATTTCTAAACTTTAGTTATGATATAGACAACTCAAATTGTAAACTTGACGTAGATAAAGTAGATTCTGTACTTGTAAATAGATTAAGATTGAGATCTAATTCAGATAGCGAACATATTCTTGAATTTCAATTAAATTATTAACACCATAAAGGTCCTTAAAAAGGAAATAAAATTTAACCTATTTAAAAGTAAGATTACCAATTATAATTGATTAATTTAAAAAATCCTCCTTAGCACTTAACTCCATCAATTATAGGAAATTGCGTGAATTCAATATATTATTTGAAAGTTCAGCCACATTATGAGGGTAAGTATAAATCTAGTTAGGTTGTTCTTGTTGTTCACCTAGACCCACTGTGAAGATTCCAATTACCGTTTTGGCTATTCCCCCTAAAGAGTATATTCAACCATTGATCTAACCTGAAAATTGGAATCCATAAGTATTTTAACCTATTATAATCTAATCTAATACTCAAGGTTAAGCAAATGCACTCAATAAAGATCTATAGTAAATGTCTAATCCAATGAAAAATTGAAAATTTCATATAAGACTTTAAAAAGTTAGATTTTTATATTATAAATTGATCTGATCCCTTAAAATTTCAAAATCAGTACTGAGAATTATATAACTGATATGAAAATTTGTTATTATCATGTTTAATTAATTGTTTGATTTGGTATTTAAAAATTGATTTTTATAATTTTATAAACTGATTATTAGTCATGTCTCATTTATGTAAAGAATTCCTTGTATAATTACTCCAAAGTGAAATAGAGTACAATATAAATTAAGAGATTTGGATGACCTAGTGTGGACATGATGTATGAAATTAAAATTTGATAATAGTATCGGAAATTTGATGTTTGTTAAATTTGAAGAAAAAATATAATGATAAAATAAATGCTGTAATGTTAAAATTAAATTTTGCTTAATTTGATAATGTATCAATAATTGTACGTATTACGTCGATTATGATGCTAATTTTCAATTGATATCATATGATAAGGAAATGCAATAATATTGAATGATTAAATAATTGCTTGCTATAGTGACAATAGGAATAATTTCAATTGCACCGTATTTGGATAACACCGATAGAAATTCTTGGTTTGAAGATGATACATTTATTGTATCTGTCGAGGGAAAAATCAATAGAATTAGGAGATCTGATCCAGATTGGAAGCCTTAGTCAGAATTTGAGTATGTAATATAAGTGAGCACTTTAGATAATACCACGAACAAATTTATTAAGAGTAAGAGAGATAGAGAAAAGAAAAAATGAAGGAACTTTTAGAAAGTACTGCAAATGTATGTACAAATGGAAAAGATCCAAGTCAATTGAGCTTGTAAGACTATATTAACGAATTCATTGCAGGTCCATGTCAACCTGTTATCTTGGTACCTGGTATTATAGCAACAATTTTACAAGTAAAAATAAAATTCCATATGTATACAGGTTAAAATTGATTGTGAAACATTGTAGGCAAAAAGACCAGATATCTTCGAAAATTGTGGTTGGTAAACATGCAGCGCATCTAAGTTTTGGTTGAAGAAACCGAATGAAGAATATAGATTATGGATGGGATCAATAAATAGTCCATTTACAATTGCAATGACAAATAAGAAAAGTAAATGTTTTGGTGATTTTATTGAACTATATTATGATAAATCAAAGAAGGATCCAAAGGAGAGATATTCAGCTGCACCAGGTATATCTATAACTTGGTATGGAAACACTCCTTTGAGTGCTGATGCAGAATGTGGAACCACAGCTATCTAAGAACTTTCTACTGATTCAATCATCAAATCATCTATGTGTGACACTAAGGGATATCATACATTCTCTGACACTTTAAAAAATATGGGATATATACCAGGTTTGACTATGCAAGCTGCACCTTATGATTTTAGAAAATCAATTGTAGCTTCAGAATCTCAAAAATACATCAAGAAATCAATTGAAACCTTCTATAAGTTAACTGGCAAAACTACATATATATTCGGACATTCCTTAGGATCTTTGCATGCCACGGAAGCAATATATAATATGACACCAGAAGAAAAGTAAAAAGTGGCTGGTATTGTTACTATGGCTGGCCCACTCTTAGGGGCTACAAAAACATTCAAGCCATAAGTAGGAGGAGATGATAGTTACATGTTTAAAGTTCTATCTATTGATGCTGGCATTAATTGGTATGCTCAAAGAAAGATGTCACGTACTTCATCTAGTGTTGTTGATCTCTATCCTAAAGATACTTATTTTAGATTTAGAACAGAGACTTGGATGCAACAAATATTAGATAGAATTAAATGGGATAAAGAATTTCTATCTACTGGCAAAAGACCTTCCAGACCTAACCCTTTGAATTGGTTCCCTGAACCTGATTAAATTTGTGGTGCTGATTTTGAAGAAAGATCAAATCATTGTTAATTATTAATGAGTGATATGAGTGAACACTTCTTAAGGGTTGTGGATAAACTGTATTATTCGACTGAAGAATCTATGATTGAGGCACTTTCAGAGAATATTAATTCTGATGCTCTTTAACAATTATTAGAGTACGTTTAAGAGACTAAAAGAGTCAAGGCTGATAATCTTGAACATCCAGGAGTCCCCATGGTAGTTATTTATGCAGCTAATCAATTGACTCCAGCCCAATTCGAATATGATAAACAACCTTAACCTATTGTTGATTCTTCTGATGATTTCTATTTACCTGATCATATTTAAAAAGCATATGGCGATGCAACTGTTCTAGCTTCATCAGCTATGACACCAGCCATCAAGTGGATTTATGAACACAAGAATGGATAAACTAATATTCCAACCAAATTAGTTGAATATTGTTCATAATATAGTGGCGATGCTGTCTCATCAATTTATGATTCAACAGATGAATAGTAATAGAAGTAATTCACTGAATCCGGCTATTTGGGTCTAACATGTTCTTGTAAGTATGGATAAACTGTAATTTATTATATTTTTCTAGGGAATTGACAATTGCAGTCATGGTTGCATTATCTCAGATGCATTACTTATATAGTTTGCTTCTCAGGTTTTGACTACTAATTGGAAATCGACTATTTCCCAAACAACTGCAACTGAAATTGAACTTAAAGCTATTAAGGAGGGATGTACCAATTTACATTGAACAATCATATTGTGATAATTATAAATAACAAAATATTATAATTTATTCATAAAAATTATTCAGAATAGAATAAAATTTTGAAAAAAACATACAGGATTAGCAGGAAGAATGTTTCCTTTCATAAATTAGTAAGAGTCAAAGTATAATTTTTGAAATTTGATATTTGGGATAACGAATGGTTTCAAGTATGTGCGAATGGAAATAGATGAGTTCAAGTAATTTGTGGATCAACTATTTCTAATGCTTATGCAAAATATTTAGATTTTGAATTTTTTCACTTTAACCCATCTATCAATTTAGTTATCACAACTAATTTAAACAAAAAATGCAGCTAATGAATCTTGGTGAATCAGAAATTGTTAATTATTTTATGGAATTATACAGGAATGCAGCTATTTTTTTTTTGAGGCCTTTTGTTTGCCTTCATTGATAGGAACTAAGCATATTTAAACATGATTACATTCATTTGATCAATCTTTGTAAAATAAATTGGTAATATCTTTCTCATTGTATTGTAAAGTGTCCAAATGTTCTCAGTTAGGATTTATTGTACAGAGATACTCAATGCGCTAAAGAATAACTTGAATGGTAAATAAAAAAGCAGTAATTTTAGTGGCTATTTAATATTGAGTAAATCTATTTAGAAATATTAATTCTATGTAAAGGAAAAGAAGAGTTTTTGGTTTCATTGTTCAATCTTGAATACACTTTTTTATTAACTAAATACGAATAAGTTTATTGGCTGACTCCAATGAATTGGTTTTATTAAATTGATTCCTTAAACCAATATTATTTATTTTGTTGTTTTAGATCATATATTTTAGTAACTTTTTCTACTATTTTCTGACTATTTTCCAAATACATATACTCTATTGTATATAGATATAATTTATTTTTGTAAGATAAATTATCAAATTAATAAAATAGTTAGTAGTAAGCTCCTACTATTAAAGCTAATGATTTAGTGAGTTTTGAACATTTCTAAACAATATCTGGAAAAAAAAATACTATATTTATTGAACTTATTTTTAACAGAAAAAGATCAAAAGCTCTAAATTAATTATAAAAACATTCTAAATGAATAATAGCAATGTTAAATAGTGTAGGTAAATCTATGATAATAATTTTTTTTCTAGAAGCATTTATCATAAATTATCCTTATGAAGCTCTTTCACATTGTAAAATGAAATTTAAGAGGTCTATAACAATATATGAAGAAATCACAACTCATAAGGTTTAAAAATTAGGTATTCTCGTAAAAGGAAATAAGTTTTACTTTGAAAAATTTAACACGAAAGAAAACTTACTCTTACTTGATATGAGTTTATTAGATGGGATTCTTAAGAAATATTATTTGTAATTTGAAAAAGAATAAATTAAGGATTTGATCTATTAATATAATGGTGTTTCATAATTTGGCTAGTTATCTTAGTATATAATCCGTCTCATTTGATCCTTTGTTTAATGCATACTAATAAAACTTTTTAGCTTTTTCTTTCTACTGCAACTCAAATAGTGAATCAGCTATATTAATTTATAAAGGTGTACCTTTTCTTTTTAGACGAAGAGGATTAATACAAATAGACAGAGCTTTATCATAGCAATCGACAGCTTCCTGATATTTCTTTAAATTATGTAAAAGCAATTGTTGTTACGAAGAATTTATGCAAAACCTAATTATAAAATAATTTACCTTTATTACTCCATGCTATATCAAATTTAGGATTAATGGAAATAGCTTTGT